TTATGCGCTCGTCGAAGTTGGCGAACTCCAAGGAATGTGTGTGCTGCTTTTTGGGTGTGGGTGTGTGTTTCGGTGTGGGTGTGGCCTGCATTGCGGGTGACACTTGGCCCATAAATACACTCGTGCAAAAATGTTGCTAGACAAAGTCGTAAAACAGGGCGAGCGAAAACTTTGAGACAAGCAATAAAATCCTTGCCCCCAAGGATGGCGAACTTTAAGTGCTGGCAACTCCTCCTCACAAGGTCGCAGCGACAACTAAACGATTGGTAATTGAAAACTGTAATTTCGAGTACTTACAGTTGGCTGACAGGCCAAAGAACACTACCAAATGGGTGGCTGTACTTTAAGAACATCGCTCCGATTTCTTCCAACCAGTTCAACATATAGCAAAAGAAGAAACCAAAGAAAACTTAAACTTTTTTATTACTTTATTTGTAACAATATATTTTACAAGTTATAAAACTAGTAGACAGTTTTGTTTGGCTGAATGTTTATTTAAAAAAAAACTAATTTGGAAGTCAGTTGGAAGAAGGTGTCTTAGAATATGAAGAGAAATCTAAGCAAATCATATTTAAAGTCACATGATTAAGCAAATTTAATTTACAATTCGCTTATAATGTATATTCTCTTCTAGGTAAAAGTATTCACATTTTTAAAGAACTGTATGTTTACTAAACAGTTAAATTCCATACTTATACAAACTTCTATAAGCTAGCATTTTGTTGACTTTAAACTGGGATTTTTCTTAAAATATATATTTTATTTTTTCCATCCCCAACGAATATTTTGTCTTGGATGTAAGAGGCGATAATCAAGCTGCGGATGATAAATGTATGAGCTCGCGTGTAGATTTTGTATGCATGCTTTGCTTTACATATCTGGGCATTAATATAAGCACACTCGAACACATATCTTGGGGCGGCCATTTAGCAGTATTTAAAATTTATGACCTGACTATTAAGTGCGTATTAACTGAATGCTTTGTGCATGCCATAAACTTGAGCCTCGTCGAATAATGCCGAAATGGGGAGTGGCATTTTTCGTATGACAAAGGGCCTAAAGGGCAACTTTTGCCGCTTTTGTAAAAATTGTTACCACTCTCGTACAGTCACTCATTTCCTTCCCCCTTTTTTCCACCTTATCCGAGTGTGTGGCAAAAAGTTGCCGCAAAAGTTGCTAGAAAGTTGGTTGCAAAAAAGGTAGAGCAGAAACTTGCTTTCTTTGTTACCTACACCGGCAATTGAGGGATTTTTTCGCATTGAACGAGTGCGGCGGGTTTTGGCAGATGCAAGTGGAGCGGAATTGCATTAGCTAATCAAACGCTGTCCACTTGTCAACGTGGCCAGGACGCTCGAATGAGCAGGGTGTCGCTCCGCTGCTTTGCTAATTACTCCCCTGAATCCTTTTAATACGATTACGGGCTGTTTTCCCCGGGAGTGCGGTCAGCTCTGTGTAATGAACCGCACATTAGGGCCGCTGCCTGTCGGCAATCGCCAATCGACAGTCGTTGGTCGACAGTCGCCAGTCGATAGAAGTCGGCTATCGGAAGTCTCGGCTGACTTACTGGCTCTTCTTTCAAACGCGCTTAAAGTGCACCACAAATTTCCCACAGCCATCCCAGTGTCCAGCTCCTTTGCTGTGCAGGGAAAACTTTTTTTAACATACGAAAAATTAATCTAAAATATAATCTTAAGTAGGAAAATTAAATATGGCAAAATAATAAGGCCCAAATTCATATTATCTTAAAATGTTTTACATATGTAAGACTCCTGATGAAAAACAATTTAATAAAGACTTATAATTGGATTTCAAATTAATACCCATTAACCAACTACTATTAGCTTGCTAAAATATTTGTAATTGTTTTGTTATAGAATTTGCAATTTTTAAGAGACATTTTGACTTATTACCATCTTCTGTTAATACTATTTTAAATACTATCAATGGAGAACATATGTAAAATAATATTTAAGTCCTTTTGGAAATTCGTGAAGTAATTACTCTAGAAACATGTAGGAAAGTATAAAAGTACAAACATGGAATACTTCTTAGGATTGTTGTGACACTTACATATATATACAGGGCAGTAAAAATAATATATAATTTTAATAGCTTCAGGTTAAGATTAGTTTTGTTAAAAAAAAATTATTATTAAAATTATCTTAGCATTTTTGCTAATTTAAAAGGTTTCTTATATTTTATACTCAATTACCATTATTCCCTAAACATTTCGCTATGTGCTGTCGTAGAACCAAGACTTGCATGACGACTGCAGCACCGCCCGCGTGCAGTTCAATTGAATTTCAGTAGGAAACTTGTGCAGCATGCCTTGCACCCTCTCCCCGGTCCCCTCTCCAACCCTCTCCACCACCCGCAACCACCTTTACACCCACGTACACTCGATTGCGCCACACCGACGGTGGCATTCATTTCTTTTATTTGCTGCAAAACTTTTCACCCAGCCCCCTTTTCAGCCGCGGCCCGTGGCTTGTTGTGCCGCTTCATCGATTACGTTTGGTAATTTGCTTTATGTTCGTTTGCTTTGGCCCTTTTACTTAAAATAAATTAGAAATTATTGGAGCATTTGGATGCTTCAGCCTCGGGCGGCAGCAGCATTCGATTGATTTCAAATATCGGCCATAAATATATAATCGGCTTGAAAGCAATCGGTTGGCAAGCAAAACTTGCATCGTAATTTAGTCTGTTGAATTCACAAAACTGCTGTAATATTTTAGCAACACTGAAACACTCAGATCTGAGTGGTCAGTTGGTCTTCATTTTGGAATAAATATTTCAAATAAAATATTTAATGAATGAAACTTAAAGAAAATCTTAAACTAAGGGTTCACTATAAAACATTTTTCTCAAGAAAAATATTTTAAATAAATAAGACCCACTTAAAGAGATATGTATATACTAAAAATATATATAAAATATGTTAATAAAGGAAAGAAAATTCTTTAAGTTAATTTTAGAAAGTAGATTGTAAACTCACGAAGTTTCAGTACCTCGTGCTAGTTGTATGGTTTTTCTTAATTTTCTTGTTGTCCATTCACACTGGTGATTAGAATTTACTCCCTCAGTTTTGAGTTACTTAAGGAATAGCCAACGAAGTTCAATTTAATTTTGGGAGCAGTTGAACAAGTTTTTGCAGCACAATTAGGCAGAAGGAAGAGCATCCACAAGTGCAAGCTTGTATTGTTTTTAGCAGAATTGGAGCAGAAATTACTATACGCTTATGACTGGTCCTTATGGAGCAGATGTGTGCAGTATCTGTGTGTTGGAGTGTTTGTGTGGCGTATCTGTGAATAGTGTTTGTGTGGAGTATCTGTGTGGCGTATCTGTGTGCAATCAATAGCCATTGTTGTGCTTGTATTGGCAACTGGCATCATGAATGTCGTCAGTCGCTAGTCCAAAATAGCAGACCCATTCGGATGGGCAAAATTTGCGAATTCAAAATCAGAGTGCATGCCATAGACCAATTTGTATTTGCGTAATTAAAAGGATGGTTACGCCCCCTGTCCCAGCTTACCATCTGATTGCCCCCGATGTCTGCGATGTCTGCGATCCTAATTAAAACAATATACACTTGGTCCACGTTGGGAAATTCGGTGCAGGGCCAATGATTGCAATCGGGCTATTTAAGCGCATCTTATTAAGCGACAACTCCTAAGCTCTCGAACCATTCCAGTCGCCACCCAACTATCCTTGTAAAGTTTCGTGAAAAACTTTTCCCCGCTTTTATGCTCTTTTATGGATGCCCACTGAGGCATTTGTGCCATTGCGACCGCAATAACAGTGAAAAAATAGGAGTAGTTAGCTTAATTTCTTTGCTCGAGTAGTTTTTCTTGTCGAGGGAAAAAGAAACTAAAGCTGAAACTGAAAATGAAAATGAGTATGAGGATGGGAAAACATACCGCAATGAGTTTGATAATAGTTTCAAGTTATTAACATTCATTTTTTCCATCTTTTCTCTTCGGGCTTCCCAACTTTCCCCATGCACAAAATCGTTTCTATCGGGGAAAACGTTTGCCAAAGTTTTGAAATAAATTATTTTTGTGATAATGGCTGCATTAATGAGGCTCGGAGCTAATTAGAACCACACCGCCAATGCTAAAACTGATTTCTTCTGTGGGTTTTTGGGATATGATAATTATATTTTAAAGCTAATCAGCCTGATTCCGGGTTTTCAGGTATGTTATAAGGAGCTTTTTTGGAAAGGACTTTAGTGGGTGCAAGCACCTTATGTTTGTTTGGAGCTTATGGTTGGGTATTCTAAGCTTGTGAATGGATTCTACAAGGTTTGGTTATAGATTTTAACTGAGAAAGCTTTTGCTAGCTTTCACAAAAAGGATACTTGAACTTATTTAATGGAAAACTTAATTTAAGATGATTTCAAAACCATAAATGGTTTTCACATTTATTTGGACTAATGTAGACCAGCTTTTTAGTTCAAATGCAGGTGTTGGTTCCTGTCTACAATTTACATTGGAGCCATGTAGAATGTGTTTACATGTAGATGTCCTGCAGGATTATACATGTGCACTCAAAGAAAAAACACATTCAATTCTATAGTTCTGTTGGCACTTTCATATATTTTATTATGACCTAAATAAGTTCCCATTGCTTAAGCCTTTGTCATAATAACAAATAATACCTGATTGCGGCATTAGTAATTCGAAGTTGAAGTATTAACACCCTTTATAATTTAATGCGCTTATCTCAGTCAAAAACAGCATAGGGACCTACGCATAGGGAACCCCAAAATGAGGGGCTTAAATACCCAGATTGACATGCCAACTTGACACACAATATACTTGGCAATCAGGTTACCGGATTATGGTAGAGAAGCGAAACCAAACGACCAATTGAATTAGGCACATTAAAGCTGTGCCAGTCAAGTCAAAGGAAAAAAATCAGCCAGTCATCGAGAGAGGTTGGAAAATCAAAGCTGGAAAAAAAATACAAATACAAATACACCAATGAAACCATTCTTTCCGTTTAATTTGTCACATCAAGTTTATTGTTTATTGAAATATCGAATATCCTTTTATGCTTTAGATGTATAACTACACATGAAATACATTCAAGTATATAGTCTCGATAACATTAAGTTAAAACATTTAAAAACGTTTATTAGGTTCTCAATTGAATAATTGCGCTTACATTATGGCTAAAATATGTATCCATCTAAACACATATAAAACTTATACACTTATTATCATAGGATGCTTACATCAAAGATAGAATGAAGCTCAAGTCTTTATAGTTTTTGGGGAGCAAATATACACATACCATATATATAATACTATATACACTCAGGATATATGCGGGATGTCGGAAATTTACACAGTTGATTATTTATTTAGCCAACTAGCCAACACGGAATCAAGACGGAGAATCGCTTGGAATCACAAATTACTTCTATCCAAATGCCCGAAAGACCACTTTTGAAGTGGAACTCCGTCCATTCGATATATGTAGCTCACGATTGTCGATTATCTTAGGTAATAATCTAGGTTAACTCACATCTCAGTGACTAGAATGAATGTACAGCTTAAATGTCTACAAATCTGTTGAATCCCCGTTTGAAACTCCTGTCATTGAGCTTGTCTAACTATGCCGTAATTCCAGACTTAAATTAATTGAAAACAAGTCCTTTGTTCTGTGACAAAAGCCTCAAGAGATTTAAAAGCAATATTTAACAATGCTTTAGAATAAGATTTTTAGATCTCTTAAGAGCCTCTGATTCTACAGAACTAAAGATCACGCCACAACTTTATCCCAGTAAATTTCAGGCTGATTCAACTTAACTAGCATTTCACCATTTTTGTAAGTGTCAATGATATTCTGATATTCTGTTGCTAAGCAAGATATACTCGTTTTTACTTTAATCGGAGGTCTCTTAGCTTTGTACTTCCGCTGACATATGTTTTCATGTATTCTGAGTGGGTATATCCTTAGCTGATTTGTTAGGAAAATATACATATATCTCATTACGACTGCTTAGCCTTACAAAAATATTTCCTTGGGCTTGTTAGATATATTTTCGGGGCTACTCTGATATGCTTCACAATATGTGTGGGTATTTTCGATAAATCTAGGGGGGAAACAGATGAACAACCAAACTCGTGTGTGTGTGTGTGTATCTTAGAGATATTAAATGTACAAGCGTCTTTGTGTTTCAGTATTAATTAGGGCATAAATCACGCACGGCGGTTTGCATGTGAAAGACTTCCTTGGGTTTCTGGGTATCTTCCTCCGCCTACTTGCTGCTGGGATCTCGAAGGGAGCGAGTGGAGGGCAGTCCCCGCAGACCCTTCTCCAGTTTGTCGGCATCCCCCGCCGAAAAGCGGAAGTTCATGGCCTGTCCCTGACCCTGGTTCTGGTTCACACCCAGCAGGATGGGTCTGGAGTTCCTTCGCGGTCCGAGGAGCTCCACGCTCTCCTCCTCATCCCCGCCGTAGCTCACTCCGGTCACGGGCAGCGGCGTCTTCGCCGGAGGAGAGTACTCGGCGGTGGCCTCCGACAGTCGCCGGTACTCCCCGCTCCTCGAGTGCTGCAGCTTCCAGGAGGCCCTTCTCGTGGTCGCCACACTGGCCACGCTCTGGGTGCTGTTGCTGCAGTGCACCGAGGCATTGGTGGTGGTCAGGTTGCCGGTGCTCTGCGACACCAGGCAGCTGTTCGAGCTGGAACTGCTGCTGGACAGGCTGGAGTTGCTGCCACTCGTGCCCCTGCGAATGCTCCTCTTCGATGATCTAGTTTCCTGGACAGGCGGCGCAGGAGTCACCTCTCCTGGCAGAACGGAGGCTTGGGGCTGCTCCTCCGGACTCAGCAGGGCATCCGTGCTCTTGCAGCAACTATGATGGCTGGCTGAGTGTTTCATTGTCCACCGAAAGTCATTGGAGTTCTCATCATCCAGGGGCGGGTAAATTCGTCCCGGCGATGGAGCCGCCGATGAGGTGATCAGCCTCTCCTTGGAACTGGCCAGATTGGGATCCGCCGGGGAAACACACTCATCTATCGTATTCAAAGGTGATATCTGCAGCGTTTGCTTCTGCTGCAGGAGATCCATTTCGTTTTTGATGGCGGGTTCGATGCCGAGGAGACCCAAAACCAGGCGGGGATTGGCCAGAACAAAGCGCTCGAAGGTGGGGAAATCGATGCGATAGAAGTCCGTCTGACAGCTCCTGCTGGTCATACTCTTTTTGGGCTCCACGGGGGAAGGAGCCTTTGAACTGGCCGCAGTACTTGATGGCAGCTGGACATCCCTGCCCCAAACTTCGGGAGGATGCGAGGAACTGCGTTGCATGGCCGCCATTTCTGCGGCACCCAAAACCCCACCCATTAGACCCAGATCCACTGCATCGCCCGATCTTGTGGCCGCCACTCCACTGATATTGGGAATGGACCTGGCCGGTGGAAACTTGAGGGAACTGTGGGAAGTCATGGCGTTGGAGGTGAAGGTCATCTCCTGAAGAGCACTGATGGCATTGCGAACCTCGGCACTGAGCTGGGCCACATCCTGGTGCAAGGTGGACACCTGGGAGTCCAGTCGCTCCAGCGAGGGTCTCTTCCCGCCCGACTGCTGCTCCTCCTCCAGGGGTTCCGGTTCCTCGAAGGATCCGCGATCCAGGCTGCAGGCCGCATTCAGAGTCCTGTGCCTCTTGTTCGTTTCCCTTAAAGTAATCAGGGACCTGCCCCGCTGGTGCAACCGCTGATTCCTGGGACTGCCCATGCCCAGAAGTGGAGAACGAGCTGCGTGGAGGGGGGAATTGCTCAAATTGTGCAGAGGGGAGGCACCACTTGGTGGTCCTGCCCCATTTTCCTTCTCCGCCTTGCCACCTTCCTCGGCCTCCTCGCGGTTTTCATCGTCCTCACTGATGCTGGGCAGCGGAAACGAGGGTCCAATATCGGAGTCCTGGTTCTCGTAGCCCTCCCTCAAGTTGCAGGTGAGATCGTGCTGAATGTCGTTGGCGAACTGCTGCTGGTACTCCGGGTACAGACGCAGCACCTCCACCAGACCGCCCATGTGGATGCACTTCAGATCGCAGTAGGTGAGCGCCTGGAAAAGTCGAGTGGAAATATGGAAAAACATGTAAGAAAAATGAAAAGACGTGGCAAGTGAGTCAAAGGTCGTTTTGGCGTTAAACGATTATGCACTTGGGTTGGGGGCGGGGCAGCTGGTGCTTGCACCCATAAACAACATGGAAAAGCTTAAACAGCATGTAAATGCCAGGGTAGAAAGGGGTAAATGGTTTATGGGCACAAGTTGTGTTCACTTGATTACTACTGTACTTTCTTTTTTTTAATTTCTTTACATTCTCCAGAGTTTATGGTAGTAGAAATACGTATCTGAATCTCTAGCGTGAGATAACAATTATATTAACTACTTTTTATACCCTTGCAGAGGGTATTATAATTTTGGTCAAAAGTGTGCAACGCAGTGAAGGAGACATCTCCGACCCTATAAAGTATATATATTCTTGATCAGGATCACCTCCTGAGTTGATATAGCCATGTCCGTCTGTCCGTCTGTCCATCTGTCCGTCTGTCCGTCTGTCCGTCTGTCCGTCTGTCCGTCTGTCCGTCTGTCTGTTTCTACGCAAACTAGTCTCTCAGTTTTAAAGCTATCGAGTTGAAACTTTGCACACACCCTTCTTTCCTTTGCACGCAGTATATAAGTCGGAACGGCCGGGATCGGCCGACTATATCCTATAGCTGCCATATAACTGATTGATCGGAAATGCCATAACTCTGCTGTTTGTTAAGTTAGGAAGTTGGGACTTTCTGTGGGTTCTATATTTGGCCAATCAATCCGACGTACCAAATTTCATAAGGATCGGCCGACTATATCTTATAGCTGCCATATAACTGATTGATCGGAAATGCCATAACTTTGGTGTTTGTAAAGTTAGAAAGTTGGAATTTTCTATGGGTTTTATATTTGGCCAATCAATCCGACCTACCAAATTTCATAAGGATCGGCCGACTATATCTTATAGCTGCCATATAACTGATTGATCGGAAATGCCATAACTTTGGTGTTTGTAAAGTTAGGAAGTTGGAATTTTCTATGGGTCTTATATTTGGCCAATCAATCCGACCTACCAAATTTCATAAGGATCGGCCGACTATATCTTATAGCTGCCATATAACTGATTGATCGGAAATGCCATAACTTTGGTGTTTGTAAAGTTAGGAAGTTGGGATTTTCTATGGGTTTTATTTTTGGCCAATCAATCCGACCTACCAAAGTTCATAAGGATCGGCCGACTATATCTTATAGCTGCCATATAACTGAACGATTGGAAATGCTATAACTTTGGTGTTTTTAAAGTTAGGAAGTTGGGATTTTTATGAGTATTAAGAATGCATCATATGAATAATTTTGGAGAATATAATTTACAGAGTATTCTGCAAGGGTATATCAACTTCGGCTCCGCCCGAAGTTAGCTTTCCTTTCTTGTTATAAAGCAAATTTATGATACAAATAATAATAATTTAAAGAGTCATCTCATAAGACGTAATATAATTCACACCTTATGTTTTGCATTTTGATAGGTTGGTCTGTCTTTGCAGGCTCAAATATATTTTTAAATGATATATTCACATAAATGACTGAGCTCTTGAATTTTAACTAATTTTACAATAAATGGTCAGTCTTTAAAATTAAATATTTGCTGTAGCTATTCCATTTTAATATTTAGCCTGTAAAACATGATAAAAAATAGTGGGTAAGTCCAATGTTTCTTACAATTGCAGTTCAAATTGAAGTACTATTTTTATTTTAATATAATAGGGTACTGCCTAGTCGATTTCTGACACTTTCAGCCGAAACACTTGGAAATGTTGACGCCTTGGCGTCTTCTTTACATACTCGAGTGCGCCATCTTGGCGTTTACACACTCCCTCACACCCACAAACGGCAAGCACACACACAAACAAGCAGAGGGGGGGTCGTCTTAAGTATCACTCATACGACCCGTTGCCGTGTTGTTTGCCAAAGAGGCGCTACAAGGAGGCAAAGGAGGAAAACGCGAGGCGGCAGCTGCTCGCAATGTCTGCACTTTATTCCGCCAAGGCAGACATGCAAATAAACACGAGATAAAAGTAAAAGGTAAGGGCAAACACAAACCCAAACATCAACAAAGGCACAGGACAAAGGAGAAACAAAAACAAGATTTTCTCGGGGAAGAACTATGCATAAATTAAGTACATTCCTCAACTAATTAAGCGACAATAAAATTGGAAATTCCTCGCTTAATTATTGCCGCCCTCAATTGCCAGACAAGAGTTTATGGCAATTAATTAGGCGTGAAGCTTTTGAAACGTGAACCGCCCTGAGATTATTGCCATAATTAGTAAGAGTAAACGAGTAATCGTAGACTCGGTTAGCAGGATACCAAAACCTCCTCAGACGCACAAGCCCCATTGACTTTCTGCTAAAATGCAAAAGAAAAACAAAAAGAAAACCCGGTATGCCAGGCGAAATTCAAGCTGCTGTGCACTCATCTTGAAACCTCTAGGTCCTTTCCCCTGGAAACCGCCATCCCTGTTGGAAACCAGATAAACTTTACGACGAACAGCCTGAAATTGCAACTTGCTTAATCCTTAAAGAGCCCCAGACTATGATAAAAATATAATTAAGGGGCCGGGAACTAAAGCAGAGCAGGTCCTCACATGTCCTTGCCATTTGCTGGCTAAGCGTCAATTAAGCTTTTTTATTCGAGCGTTTACCCCGGGTTGAAAGCAAGAACAGAAAGGCAGTTACAGGTTCCACTTGAAATAGTTATATGGTATTTAAAAGTAGTATCATCTGAGCTACTTGGGATTTCCCTGCAGGTATAAAGTGTTTAATTAACAATTAAAAAGACCAGCCTCCTCAAAAAAACAAGAACATACCAAATAAGAAAGACCTAAGCAATAATTATCTATTATTAAATCTAATTGAAATGTTTAATTAAGAATGTATAAGGTCAGAGGAATTAAATTAAAAGAGGAATAATGTGTTTTATAAAGTTTATAACTTATTTATTTTGAAAAAAAATCCTCTGAATGCTATTCTTATATAAAAAGTCTTAAGGTCTATAAATTTTAATGGCCAAAGTGCATACTAGAAAATTTAATTTATCTCAAGGCTTTATTATAGACTTCTCAAACAGTCAATTTAACTGCATCCCATTGAAAATTAAAGCCCTCTTGCCCACAATCGATTCAGAGCTCCCCCAGCACACTGTCCACTATCATCCGAGTGCATTCCATTCACGTTCACCCTTGAGCACCCGGCCAAAGGCTGGAGTAAAAATAAATTCTATTTAATTACTGCACACCCCAGTATGGTTTTAAAACCAAGGGGCTGGATTTCAATGGGACGAGCCCCTTACCTTAATGTCGCTGCTGCTGCGGACGACTACATCCTGGCCAGCACTGTTGGTGGTGGCGGTCATCTGGCCGTTGCTGGTGGCCACCAGGTGCACGTTGATGTCGGAACCCACGAGGTCGCCCTTACCTGTTGAAAACATGGGGAAAGCATGGGGAAAAGGGGAAAAGGTCAGCACTACACAGAATCAATGAGCATAAAAATAGAGCCTGGCATTTGTCTGGGCCAAGTAGTAGACCGACTTGATGGCCTTCTTAAGTTGACGACACTGCCTGCCATGAATGAATAAACAAGCAGATGACTGCCTCACCGTCTTGGCCAAAGTGCAAATGGATTTCGCCTAGAAGCGAATGAACTGAAATGGGTTCAATAGACGCCACTAGTCGCAACATAAACAAAATGAAAATTTGACAATCGATAAATGAAAATCAAAAGCAATTTAAACTTAGGCAGAGTTCAAAGCCTGTTAAATTGCTGGCAAGTTCTATAAAATGAAAAATAAGGTTAAAAAAATATTGTTTATTGAGAAAATAAACGTATATAATTGTAATTTTATTTAGAAATATTATTTCTGAGGTTGAATGTTGTTTCTTGACTCACCCAAAATGGCCACCACCATGTCGTCCTTGATCACCTCCATGGATCCGTTGCACAGATAGTAGATGTAGTTGAGGGCGTCGCCTTTGTGGATCAGATACTCCCCGGGCGCACAGAAGTTCGTCTTTATGTGCAGGGACAAAAGTTTCAGGCAGCCCTGCAACCGAACATGTAACAAATCGGGGTTCAAGTAAATGCGATTCTGGTTTGGTCAGGAATTGTTCTCCTCGGTCAGAGGCATTTAGCATTTAGCTCGGTCGCGTTTTATTTGCGCAATGAAACAAAACGGCAACAGCTGTGTGTCCTTGCCCCGGAATGTGTCCTGCGGTTCAAGACCACCCCACCGTCCCACCACCCCCTTTCACCCCCCCTTTGAACCAAAGCACCCACGCAGTTGCCCACGAAAAGTGGCTTAAAGCGCGCTTATAACTGTTGAGTGGTTATACCCGTTACTCGTAGAGTAAAAGGGTATATTGTATTCGTGCAAAAGTATGTAACAGCTAGAAGGAAGCGTTTCCGACCCTATAAAGTATATATATTCTTGATCAGGGTCACTAGCCGAGTCGATATAGCCATGTCCGTCTGTCCGTCTGTCCGTCTGTCCGTCTGTCTGTCTGTCCGTCTGTCCGTCTGTCTGTCCGTCTGTCTGTCCGTCCGTATGAACGCTGAGATCTCGGAAACTATAAAAGCTAGAAGATTGGCATTTTGCATGCAGATTCTAGGAGTTCCTACGCAGCGCAAGTTTATTTCAAAAAGGTGCCACGCCCCCTTTAACGCCCACAATCGCTTATATACGATATAATATATATTTCGGAAAAGTAAAAATGCAGTTTTATTGTGTTTATCAATACCTATCGAAATGTAGAAGAAATTTTTCAAATCGGACCATTCGTTAAAAAGTTATGCGTGATCAAAGTTTCTATCTCCATCTCCCTCGCACTCCCTTTACCTGAGTAACGGGTATCTGATAGTCGGGGCACCCGACTATAGCGTTCTCTCTTGTTTTTGTTTGCGTTACTTTGCCTTTCTGAATAAGCTTTATTAATGTTTGCAGTCCGCCTTTGTCATTCGGCTTCAGTTTTTTTCTTTTTTTCCTGAGTTTTGTCCGGTCATTCGGTAGTTCAATTTGCCCCATTTTGTTTGTCTTCCAACTTGGCTTGAGTTGCATTTCATTAGGTGGCGCCTCCTTTTTATCCCTTAAGCAAACGAAACCACAATCGCATTATCACGTTCTATAGCTATCACTCTTATAAAGGGTCAAAACATTTTGTGGAGCAAATATAATGAGCATTTAGCAGATAACTCCTAAAACGACTGATTAATATTTTGATTTCATACAAAAGATTCTTATTTATAATGGAAATGTTTTATTATTGCTATTAATTCCTACCTCTCTGAATTATAAATAATTTTCCATTCATTTCTTTGTATTCCTTTGTTTCGTTTATGAGAAACAATATTTCCTTGACGAAATCATTAGTTACATCTTTCAGCAAATTAATTCTTGAAAAAGAAACAATCGGCTTAACTTGAACCAAAATTTTTTTAAGTGTACACGGAAAGGAGTGGAATGTTATACATACGAAATTTGATTGAAATTCCATTTCTATTTTAAGCAAACATTGAAACGGCTGCTATAGCAACGTTTGGAAAATGAAGCTTTGACTTGAAAAGGATTCCTGTTATTGTTGTTATGGGAACATTTTTATTGAAAAAAAATAATTGCTCAATATTTGCAGTGCCTACTCTTTAAATACAACAAACCATTGATTTTTCTCTAAAACAAAAACCTAAAGATTAAATAAAATGCCTTTATCAGTCATTGAGTGCGTCTGAAAATATATTTAAGTCCTTCTGCAATTGTTTTCATTTATTTAAATGTGGCTGCATTGGGTCACAGAACTTTCTAGCCCGGGAGCAATTGAACCGTAGATAAGAAATCAATTACTGCACAATCTCTAGCTTAAGCCAGGCGGCTTTTACCCAAATGATTTCCATCGGGCCCCCAACACACGTACAGCCATTAAAGCTTTTGGCGGTTGACAAGGGTATTGACATTGGCCATCGAAAACTACTCGACCACACACACTTGCATTCGGGGGATTTTTGCGTACAAGTTTGCTGTTGGCCAAAAACCTTTTTCATGCTTCGCTTCAGTCAAACGAATGGAACTTGGCCCAAAGGGCAGAGCCAAAGCACAAGCCTCAGTGAGATGGCTTGGAAACTTTACCTGTCGACATGGGCGTAAGTAGGGGAACTGGGTTTTCAGGCTTCTTAATTTTTTATATTTCTTAAAAAAAAATTGAATATTGATTTGGGTTTGCTTTTAAGATTATTAATACTTTATTGTTTTTACAATAAGTCTATAAAGTATATGTATAAGCTATCATCTTTAAGCATATTTAAAATAATCAAGAAAACTACTTTTAATTTATTTAAATTTTTTAACTGCTGAATTTCTTTCTTTCTTTCTTACTGATTTATTAAATTACGTTGATGTATTATGAGTTATAATAACAAGGGTAATAAAGAAATTTATGAATTTTGTAAAATGTCAATAACAAGCAACAGTTTCCAATAAGAAAAAATCATTTCTCCCAGAGGAATTTCTTCCAAATTAAGACCCTTTTTAAGAATCCTAGTCTACATCCTTGCTAGAACCACAACATTTCCATGTGTATTCGTATTTGGGTGTGTGGTTTGGGTGTGTTTGAGCTTCAGTGCGACAAAGAACGAACAGAACGAAGCCCAAAAAACGCTTCAGTTAAGCCCGCAGTTAACTTTTGACTGCTCGCACGGCCTTCATCTTCCCATTTTCCTGACCCCCACCTGTTGGCCCCCCACCTTTTGCCCCTCCCCCTTCCATTCCCTGTCCCATTGCTGCTGATTATTTTGCCATCGCAGCCATTTCGTTCCATTTGTCTGAAGCTGAATCGCTTTCAAAGCGACATATACTTCGACCCCTGGAAATGAACATTCGCACATTTGCACATGGAAAAATAGATGTGGAGAAATTAGTTTTCCTTATTTAAAAAAAAAAAATTTTATATTCAATATTAAAATCGTCTTCTAATATGGGTTTTGGATTTTGTGAAAATGTGATAATGAATCATATTAACCCAAATAATTATTAAGTTAAGTCCGTTATTTACTTTTAAATAAAATTATAAGCTCCATAAAAAACCCATTTAAGGAATAAATAATGCTAATTTTTGATTTTTTTTTCATGAACTTTTTTTGCTCAGTGTAGGCTCAAACTCACCTGAGAGGCCGCCTCGAATATTGGCAGCTGTAATATTTCACGATGTAGATGCATGGAGACGTCGCCACGCAGCTCCTCGGGAAATTCGCGTAGCGTCTGCAAGTGGAGGAAAAGCCGGGGAAAACGATGAGTCAAAGATGAGTGGAGAGGCAAACATAAGCATCACGCAAGAACACAAACACACACACAAGTGAAAAGAGAAAGTGAATAAGAGTATACACGTGAAAATGAATCGCCTGAAGATTGTGAGGGAAATGCTTGGCATTATTTAACTCCGGCAGGGGGGAAATGTTTCAGCTTATCTGGTCTTGCTTGTTTTTCAACTGCAATATGTAATATATGTAATAAAAGATGGAAAAGGGGCAGAAGATGTGAGAGAAACAAAGCGATACCCTGTAAATATGAGGGTTATAATATTTTTTTTAACTTTAGAAAAATAGATTTTGTGTAAAAGAATTCGTTTTAAGAATTTAAATTATAGACTTTGGTCTTTAGTCTTTTTATGTTATTATGTAATTATAATTTGTTATTTATTGAATGTGATTACATTTTAAAATAATAATAACTATAATATATATATATTTGTCTGTTTGAGAGACAAAGCAAACTCCATTTTGATTTTCTGTTACCCCCTGCCAGGATATAATTATATTTTTCTCTTTTCACCCCGCATCTTCATCTCTTTTACTTATTTGCCATGGGTTCGTTTCAAGTGTATTGGATGGGAATTGTCGGTGTTTCGGGATTAACATGGAAATTGAGGAGGAATTTGCATCTCGCTTGTTTACATTCACCGCCCACTCATTGTTCTGTCTTTCGTTTCTGTAGTTATCCATATGTACACATATTTATATTCCAGGGGATGATTACACTCGAAAGTTATTCATAAGCATGAAAATCGCGTAAATTTGTTTGCCAACTGGACCGCAAATAATATGGCCAAATCTGTGTGGCTGCCCAATTTTCTGGATTATGGCTTTATGTGCAGTAAATCTGCTTATACAAGACTCAACTTAATTGTATAAATAGTTGGGCAACTCGTGTGTCTATGTTTGCACATTAATTAAGGCCAAAAGCAACTAAATCAATTTCGGGGCAGCCAGACCTTAATTAAAAATTCACAACGAATGCCAACGCAAAGTGCAAATATTTCAGGCCGAAATAGATGTCAGCCATTTCCAATTAAATTCCAAAGCTCAGTTCATGTGACTGGAAAATATACAAATGAGTTCAAAATAATAGTAAGAGTTCTGATGAAAATGCCTGAAATGGGTTAATAAACTAGTTTTTTATTAACTTTTATTTAAATTACCAAACGCTACCAATTAAAAGTGTTTTTTACTCAGTAAAAAATATAAATTACATTTTCCAAAACTGTTGATTATTAGTTGTGTAACGCAGCTGTGAACATTTTTAAGAGGAAAACAAAGGGAACTATGGCTAACCAAGTGTAACTAAACATGGAAATATGTTGAAAGTTTTTCCTGGGTTTTGTTTGTTTTTGTGTTTTGCTGTTTTTATGGTATGCTTCTTCCTTTCTCCCCAAAGGGCAATTTCCAAAGAATTGTTATTTATGTTCCATTCTGTCTCTGTCTGCCCTTCTGTGTGCAGTGAAGTGTAAAATATTCTACATTAATTGCGCACACACTGGCCAAAAGTCGGTGTTAAAGTGGGTGGTGTTTTTTTGTTTGTCGGCCCGAACTTAACTTGAAATTCGCGCTACTGGGGCCAACATCATTTGGCTTTTGCAGGGGAACCCCGACGTTTCGCCAGTTAATTTTCATGCGCAATAAATTAACAATTTAATTTAGTGCCAGCCCGTCGTCGACTCCCCGATTTCCCACCAAATTTCGGTGCTATAATTTGTGTGGCATCGACAGGTCGAGTGTGCGTGTGTGTGGCTGTCTATATTTCATGTTTGGTCTGTAATTAAATTACATTCCATTAAAGCGTTGTCAAAATTCCTAAACGCCTTCCCTTGACGTGGAGTTGAAAATCGCTGTCTAATTGCAGCTCAAATTTTATGACGCGAGCTTAAAATTTTGGCTGTCATATCGCGAGTAAAAAACTGGCAGTTTGATTTAAATACTGACATTATAAATTACACTTCAAAGGCGGAGAAACAACTAATTAATTTGAAATACATAAATGTTGCCTTATGTAATCATGTATGGAAAATCAAATTACAAAATATAAAAATAAAAACTTAAGAAGACTTAAACGCTTTACTTTAAAGAAATATATTTAAACATGTTATTTAAATATTGTGTGATTTGAAGCTCCCTTAAATCCGGGTGCCCATTAGCAAATAAAACAAGAGTCCGTTTAATTAAAGTCCACAGAGCAAAAGCCAGTCGACAAACATCCTAGACTCGAAGATAAAAGTGGGTTTTATTTGAAGAGGTTTTAATTAACAATATTAAAACGGGGCGCGGGCTGCAAAGTCTCTACTAATAGCAATTAGCGAGTGGAATCGCTGCTCTTTCGCCTGTGCTGCACTTTTCCTGCATTTTATTGTGCAGCAAGGGGGGGAAAACAAAGTTTCCCGCGGCCACCTGGTCGACACGGCAAAGTTTCAACGAGTTAAAGTTCAAAACTGCATAGCATCCCCAATGATTGATTTCTCTCGACCAACAATCAGCTATTTCCATGCAGCTGCAGAAAAGTTTCCCCCTCAAGTTCGGAATTATAGTGCTACAGTTTCAAAGCCGATAAAAATAAACAAGAAACAAAAGCAGCTGTATGCGATCAAACTACTAAAAGACAACTCAGAACTAAATTGGCATGAAAGAGCAGGCAAAGCAGGGAACTCAATGCACTTGACAGCTTCCACCCAGAAGATAAGGTACACAACTGGTATTTCTTCCCTTCTGCTCGAGTTAATGTAATTGTAAAAAATTTTAATTAAAATGTAGATGCAGCCCGAGGGCCACACACAAGGAAAAACAATGGAAGACCACAGGGAAAGCCAGCAGCCCAACATCCCGCTCACACATATAATTTCGATATTTAATTTTAACTTTTACACGAGTGCCGGCAGTGGCAGTGCGGTTGAAACACCTGAACATGGATGACCAATCAAAGCTGGGCCACACATTTGACACATGACCGGCAGCCAATCAATAAGTCACATGTCCATATAGAGTTTTGTATGTTAACCCCACGGACATTTGCTTAATTAAGGGCTCAGACGTTTATCGAAGAGGAAAGGCCGCTGGCTCTGCCGAATCTGATGCGGATTCCGATTGAGAAGTTTCTGAAGTTTGAGTGAAGTCAGTCAAGTCGAATCCAGCGATAGACTGCTGCGTCGACAACTTTGCCAATCACTTTTTAAGAGGGTGGCCACAAAAATACATTGAAATAAATAGTTTTCATGACCAGATTTAGTTTCCAGAACTAAAAGTAAGTCAAAAAAAATATGAAATAAAAATTGAATAAAAATACCGAGTTTATGGTTAAAGTTATTACCTATTATATAAATCAAATATTTAATTCATATTTTTATGATAATAATAATAAAAGTAAGGACTTCTTTGACTTCGAAATATATATTTACACCATAAGAACAAAAGCAGATGTCTTCGAAATACTTCTTACATCATGAGTAACCACGGTCACCGAAAACCGTTTCATTTAAAATGAATGATGTTATTGTATACATATGGAATGCTGTTTCCCCCAGTGTATGGCCTACATGATTTATGACACACACTCAATCGAAAGGAGATGGACGTGCCCCGGGGACAAGGCGGCTACTCGATGCTCACCTCGTATATGTCAATGCCATGGCTGAGTGACCAGGAGGTCTGGAAGTAGTCCTCGATGCGCTGCTTCAGCTCCTTGGGCATCTGTAATGAAGAGATCATAAATTATAATTGCATTCGCTTCGCTCCAGTTTTCCCTTTTTGCCATCTTAGCGTTTAATGAGCTGCGATGCGCGCTACTTTCACTTCATTTGCATGCATTTCGCGGTTGAGAGCCGCACAAATGCGCTTAATTACGCATTGCGTATACGACGTGGGTGCAGCTCATTGCGTATACGCCGCGTGCGCTGCCTAATGGAGCGACCCTCAAGTTTGCACCATCAACAGGTTGCATGCCACGCAAACACGATGCCCTGGAATATGCTGGAATCAGCAATTCATGGCCTTGAGCCACCATTTCCGTTCCATTTTCCATTTCCTGCCCAGCGTTGCGTGGCATATGGAAAATGTGCACTGCATTCTAATAAAATCCATCGAGTGCACTATGGGGCCAACGACCACATTCGTTGGCCAAAACCCATTTTTGAAAAGTCGTCAAAACCAAAAAAGTTGTTTTAGGATATATTAACAGAAGACCAATCTGCAATGTTACGTATCAGGAATTCCGATAGAGTGCGCTTCTGTTAAGATAACAGCTGTTAAATCAGATGTTTAAGATGCAAGCCACGTGCTTTTGAAATTCGACTTTTAAATTGCATTTTTAAAGTGTTTAAAAAAGCAGTTTATAAGCGTTCCAAAAAATTGTTGTGATATGAATTCGATGAATGGTGGTGTGTACTTAGTGTTTATGTGTTTAAACGGTTGAAATCTATCGTGCTGTCTTTGAACTTAAGTGATAAAGTGAGTTGCCTAAAACGCGTTTTTTAAATAGAAAACTAATTTTAAAATAGAGCAACAAAGTGAGTCCAGCGGAGTCCACTTCTGAAACCTATTGAGATTTGTAGAGTATTAAATTCTTTTTAAAATGTATATGGTTAGAATCGCCACTTATTGCCACTTTTTACGAAATTTTAATTTTAAGCACATAACCTCAAGTTTTGCAACCTTAACAGTAGTTGCGTTGAATATTAGAATCCTTTTGATTTTCAATGAAATATTGAACTAGAATCCGAAGAGCATGATGTTTAATAGCAGGTCCCATTTTTATACCCTTGCAGAGGGTATTATAATTTTGGTCAGAAGTTTGTAACGCAGTGAAGGAGACGTTTCCGACCCCATAAAGTATATATATTCTTGATCAGGATCAATAGGGGAGTCGATATAGCCATGTCCGTCTGTCCGTCTGTCCGTCTGTTTCAATACCGTTTGCGAGCTCAGTTTAAAAGCTAGCGATCTGAAACTTTCACAATCGTCCTAAAACATGTGTACGCAGATCAAGTTTGAAAATCGCCCCGATCGGACGTCTATATCCTATAGCTCCCATAGGAACAATTGGATATATCTTGCAAGAATTTATGATATTTCGCGCAGTGTAAAAGCTATTGACATTAATCTTTACAAATCGTATTTTTTTATGCATACCTTGATCAGGGTAAAAGCGCGTGGCGATCGGACGTCTATATCCTATAGCTCCCATAGGAACAACAGGGTAAAATCGGTTAAAATTTAATGATTTTTAGGATATTTCGCGCAGTGTAAAAGCTATTGACATAAATCTTTCCAAATCTTATTTTTTTATGCGTACCTTGATCAGGGTAAAAGCGCGTGACGATCGGACGTCTATATCTTATAGCTCCCATAGGAACAATAGGGTAAAATCGGTCCAAATTTGATGTTTTTCAGAATATTTCGCGATGTGTAAAAGCTATTGCTGTACATTTTTTCAAATCGTATTTTTTTATGCATTCCTTCATCAAGGTAAAAGCGCGTGCTGATCGGACGTCTATATCCTATAGCTCCCATAGGAACAATACGGTGAAATCGGTAAAAATTTCATATTTTTTAGAATATTTCGCGCAGTGTATAAGCTATTGACATACATTTTTCAAAGTCTTATTTATTTACGCATATCTGGATTAGGGTAAAAGCGCTTGCCGATCGGACGTCTATTTCTTATAGCTTCCGTAGGAAAAATAGTTAAAGGCTGCGAAAGTATCCCTTTTTTTCTATTTTTATATGACATTTTTGCAGTATAAAAGCAATTGACATTAAACGATGCAAATCTAGTTTATTTATGTATACCTTATTCCTTTCGCTACTTTTGCAGTTTTAGCAATTTCGGCAAAGTCTGCAAGGGTATTAAAACTTCGGCTTGCCGAAGTTAGCTTCCGTCCTCGTTTTACTTATTAATAAAATTATTTTAATCCGATTTTCGTGCATTTACATTGAACCTTTGTGGAACGAAGAACATTTTGCTTTGCATTTTGAATTCTATTCAGAAGCAGATATAAAAAATATAAAAAAATATAATATAAATGAAATTATAAAGTATATAATAATAAAAAAAAAATTATTCGATTATCTTGACAAATGACAAAGTTGACTAAATCGATCGTATGGCAGCTATGGGATATATTTGTTCGATCCTTTTCTTTTTAACATATATGTTGCCTAAGGATACCAAAAAACGATTGGTAAAGTTTTATCTCGATATCTCTAAAATTGAGCGAGTAATTAATTTTGGCCAACAAAAGTGGTCGTTGGCCCCATAGTGGAGTGGCACCACTTCTCCGAGGTCCTTTCCTGAGGGGTTCATTTATTTCCCGGGCCCCTGCGGTCTCTGCAAATCTCAATCGCACACCCTTCTCATCGAAATCATACTCACATTGTGCAGGGCCACAAAGTCCTTTAGGTCGCGCCATTTGCTCTCATATAGCGAGCGGCGCGAATACATCCTTTGGATGATGGCAGTCACGTTACCGAAGACCACGGCGTGCATCAGAGCTGGGTGATGAAATGGATAGGGTATATCATTAAATCTCGGCTTGGCTGCCCAAAAAAGTAATAACCGTTATTAAAGCGGCGCGTGCTGCTATTTTTCAGGCCGCCCCTTTTCCTAATGATAAATTAAGCCTCGTTTTTACGCCGTAGTTCCCGTTTTGGGTATGCATTTCCATACAATTATTCGATTTGATGAAGAGTAGGGCTTACTGATCAGACTTCTATATAAAATCTATTAGTAATACTGGTTTATTTCTGATAAATTATTAATACAAAATATGTCTGATAAGATCCCATTTAAAAATAAAATTATAAAAATAAAACGTATTTTAATAGCATGAGAACTATTCTTAAAGATGTGCAATTCAGACTTAAATTTTACGAAAAATAAAGAAAAGTAGTGTATACCAACACTGACTTATATCTAAAATTAAAAGAAGCACTATCTCCGAAAATATTCTAAAGATAAATAACTATTTACCTTAAATTTACGCGTTACTTACAAAGCAAACTCATAAAACTTTAGTTAACGAGGCCCATTTAATGGCCTTTTTCCTTACAGTTAAGAAATGTCTAACCCAAATACTTTGCAGTTTTGGACATTAAATTATGTGGTAGTAGTTGCCCCTCCTAATAACAATATTTTGCAGCCCAAACATTATAGTACCCACCGCCAATGAGCATCATGATGATGGTGAAGACCTTTTCGGCAGTGGTGTTCGCCGAAACGTTGCCAAATCCCACGGAAGTGAGACTGGTGAAGGTGAAGTATAGGGCCGTGGAATACGTTTCCGCCGTGGTCAAAATGGCCACGGAAGCGTTTTTCCTTTCCGCCAAAAGCTGCAGCCAACCTGTGAAGAATACTTGAGGCATTTAATACGACGGGAAGACAGGAAGAGAAAACAGAGGAAAAAACTTGTTTAGTACGGCGTTTAATTACAATTTGCGGCCCAAACAAATTGGGCTTATCAAATTGACAATGACTGAGCCCAACTTTCTCGACTTCCAGTTAGTCAGTTGTCTGTCAGTTTGGAGCTCGTGCCAAAATCCGGCAAAAGCTGTTTTGTCCGAAACGGAAGCGTCAAACGAAACTTTTCGTGTCTGTCAGGCCTGAAAGATTTGCCCACCCACTGATTAAGTGCCAGAAAATATCATGACGAAAACTTTTTCCCCCATGGCAATATATATACACACCACTGATGATTTGATTCGATTTGAAGCAATGTGCGCTAATCCGTAACCAAACTTTAAACCTCGACTAACACAATATTCATTAACCACACGTGTAGTGGGTGGTTAGGCTCGCTTTGGGTTGTGGTGTTTCGGGTGTTTGGTTTTCGGTGGTTCAGGTGGTTCATGTGGTGTAGCTTTCCAGGACTACCTCCCAAGGGGGCAAAAAATTCAGTTAGCGTTCGACGATGCCCTGCCCTTCACTGTTGACTAACCAACTAACCAAATTACCTTTGGTACACACTCTCAAAATTCAGTCATAGGTACACAGTTGTGGTCGAAATAATAGCAGGACCAATTTCAAATTACTTAATATTAAATTATACTTTTGTTTAAAAAATAAAAATATTTATTTGAAAACGTTTTCACGTTGCGTGTTATAAGCTTTGATTATTTCCAATTTAATTCGGGCAACCTAAAGTTAAGATTCAATAAACTTGCATTTAACTAATATTTGAATTGGCTTCAAGCCAAAACATGAAGGTATAAATAAAGGATAATTACTATATTATTTTGATTTTTAAAAATATAAGCTTTATATACGGAGGATACCCATTGAGCTATAATTTTGACCCCACCTGTGGCGGTAACTGCTACTTTTCGGGACCTTCAGAGGTACATACTCACCGATGTTGCTCTCGGGGAACCACTCGTACTCCTTGACCGCTATCACATACCAGATGCAGGCCAGCCAATGGGCGGCCAGCGTGAAGGAGAACATCAGCAATGTCAGTATCATGGCCGTGTGCTGCGAGTATCGATCAATTTTTTGCAACAGGCGAGCGAGCCTCAACAGTCGAGTCAATTTCACAAGATGGATGTGCGATTCCTGGGCGAGAAAATGCATAAAAAATATACATGTAGCCAAACGACCCAAGGCTGTTAAAATGTAAGCGAACAGTAACGAAATGCCACGCCCATTTCGCGTTTCGCACTGTCCATTAGTTTGGTTTTGTCTTCCGTTTTTTTCGCCCAGCTCTTCCCCATTTTCCACTTTTCCCACCGGCTTTTGTTGCCCACTTTTCGGGGCATTCAAATGTACGATTTTGTTGCCTACTTTCCAGGGCTTCCCAATTTTCGACCTGGCCAAGGGGCCACACTAAAAAAAATACAAAATTGACAACTTCCCGGGGCCCGCATGCTCGCGCTTGAAAAAAGGGACGAAATCAGAAGAAAGGATGTCATCAAAAAATAAAAATATAAAGTGTAGGATGAACGGGAGGTGGGTTAAAAGTCTAATGCAAACATAAACAAGCTTATCGGAGGGCCTGACCCGGTCGTGGAACTTGAGTAAATTGAAGGCTAATGCCGTCGTTTAACCTAAGATGGAAATTTTTATTTCTCTTTCGTGATTGGCCCTGACAAAGCGCCTTTTTAAAAGCGGCCTTTAAGTGCACAGTAAAAATTTGGAAATTGTAATTCTTAGCTTCAGAAATAGGATAATAAAATGTGTTAAAGCTGAAAACTGATAGAGTCTGACCATTTCAGTAGGCTCTGCAGCCCACAACAAAGTTGATGTAAAGGTAACAAAGTGTTGGGAAAAGAGGTATGCGAAAACTTGCAAACAGCTTAGCTTGGGCATTTAGGTAGAGCATCAATAGACAGACAGCTACGGCCTTGCTTTTTCTTTTTCATTTGCAGTCTATAGGCACTATTGCACACACAGTGCGTTCCAAGAATATAAGCCTGCAAGCTAAAAAAAAATCTTAGATTCATGGGAAACAGCATTGTTTAGTATCTGATCTATGCTGAAAATTTTTGTTTTCCTAATTTGCTTGGCAACGTTATCTTCTTTGTTTAATTAATATTAGTATTATAACTCTTTAAATACAAAATTTTACAATTAGCTTTATAGTTGCATTTAAACTACTAAATTTATTTTAATATTAATGTATATGTAAATGTAAATATACACTCACTTATTTAAATTTTGTTTAATACATTTTTAATTACGAAAACTTACTTTCAGGAAACGCACTGTTAAATGCGCAGGGTTTCTGTCTGCTTGGGAGACAAAAGCAAAAAACAACATCAAGGCGAATTGTAATTCACGTTGCAATTTGTGCTGCGCTTTCACTTTCATTCTTAGCTTTCCACTCCCATGGTTTTCCGACCACTCCCCCTTTCCCGCCCCCTAAACACTGTCTCTTTCTTTGCTAAAGTTTTGCGCTGCCTCACGCTCCCTTTGTTTACTTTTCACTTTGTGTGAGCAGCGACAGCGACAACATCGGCACGGCAGCAACATCATCGTGCACAGCAGCAACATCCTTTGCACAGCAGCAACAGCTTGGCACCGAAGAGGAAACTTCCTCATTCAACTCCCTACTTTTTTTTCCCAGTGACTGACTGCCTTTTTGGGGTCTCAAAGATAATTAAAACTTTAGAATGAACTAAATATGCAAAAGTTTCAAGTGCATTAGCTCAAATTGTATGCAAAGCGAGCAGGCACAAAATAAATATCAAAGTGTATAAAAATGTAAAAGTTTAAGCCCCAAATACATTCATAAATGACTTCTGGCCAACTTTTGCGTTGCTTTGGAGAGTGTCACAAATTTTTACAATTAGAGAACATTAAAGTTTTATCGAAACTTTTTGTGTCAGCAGCATAGCACACGCCTCTGATTTTGCAAAAAAGAAAAAAAACAAAACAACAAAATAAATAACTTTTTCAGCCCCTCCCCTGAACGTGGCTAAATTTCCTGAAGCGGAAGTCACAGAAAGTGGGGGCCAAAAGAGCCTTTTATTTGATCAGTGTATCCAGCGGAAGTTGGCAAAGAAACAGCTAAGAAAAACCGCAGCATGATGACGGAGCGGTAAAAGAAAATCAATGAAACATGAGTTCGAACGAAATATAGCTCAATTGATAATCCCACTGGGAAAAGTCTGTTCATTAAATCAACAGTTATAGAAAATAGGTTCCTTTTGCAAGCAACTAGGAAAATAGCCTATATCAAATTGTAATTCTGTTTAATTTTATTGATCAACAGAAAATGACCAATTAAAAAACTCAACACAGGATTTTATACAAGCTTTTAGTGTTATGATACAAACTATTTTTACCGCAAATATAAGACTGTAAAAGAAAAGTTATCAACTTCAAGTGTTTTCAGCACAAGATTCCTATTCAAACTTTAAGTATTGCATATATATTTAATAAAGTATGATTCGTAAATGAAAATTTTAATTAAATCTAATTAAATCTTAATTTTAACGAGATTGTTTAATCGTTTTTTTTTTTTACAGAGTTTTTAGAGTCGACCTTAATCGAATGAATACAACTAAATTGCTAAATGCTTTTATGATTTTCTCTTTGTAATGCCCTACTGCGAAATTATTTAGTGGTGCGCTCAGGAAATCCTTGGACTGTCAATAAAGGCGACGACAGCGTTCTCCACTCGGCGCAATCAGAGCGCTGACCACTTCACAGGAGGAGGCGGTTGGAAGGAGCTTCCGACCAGCAAAGTGAAAGCTGAATAACATAAGCCCGCTGGAGAAGTGCCCATTGTCCTCCGACGACCGCTCGAGGGGTCGACTCCATGGAAGCAGGGGACCAATGTGGTCAATGTCATCAAAACTGCACTTAAGGCTTTAAGCTCGCGTCTGCGAAACAGCAGGATATGACACAGTTTTCGGAATTTAAAAATACTAATGCTGTTTTAGCTGCACATTTGGGTCACAGCCTTGCCCTCGCCCACCTACTTAGCCCGTAATTAAAACGCGGACCAGCCAGAAAACTCAGCCGTGGATGCTTTGGCCAATGTAATCGGCTTAATGAGCGGCAACTGCTCTCCAAAGGGGTCAAGTGCTGAGCCGCCCTTTTGTGCCAACGAAAAGCGGCGAAAAAGTTGTCTGCAAATGACAGCTTAAAATAAATAAATTTCGGCATTTTAGGCTGTTAATCTACCAAGGAAGTTGTTATATATTTTCTATTGCATATTGAAAATAAACTCTCGCCCTTATAAAATGGTCGATCTTAATTAGCAATAAGTGTAAGGGAAAACAAAAAAATTAACCTTTATTTTCAGACGTTGCAATATGGTTTCCTAAAAATTACTCTTACGCCACGTAAGCCAGGTCATATTTTGTACAAACAAATTTGTCTCCCAGCTTTCTCAACTCGTCTTTTTAAAAGGAGTCAATAGTGTTAAATGTATTTTTGATGGAGGTCTGAATTTTGAATTAACCAAAGGCAACAGTGCGTATGAGTGATAAACTTTAAAGCCGAGGAGCCGGTCTAAAAACGCATATTTTCTACAAATACCTTAAATGCACCAAAACACCGTGCGAACTTAAATTATTCATAAGTATTTGAACCGCCCTAACTGGTTTTTAAAATCATTGGCCAAAGAATTTAAATAAACAAAAGTTTAGAACTTAATTTCGGCACTATAAGTCTTCTACTCCCTTAGACATCAACAAAAAAATAAATTTACTCCAAACCATAGCTTTGTTTTCAAACTGCACACATTACAAAACCTTAAGCGGCAAACACAATTAAGTGAATTCTAAATTTTTCGCCCCAACTGCACATTTCTATATAATCCGATTAAGTGGCCCAGCGCAAAACTGTGAACTTTTAATATGTATGCATTATGCATGCAGGACAAAATAGTTTTATGCAAATTTCTTAAGGCCATTTACCACTTGAAAATTTGGGCCATAAATAATAAATGGCAAAGCCCCATGGAAAAACCGCAAGGGGATTATACAAATTGACCCAACAATTTGTTGGGAAATTTACAGGACATAATGGTAATGCCAGATCCCCTATGTGAGCAGCCAAAGTAATACATCATCCCTCGAATACCTCGTATATAGAAAAGCCGGGGAAGAAATGCAAATCTGGGCTTAATAATTTAGGGCTTGCTGAGTAAATTTATGCAATCGTCGGCTGCGAATAGTGATTACTCACCTCGCCGTCGTACAAATCGGAGGCGTACAGGTGATCAAAGGGCAGCGCGGCCAGAAGGTCCAGGGCGAACCATCCTCGGAAGTAATTGATGGCAATCTGCTTCGAATTGGAGACAACCTCGCCTTTGCGGGAAACGAAGGTGGTGCGGAAGTTTAGCAGAATATCTGCAATAAAACGGCAATAAAGGCGAGCGGTGAAACAATGTTTACAATGCCCGCAACGAGACAAATTCAATTCCCATCCTCCCCGGTTGAGGATGATGATGATGATTGTGGCTCTGGCTTCCACAGGTGGCCCATAAAAGAGACACCAATTGCTGTCCCTTTGGCGGGGGATGGGTTATATAACTCGTGCGGTGATGGTTAGTATTCACTTAACCTATTGTTTCAATAACTCGGCTTTAAAAAATAGCTTTAAATGCGTATATTCCATTTAAAATTCACCATGATATTTAATTCTTTAGTTAGGTTTACATTGTTTTAAATTTAAATGGTTTTGTTGTTAAGGCTAATAATGTTTATAATATGCATGAGTCACATTAATTTATACAATTTCTTCATTTAAATATATATTGTACTATTTAAATCAGTGGAATAAGTGATTTGTTATTTTCATTTAAAAGCTTTTAAGCTTAAATGAACTTGTTTTAATGAACCATATGTAACATACTTTTTATACCAGAAGGGTAAATCCTTTCCCACCTCTCGTCCAATGCACTCACCTACAATAAAGAGCGCCTCCACAATCACATCCGATACCATTGTCTGGCGATCCGCTTTGGCGAACGCGGCATTGTAGGGCACCATTAGGGCCACGTAGAAGGTGGCCACCAGAATCACCCAGTCCCAGATGCCCTTGAACACCCCGTAATGGGGCAGAATCAAGCGTGACTTTTTTATCGACTGGGTTTTGTACTCCGGAAACGGCGCCTCCGTCGAATGCATAAAATTCTGAAAAATAGATTGTGGGCAAATAGCATGAAATGAAATCCGGCACAAACATGAAAAGTGAATTAAATTAATTGAACCTTTAGAGCGATTAGTTGCCAACCGATTTTTTAATCACATTAGTTGAAGTTAACAAGTTTCCCCTGAAATTCCATCAACATCCATCGCTTGGCACACACATAAATTAGATTTCCTTTTTTATTTGCAAAATTAAGTCGTTCAACAATACTTTAAAACTTTAAATTAACGTTATAGTTTTGAAAACTCATCAAGTCGATAGACTGTGATTTTATATAAAATAGTTTCTAAAAATTTTAAGCAATTCAAAACTGTTTTTAAACTTTAAAAACAATGAAAGAGTCAACTCAGAGATATTACACTTTTTTACGAGTCATTTCAACTTTCAAGCATTTATGTATCTCCTTAATTTATGAAAGTAAGAAAGTTTTGTATTGCTTATTAGTTTTTATAGGACATTAGACATTATACTTCAATTTAGTTTGACGTGCTATCTTATTCATGTTCAGATTTATGGGTATGGAATTTTTCTTCATGCATCAGAGCAGAGCACTTTAACAATCACCGGGTTTAAAATGGTAATTTAATGTGACGTGGCAACAACACTGTTGTTGTGGCCTGCTGCTGATGGCCGGTGGCTCTTAGTGTGGCCAAAACCCCCCCGTCCCCCGGCTGTCATACTCACATTGCCCAGTTTCAACTTGGTCTTGACACCGCCCTTTTCCGGCTTGTAGTGCCCGGAAAGCTGGTAGAGGACCGCCCTGCTGCGCCGGCGGCCCATGTGGCAGCCGGCGGGAACGTCCAGGTTGTTGCCCTCCCCCGCCTCCGCATCCCCGTCGCTGGCCGGCGGTCCGCCCAGGCCGGGCAGTCCGCCCAGACCCAGCATGCCGGCATTCGAGCCGGCCCGGAACCGCGCCCCCAAAAGGGCAGCTGTAAGGGCAAAAACTTACAGAGTCGCAACAAAAAAAAGAGCAACAAAATCAGGCAGGATATTTTTGGATGGTTTGGATGGGTTGGGGTTTTCGGTTTTCGTAATTACAGTGATTTACCGGATCGGTGTGTTAGATTAGAAAGAGCACAAAGAGAAAGAACACATAGAATTTTACACATAAGACATTGTGAATTATTTGTCATGGTTAATTTTTAAGATTTTGTTTTTAATTTAAGCTTTTCTTAGTTAAATCGGTGACAGTTTCGGTTTAAAGTGTATTTTTAAAGCGTCACTTAAATGCAGATGTTTGTGTGTGTGTGTTTTTGCACTCCCTCAGTTGCAACCTCTCCTTGGGAACATTTTCCTGAAATTTGGTCGACTTTCCGACAAGTTAAATAAAGCTTTCCCTCTTAAATGCTCGGCTCCATTTATTATTTCTGCTGAGTTTTATTTGTGCAGCTTAGTTGGGCAAAGATGGTGTTAGCTTTTGAGCATTAGTAAAACAAAGTTTTCTTTTTAAATGTTTTTTTCTTTTTTATTTTTGCTGAGATTTGTTACAGAAACTTTTAAATGGAATTTGGAAGAATGTTAAAGCCTTGAATTTTATTTAAATTATGTTTATCGAGGGCGGACTTGCCCCTCATTAGACACTTTTGGACACTTTAACCTCACTGATATCGAAACCCTTGGCAGCCCTAAATAATTTATAATCTCCTTCGATGGCTGACAAATATTGGCCAAACCTCGGTCACCCCAACAAATCAGGCGAATAAACATCATATTTCACAGCCGCACAAACAAAACTCGATAAGATTTCCCACCCACGAAAACTCCCATATTAAGCGTCGCAAAAGGCCCATTAAATTGAGTTTAATTCTATTTGTGTTTGGTGTCTCAACAGGACAGGCATGCTATAAATAACAATTAGCTGGATGGTGAAAAATGGACCCAAAACAAATTTGATACGATTCCCATTCCATCGTGTGCTAATTATAAGCAAAAAAAAAAAATAAAACCACAAAATTATGCAAATAACGGCCAAGAAAGTGACCATTTTTTCCCAGTCCCATTTGTCTTTTTTTCCTGTTTTCATTTCATTTAATTTCTTTTATATACTACAGCCAATTTTGTTGACCGAAATATGATTTCAATTTTAATACCCACAACCCACGAAAAGTCCAGTTTGACTTCGGTGCTGTCATATCAAAATGCCAATTAAGCTGGGACCGCCACCTCACTGGTATATATATACTATATATACGTATCCGTAACCAAGCAACAGCCGTTGACTAAAAAAAAAGGTCAGAGAAAAATTAAGAGATAAAAAAGCATCTCAGTTTACGCACCACGCATACACAAATGTTTTTCAGACCGGCGTAAAAAAGGTGGGATACTTTAACAAAATATGCACAACTCATTCGGGAACGAGGGGAAAATTCACTGACAGGCTTAATGATGTGTGAAACGATGGTCATCATCGCATAACTGTCACAATGCGATAACGATTATGCTCTGACGATGCCGATGTCGATAATGCCATTTCAAATCCTGCTCATCAAAACGCGCTTTATGACAAAATTCTGAACACTGCTCGCCTAATTATCTTTCCTCACAATTTTCCCCCGCACATTTTCCTTGCGGCCTTTGTCACAGCATTAATTTCCCATTGACGTAGATCGGCACTCGAATTTTCCAGCCAGCTTGATTCAAGCTGGAAATTGGGTTTGCCAAGGTTGGTTGGCCCGGACTTAATTTCATTTGCATAAATTAACAAAAATTGAATCAAGTCCGGCCGCTGCTTTGGTTTCAGTATAGATTAATTCGATATAGACTGCATTTCATCTCACTGGTTTCTGGCATCGTCTGCTTGTCCGTCACTCAATAGCCAAGTTAATGAAATTCATTACCGAATGTTGTCCGCCAAGTAAATGTATGTCCATCTAACACAATTACATACGTAAGCCTTCTGTTGCAGGAGGGCGATAAGAGCGTGTTGCAAGTATTTGTTGCAATTGCAATCTACGTGTGCAACATCTGGTAAACATTGGGTGTGAATTTCCATTCCCTGTGGAATGATTGCTTTCGAGGTATATTCAGCTGAAGCAGCAAAGTTCCTAGTACATTCTTTGAATATTTGAAAAAATAACTGAAAACTTAGTTCGTAAACTTTTAGATTATTAACTGAATAGCTTGAAAATAAGAAATGTAGAGTTTGAAACAAGCCAATTTTCTGTGACAACTAAAATTCGATATACTAATGCACCTTAGTGTTTATTTGTCCTGAATTTAAGTCCCATCAATACCATCAGCACTAAATAATTTAGAGCTTCACAGGCAGGTAAAGAGGAGACAGAAGGACCTTGCCATCCTGTCAGTCAGCATACGGTGCAGCAAATCCTCTTAGGATTCTCCTGCTCGAACTTCAAGTGGCTTCTGCTCGGTTTGCATGGCCCGTAAATCTGCAGGCCAGAAGACGGAATTCAGACGGCAGCAACAACAGATGAATAACGATGGTAATAAAGCTGCAAATGAAAAGGTCAGAGGGCGGGGCTCTGTTTTTTATCCCAGCATTAGCTGAATTCCTCGGCGACACATGCGAATCGAGAGTGAAGGAGAGTAAAGAGAGTCCTGCCATGGCAGGAATAAGTTGTGACGCTGTCAGAACTGTTCGAGTGGTGCATCAATATTTCAGCATCCTTTGGGGACCAGCAGCACACGTGTGCCGGTGTGTCCAACTTTTTTGTCTGATTAATCCAGTGAATTAGACAGAGAGCATATGTGATGTGCCTAGCTCAACTGGAAAAGAACTCCAAACAAAGACATTTGGCAAGGGCTAATTAAGGTAAATGCGTTGATTGAACTCCGGAGAACAGACTCAGATATAAAAGTCTGGCATTAATGCGAATATTTAATGCGACTCATTGCAATCATTATCATTATCATTATCATTACGAATTCAGTCACTTTTGAGCACAATTTCGGCCGCCCATCGACCAGATTATAGCCACAAATCACAGCTGGCTCACAGAGAGAATTGCCCGTGAAAGACGAGTTTAAAATTAACGTTGAAATATGGTATGCATACATCCAGTTGTCAGGGACACGCGCTAGTGAAAAAGGGGAAAACGGATGAAAAGTCGGCAAGGACTCAAAGGAGCGACCGCAGCCAGCCAGCCGGAGTACCTTCCTTCCCAGTTTCCCAGCCAGGAAGCTAACCAAAAACTCTCTCTCTGCCAAAACCAAGCGAAACCAAAAGTTCAACAGAACTTTGTAGGAATATTCCTGGCCGAGGTTGAGGTGACACGCTGACACAGCTCGAAAAAGGTAGTAATAACTGACTTTTAATGGCTCTTGACTGAGGAATACCCTGCCATGAGATTTATAGTCCTGGCTTCTTTACGATCTAAACTCCTAAAATTGCTGAACAGCTAAATCTGTAGCTTTATATCAGCAACTTATTTTAGTCCTGAAGGTAACTTTATGAGCCACAAGAACTATTCTTCAAAACATTTATTTAAAGAAGGTAAGCCAATTATTAAGGGCTAACTAAGCTTGTTGAAAACTACAAAGGGTTTTTTACTAAAAATATATTTGGCAATAAGTAAGCCACTATCATTGCAAATTTAAATTTAAATTGTCATTTTCATTAAAGCATTTCATTAAGCTTTGATTATTGAATCCCTATAAATGTCCCTCCATAGTTAATCATTATTTATTTAAAAAAAAATGTAAATTTAATATTATTTTTATTAAACTAATTGAAACTTTAATATCTTAAAGTGAAGAAGTAAACAGGCTAAACTATCCTTTGACTTACTTTATTATGCAGTGTATATTTTGGCATATTCATTCGCATGCCGCAGACACATTGGGGTTATGTCACAAATATTTAAGCAGTCTTCAGAAACAAAAGGCTTACCCAATCAAAATATTTGGCCATTTCAAGGGATCTGAGGGAATGCATCACTGTCAGTGTGTTGGCTTGTTTATGTGTAGGTGCTTATTAATTCATTATTTTGGGGGATTGGTGGTCTGCGATTGAGTGTGTAAGTGGGTATTTGTGGCTTTTTGTGCACGCTTGGGTTTTCGGCAGTAAAGTGCATTATTTATACCAGAAGCTTATTTTCGGCAGGTGGTGTGGAAGTGGGTGTATACTTACCGCTATCACATTCCTCGTTCACATTCATCTCCAGCATCTTGGTGTGCGTGATGTCCTTGTGGGAGGCCAGAAAGAGCACCACATCCCGCTTTTCGTTCTTGATGGGCACAATGTCGAACAAGCACCAGAATGGGGCACCTGCAATGGTTTTTTTCTTTAATCAGTGGCGCAGAAAATGAAATTTCCCTGCATCGCGCATACGCGACGTGGCCTGCGGTCGCCTAGCTCAATAATTGTCCTTGCAGTGGCAAGTGAGTTTCACTGGTGGCTACACAATGTAAACCTCATCGATGAAAACCTCAACTTCGATGGCAGCCAAATATATCCCCCATCAAAAATCGGTAGTCTAGCTAGGCGTTGGCCCAGTTTTTAATTGGCTGTTAAATACCTTAAAAACTACAACAATTTGTGCGGCTTGAAATTGACAAATAAATTGCATGGCGATTCAATTAGATCGCAATTATTGGCCAGGCCCGCATTTTAATTATCACGCGCTAATTACACACCCAGCCCGAGGTCAACCAGATCCAGTTCACCCTCAGTATCGCAGTCTGCCCCAGCCAATGCATAATTAATAAAACATAGCCGCAGCACACACGAGAAAAGAAAGCCCAGGGGTGGGAAAAAGGGGTGTTCTACACTAAAAAACAAGAGAGAACGCTATAGTCGGGTGTCCCGACTATCAGATACCCGTTACTCAGGTAAAGGGAGTGCGAGGGAGATGGAGATAGAAACTTTGATCACGCATAACTTTTTAACGAATGGTCCGATTTGAAAAATTTCTTCTACATTTCGATAGGTATTGATAAACACAATAAAACTGCATTTTTACTTTTCCGAAATATTTAAATTTTTGAAATCGTATATAAGCGATTGTGGGCGTTAAAGGGGGCGTGGCACCTTTTTGAAACAAACTTGCGCTGCGTAGGAACTCCTAGAATGTGCATGCAAAATGCCAATCTTCTAGCTTTTATAGTTTCCGAGATCTCAGCGTTCATACGGACAGACAGACAGACAGACAGACGGACAGACAGACGGACAGACGGAGAGACGGACAGACGGACAGACGGACAGACGGACATGGCTAGATCGACTCGGCTAGTGATCCTGATCAAGAATATATATACTTTATAGGGTCGGAAACGCTTCCTTCTACCTGTTACATACTTTTGCACGAATACAATATACCCTTTTACTCTACGAGTAACGGGTATAAACATCCCAGATAAAATTAGTATTCCGTGGCATAGAATATTTTAACACTTTAGTATTAGATAATTTTTTGGTTGAGCTAGTTTTGCCTTCTTTGCTTAGAGCAGCTAATTGTTATTATATTAACTTATTTTTTCTTAGTGCATGCCCTCCAGCTCATCGGCCGTCGGTTAAAAGTTTTAAACGCTTCGCTAATTAAAAAACTTACACTCAAAGTTGATGGATCCATCCATCTTGGGCTTATCTCTGCGCCGGGCTTTGTCTTGATTAATCGTGACCTCATTAGGGCTACAAAATACCGCGGCCTGGACGTGCGAAAATGTTAAGAGCACAATTTATTGTACGCCCAGCATGTCAACGAGCCGTGGCGAATTGTAAGGATATGGATGGGTGGAGGTGGAAGTGGGTGTGGGTGTCCTGCGGGACTTGAACATGAACATGAATCCCCCGGAGAACCGCAGGAAACTAGCTCAAGTCTGTCGCGCTTAACTCAATCACGAACAGTTTTCCACCGCCACAAAAACAAGGCGGCAGCCACTGACTTAAATTATAAGTCAATGGTGGTTGTGTGCTCGGCAAACTCTGCAGGTGCGACCGCAATTGATTGGCAACTTTTCACTCTTGTCCTTGTAGTTTTTTCCGACTTTTGTCATTCGACGAACAGCCGAAGAAAAGCAATAATACTCCCTTTATGTGCACATGAAAAGCTCACCAATTTTCCTGGAATGGAACGACAATAGAGAGGTCCTGTTGCATGAATGCCAATATGACAGAGGGCTTTCGACCAAATTAGAAGCTTCACAAAACCTTAAATAAGCCTTGCTGTATGGGATTTGTGAAGTTCTCATTTACATAAAGTTGGAAGGCAATGATAAGCATACAATAGCAACGATTTAATTGGAACTGGCCAAGTTTTTGAATACTAAAAGTTGTCCATTACACAATTTGTATAAATGTATTCAGCATTTGTGGGTCCTGCTTTTAAAATTTGAGATTTGAATGTCTATTAACTTGACAAAACTTAACACTTCTTGGTTTGGATTCTTTGATTCTTAGATTAAGATCTTAAAAGTAGTGAAAACATATAAACCTATTTCCTAGCCACCCCAGCTTATCAAGATTTCGACTTTTTAATGATGTCTCGCCTTCTCGGGGCTTATTAAACTTAGAAAGTTTTATCCTGTGACCATTGGCAACCACAAGCTCTGAAATAATTTCCTTTCTAGCACTCCACGCCCAATTTTCATGAAAATTTTTAATTAAAAAGGCGGCAGAAACAAGACAATTTTCGCAGCATTCCCGCACATCGTAATTGGCAGGGCTTACCTTCCTTCTTGTAGAAAATAACCTCCAGCTTCAGTTCCATCTTATTGGAGAGGCTTTTCTCGATTTGCTGCTTGTGCTCCTCCTTCGTATCCGGTCCGTAAAGGAAATGACATGAGCAGCCTGTTTCGAGAAGGCCGGAATTTCGCCGGAGTTTGCGTTTGTTTGCAATTGAATAAAATGGTACAATACATTCAAATGAGTATTCAAGTGTTAAATAAGTTGAGTCCGTCCGACGGCTCGTCCTTACCCTTTTGCATAATTTGCGCGCGTGAATATCCTGTCAAATCCACGAACCCATCCGAGCAATAAACAATTGGATTGCCATTTGCCTGCGCATTGCCGAGCACAAAGTTCGAGTCTGGAAATGGAGGAGAAAAGTTGGATGAGTGGGGGAAAAGCGGGTGTAACAATGGGGAAATGTAGTTGGGGAAAACGGCAATGCGGATGGGTGATGGTGAAGGATGATGTTCAGCTGCTTTTCATTTGCCATGAAATATTGTCCCGACAAACAACGGTAATAAGACAAGTCCTGCTGTGTGTCCTTTTCAAGAAAAATGAGACTGACGGGCTCAAGTTGGCCGTCTCCTTAAAATGCACAATTTCCATATTGCCAGAAAAATGTATACTAAGGATTACCGAATCAAAAATGTCCTTAACTATTAACTTAAGTTCATCAAAATGATATTGATTTAATCTAGATATATTCGTTTAAAATTAAGCTATAGGTTTCCTCATATTTTTTAATAGTTTACCATTTGAATAGAATTCGTATTTATTGCGCTTCCTTTGGCATATTTTATTTATTGCTACAAGCAGTTCTGTATTATTGTGAGTTTAACCTTTTCCTTTTACGACTTTGGCATTTGCACTTGACCTTCATGTTTGGCACATGCTGCGAACACTTTTATTGTTTGCAGAAATAAACAAAAAATCTGAGAAACATTTAATTAAATTTTTCGGCAAGCTCGCTGCAGAAAATGAAATTTTTTTGTGCCATTGGGCCAATTTCAAATACAGGAGTCCTGGAACTACCCTGTGAAATCCAGCAGAAGTGTAGCGTCCTGGATTTGCGATTTGCGCAGAGTGCATTTATTTTTAGCATTTGCAAAGAACAAGCTTTTCCCAGCGTGCTTTCCTCTTTATTTACCTTTTCAATGCAATTTCATAAATAGAAACGTTTCCCACACCCACACCCTCGTCCTAGCAAACATATCCCTTCCTGTTTCTGAAGGACTGTGAATAGAACGAGAAAGATCGTAATTGCTGACACAATGGACAGATTATATGGGGATATACATGTATGGAAAGTAAGGATGTGGATGCATCAAATTGAATTGAAAGACAAGCCAGCTGAATGGCAGCTCGAAATGAAAACTCATATGGCACACAATAAAGATAATCTGCATGTGTGTTGGTTCTACAACAATATCAACAAGCCAAAGATATGTTCTAGAAATGAAGAGTAACTGCAATAATTCCATTTATTAGCAATCAAGGACATTTTGTCGCTGGAAACTCCGGAAAATAGCCAGTGAATTGTTTACACTCACTCTCTGTGGCAAATTGTCGTTTCCTTTTAACAAGGAAACTGTGAACTGATTGTTAAATACATTATTTTGCAGCCACCGCAATAACCAACAAATTAAAAGCAAATTTACTTAATGTATTGCATCAATAAAAAGTTCGGTAAAAGTACTGTGGTCGCATTAAGAATTAAATGCACACGTTGTGCAAAATCGAATTTAATTGTTTGCACTCCAATTAGTGGCTTTTATAACTGCACTTAAGCGAACATGTATCAAGTGTCAATAGTTTGACTGCTAAATTTTTAATGACCTGTTGATTGGAGTTTTTTTGAAGGTCAACAGCTCACTGTACTCATCAGGCAATTTGCAACTTAATTTAATATTTATCCACAATTTTCATCTCCATATTTGTTATAAATAACAGACAGTTTACGGAACTATTACTGGACAGCCGCAGGCTAAATCACTTGCAGGATGCTTTTTGTTTGAGCCATTTGACTTCCGGCGACAACCACATCCACACGCTCAACTGACTGACTCCGGCTCATTTAATATGCTTATTTTATTATTTATGCCTCGTAAAACCTTTTTAATCCCCCTGCCGGCTGAGCATTTCATTTCATGTTCAGAGTTTGCGACAACTCGTAAAGACAATTATCGCTCCCTGTGTATTTCTGTGTGCGAAATAAAACAATTAATTTATATGATGGGGGGCTGACATGTTTTCTTGAGGCAGGAACCCAGCAATGTCAGCACGTGTGTGTCCTGCAAACGTTTGCCATTGCCAAAAGGAAATGCCAAGTCGAGTTGTATTTTTCCGAACTTGAAACAAAATATGACAGAGATCGGGAAAATATAAACGATAAAAGGGAACTTAAGCCTTTAATTGCTAGTAATTATTAAAACTATTAAATTTACTACAGAAGAACTATAAAATCGATGTGCAATTTGGTGGTCAGAAATCTTTAACTAGTAAATACCTTATTAATATTTTACTTTACGATAAACAGATACAAAAAGAAAATATATTTTAAGTGTTTTTCTCAGATCATTACATTTGAATACGAGGAAAATACCAAAAGAAAAACCTTGGCAACCAAAACAGGCACTGTTTAATTTACTGTAAAACATTTTTGCTCTCAAAGGAATATATTTTTTTTAAGGTTTCCACGAGCCTCCTCTTTTGTGTATTTTGTTTCGCGGAAAAATGGGTGGGAAAAGTGGGCATGTACGCACAGCAGCACATAGTTTTAATTTCCCAGCGCAGGGAGCTGTATTTTGCATGCTTGATGGGCAGATTTTCAATATGGATAAGGTCTACCCATATATACTACGTATACTATACATACATATAAAGCAACAATTCGTGACCGGTCGGCAGTTTTCCCTACGCGCGAGCACTTAACTGACATGTTCCCCTGAGTCCTGATGTCCCAAATTTGAGAAAAATACACGGAAACAAAATATAGAAAATACCAATTACCAAAATATATAAATAATAGCATATGTTGCATAATATATCTAACAAAAAATCAAGAAATAACTTATAATGTCAAATTAATCATATATTTTTGGAGTATCATGTTTTCGAAATTAATATTTTGTAATTTTAAAATTTAACATAATAGACCCCACTTTATGTAACTTATATAATATTTTCCTAATTTTATTCTCATTTATACATTTTTTCTCAGTGAATGAAAAATAAACCCGGATGCCTATTCTCGGAAATCTCTTATGCGTACTTTTTTATGAGTTGACCAAAACGATGCCGCTTTTGGCTTATGCCAGCTCCAGTCGGGGCTCCCAATAAAAAGTGTCATAAATATTACATTACAAAAATCATATAAAAACGAAGCTCAGAGGGCAGAATGTGGGGAATCGCTTAGCATTAGCATTTCACTTACGGGTGCCATCGAACCGCGTGGCGATTGTGTCGAGGAATGTGTTCTGGGGCGCTAGCAGCCCCTTGCGGGCTGGCATGGGAATGGTGGGGCCGGTGCGCCTCTTGAAGCGCTCCTTAGGGCGTGGCAATGCTGCAATAAATTAGAAAGGAAAACCCTCATTTATTTTACTGACAATTCTCAAATTTTCAATTAGCAAAATGAAGCAATTAAAGCCCCAAAAATAAATTAGAGTCATGAATTTCAATGTTCATATCACCATAATAAAATTTGGTCTCATAGAAATTCATAATTCTTCATCAGAAGCAACAAACAAAACTTTTGTTATGAGATCGTTTATTATAGCTTTTATTTAAGTTGTATTTAAAACTTAAATGCACATCTAAAGCAACTCAAGGAACACAAGTGAAATGCAAAAAGAATGAGGGTAATGTTGCAAAAGTTCTGCTTGTAACTTCCCCTAAAATAATGAAGAATAAATAAATGTTTCACTTTATACTTTATGCTTTATGCTTTATGCTTTATATTTATATATTTGTATTTTTATTGAGTATGATTATTATTGTAGAAAGACAGAATTTTAGTTGTTATTAATTTACGTTAGAGAACGACTACTGTATTTATTTTAATTGGCTTTTTTCGATTTATACCCATGGCATTGTGTGCTTTTCGACGGGCTTCCATTTGTTTCTATTTTTTAAGCCAACGGCGCGCGGATATGAAAATATTTGTATGCCAACACTTTTTCATTCAGCTAGTCGAACAATGAAAACTGAACTTAAATGGAAAACATTGCGAATCCATTTAGCACAGTGCGTTGAGGTGTGTACATCAAAATCGACTGTTTTTTGCCGCTGATAGGCGTAATTTCTTTTTGCCCGCAGGTGCTGCTTGCATTAATTTCCAGCAACAATAAATACGAGTGGTTAAACGGCAGCAACAAATAACCGCAACCGCAACAGCGACAGCTGTTGGGCTCTCTCCCGAAGTAAAACTAACAAAGGTTCGGCTGATAAGAGTTGGACGTCACAGGCGGCATGTTGACATTGCAAATGCTGAGAATTAAGCATAATAAAAACATTCATCCGCAAGGATTATTCACTAGATATTAAGATAGTTTTTTAGACTTCAGGCAAACAATAACAATAAAATAGTATCAGGATTTCGCAAAAAAAAATGGGTGATACCCAAAAATAAAATTGTATGCCCGGATTTTACACAAAAAAAAATCGTATTATACATATTAAATTATATTTTTTTGGGTTCGATTCATACTTCTGTGATTAAATTTGTATTTATTTACATTTTGCAATTGAAAATACAAATTTTTTAAGTATAAATCACAAGGAACATACAGGATCTTCCAAAAGCAAAACAAAAATTTTGAAATAAATTATTTTTATCACAATCAATCAAAACCCTTAAATACACTTTCAAGCTTAGCCAGGAGCTAGAGTGCCAACCACAAGTAATATACTAACCGGACTCAATTAAGCAACATAGTTTAGTGGTTAAATTCCATGAAAATCATGTCCCAACGCACCCTAACAAGCTTGTTTCCCTGGTTTTGATAACATGTCCGATCCAGAGATAAACCCTATTTGGCAGCCTGCAGCCCTCAGCCTTGTCGGAACATTCGGTTAGCCATCGAATGCAATTCTGATTAATATGCCTTTAGAGGGGGGCCAAGCCACTATGCCACCCACTGAGTGGGAGTGGGAGGTTAAAGGTTAAATGCAGAAACAGACACACATTGCTTGTGCGGTTGTACCGCAAAATTTTCATTTCCAACATTTCCGGCCACCAGCAGGTGGCAGGCAGCATATGATTTCTCCAATCTGGTAAGCCCCGACATATGTATAGGTATGTGCATATATATGCACAGACACGCACGCAAACATGCGGCGGCATCTGCAACTGTTTGCGAGTGTGTGTGTGTGCAATTTCCGTTTCCGCCTTATTCCACATGATTAGGCTGATGATACTTGGGTTTTCCCATCTCTCATCGTGAGTTTTTCCTCTTGCGAAAAAGGCTGAAGGATTTCTTTTGCCAACGTTACGACGTGGTAAAAGTTATTTATGCCAGCAAAATAATCAATGCAAGTGTTGGTTGTGGGGGCAAAATCAAAACTCAAAGTGAATTTCCAATTTCATAAATGTGCATAGCACACTTTCATTTAGCTAACAAGTATTCAACAGGAAAAATAACCATGTTGTATTTGCATCCAATGAAAATACGTAAACAAAGTTTTAAGCAGAGAGGAAAAACGATTTTTTTTTTGTAATATTTGGTTATAACATTGAAATGCAGATAGCAATTATAAATTGTTTTGCAAGTTTTTGCCCTTTTCATGTTGGCCTTTGTTGGAAATTTATGCCAGAAATGCAGATAAGCAGACAAAGTTTTAATAACAAAAGCATGTAATGTATATTATTGAATAACACATGCTTTTAATTCCAATTTAAAAAAATCTTCTATTCTTTTTAAATCATAAACATATGCTGGGGCGAATTTAACAAGAACATCACTTAAGGCAAAACACTTAACTTAAATACATTTAAGCAATTTTCCTGTCTTCGCGTTATATTAAGTAAATCTAAAAAGCAAGTCAGACAACAGCAGCTTATTTCCTTTCAATGGAAAACTTGTTGTTGTTACCAAGCAGTCATGTCTAAATATTCCACGAAAAAGGTTTTAATAATGGGGCCACTTCCTAGACACCTTGCAGATATGTGATCAGGCCATCTAGGCAAAAAGGAAATTATCTTTAAAGGAGATTAACAGGAGGAAAATATAGGCAAACGCCCACGGGACTCAAATCGAGCTATGGCCAGCATCTGGGAAATCCCTCACGCCAGAAGTCCGGCGTTCATTTAAGCAAATTTGGCTTATTTGGGAGCACAGCTACCTAATAACCACGTTAAGGCGAAATCGCCTTGTAAGAGGGCGAAACGAGTTTGGAATTTTTAATTCCGCCTGCCGCATGTGGCGTTTTTTTTGTTTCTTGTGGAGGAGGGAACGTCAGACTCCCGAAAAAACGGCACGTGCCCCATAAAAAAACGGCAAGGAAAAGTGGCTGTCGGGGAAAAGGGAAAGCTCGAAAAGCGAAAATATGCTTTTCTGGCCATCCCACATGCACACTCGGCTGACCAATAAAAGGAAAGGCAGTGGAACACAGAAGAAAACTCAATTGCCCCAATTTTATCCATTCCATTGGCCACCTGCCCACGTGATTTACACAGAGAAACAACTTTGGGAGAAATCCAGAAAAGCTTTGTTGAAAAATTAACAATATTATTAAGTTATAAAGAACAATATACGAATTAAGCCGCTATAGCTAATTTTATTTTTTATTTTAAATTTAAATATTACAAATGAATTACCAATCAATATCCAAAATAAAATATTTTTTTAACAAAATATTTTTTTTAACAAAATATTTTATATTAAGAAATTTGTTGCAAGCAAAAACAACGCTATCCAGTTTTCAGATAAAAAGGTCATATCGCTTTATTCAAAGAACTTTTTAATTTAACAATAATGTTGGTAGTGCAGTTTAAACATGAAAAAACTATAACACGTGTTCCCGATTTTCCCGGGGTATTTTCCCAAGTGTGAGACTCCTATTACTCCTTGCCAGCACCGTTTTTGTGACTCCTTCTTTGCTGAACCCTGCTCTGGATAAAACCGCGGATCAGCTTATGGTGATTTACCACGAAGTCGAACCACAGATTCATGTCCGACTCGAAATTAAAGGCCGGCATGGCAGCCATATCCGCACGGAAGCCACGGATGTAGTAGGACACATCCTTGGGCCAAGGACATTGCTTGGGAACGTTGCTAAATCGGTCCATGTGTTTGCGACCCAGTTGGATGAAGGCGATCTGGTTTTTATTGGACAGCAGACTGCAGCCATCGATTCCAGACAGATTGAATAAAGTGAAATCACCGCCCTGACGTCGAGGTAAAACAATTCTCATATTCACAAAGAACTTGACCACCGGCTTTTGGAATTCCAACTCAATGTTGAAGGTAGGTCTTTTAAGGCTCTTACCCAAACCACATTTCAGGCGCGATAACATCTCGTCGGGATCTTCACTCAAACAGGTGCAATTCGTGAAAACCATGTCGAAGTTGGACTGAAAAAAATAACTTTACAAACACTATTCCTCATTTTAAAACACAAAAAATCACCTTGGCATTGGTATAATAAATGCTGTAAAAAATCAACACCACTATCACGCAGAATTTGCAATACATAATGTTGCAGCCGTCGCTCACGATTCAGGAATAAAATTATTATCATTTGCCATGGTTAATTACAACTGCTCATTTGTGCAGGTTGTAATCCATTTGACTAATTACTCTCATTTATAATAAGCTCTATTTTTTTGTGCGAAGCGTTAATTGACAAAGAGATTACAGGTGATTATGGAGCAACGCCATTAATGATCCGATTAAAAAACTAAGCCATTAGTGATTTAAACTAAAATCAGCTTAAATTTATGAGAATTATTGAGAGTTACTTATTGCTCAAAATTTAATTACTAATGCAGCATAATTTCTGGTTGTGGCTTGGCATCAATAATCTCACTATGCATATATGCATATATTTCCTGTTCATTATTTGGCAGCTCATTGTTTATTATTGCTATAATGAAGCAAGCAAATGGGCTTGTTCAGCTCAATAAGCGCATCCAGTCGACTGTATTTAAGTCTAGATTGGCTCCACTATCACAACAATGATGGTTGTTATTCCGGCATTAGTCACGCATCAGGTGATTTTGGTTTCGAATTTTCCATTTAGGCGATGCATTTAAGCATTAATTCTATATGTATTTGGCATAATTGGAGTGGCTTTGTTCGGGCCTGCGGATGAAGGAAATGAAACCGAAGACTTTGGGCGCGTGGATAATAATTTTCCTCTGCTGTCTCCCTAATTGGAAATTGGAGGCGGAGGCAAAGGTGCGTATGAGTGATATGATGCACGGCATGTAAATTAATCTCAACTGCTCGTTTGCATTACTCAGAATAATTTTGAGCTGCAAACGGATAACTTTACGTGCAGCAGCGAGGATGTGAATTCAAGGATCATCAAGGAGTATCGCTGTGGTATCAGTAAGGGTTCCAAACGCCGCACTTGGCGTATGGAATTTATGCTGGTACAACCTGTTGCTGACCATGATTTCTTCATGAAAATCATCCTGCCGCGAAGGAGACCCCTCACGGACTTCGTCCTGCTGAATGTGACCACCGATGGCTGCCAGTTGCTGGCCAATCGCAATCAAGTGCCCCTCATGCGTTTGGGCAGGAACATCATGGAGCGCTTTAGCAACTTCCCCAAACAGTGTCCCTTCGAGGCCAATGTGACCTACTACATCAGAGGCTTCCGGCTGGACCTGAACCTCCTGCCCGCCGTGGACATGGAGACCCCGGTTCACGTGGAGCTCAGTTATCGGAGCAAGCAGCAGGGACTCAGGTGGATCAGCGGCTACTTGAAGGCAAGTGTTCAAAGGATAAGCGACAAAAAACACCCCAAGTAGGGGATACAATAAAACGGGAAAAAAAAGAGTAATCCTGGCTACCATGACAGCTCCACGATTTTTCCAATTCCCAAAGGAAATACTGTCGATCCTTTTCTTCAAGTCAAACTATTTGTATTGGCAAAAGAAAATATAAATACAGGTAACGTTAATATACTTCAAAGTCTCTTTAAATCAAACAGATGGTAGAGGTACAGATTATAAACTCTCTGGACGCTATTTATAAATATTTTTGAATTTATATAATTTTTATAATTTGAATTTTTTATACAACTCTACAACCTGTGTAATAAAATATATTTTTTTCCCCGTTTCACCGTATTGGTTTTACTAGATTTTTCCCAAGGAAATATACCCTCTTTAAGAAGAAAATAAATTAATGTGCGTATGACAAATCGGCAGAGGTGAGCATATGGCCACGGAGTTAATATTGCAGAAAATCATCCGCCACCCGTCTAAGTCTCTGTGCCTGTCTCTTTCCTCCCGCCTATCTCCGTCTCTTTCCCAGTCCCCTTTTCCGTGACAGTTCAACCAGATGATGTTGCTGCTGTTGTAACAGTTGCCGTTCCTACCATTCCATTCACGGCCATTCTTTCCATGTCATTCCACAAATGTTGTTCAATTACCTGCGCTCAGACAGAAGCAGACAGATGAGGGTACACAGAGAGAAAAATATAATAAAACGAGTACCCTTACTATTTTATACATTCAAAAACTCATCCCTTTTATAATTGATATACGGAGGCCTGCCATTCTTCAATTCATTTTCTTTAAAGACAGAAAAGTATTCTGAAATAAAAATTCCATATCATAATCCCATTAATTGTGTCAATTTTCCCAGTGGATAACTATTCTGATATACAAATTCCTTATCATAATAATATTTGGCAGTGCAGGCAGGCAGCATTATGGCGCAACTGGTTGAGTGTGTTTATATTCGAGTTTGTTCGACTGGCATTTGGCGCGACACTGCTGAAGCAACTGCCGCAATTTGGCAGTTGACAGATGACGAGGCGGTGGGCAACTAATAACCCACCTGCCCCGCCCACACCTGTCTGGGCAAAAAGCGAAATGAAGTGAGAAATGTGACAATGTCGTCAGTTGATGATTTGTTACAGTTGCCTTCTGCCGGTAAATGTAACTGAATGGACTTCCGACGGGCCATGTGTTGCAGTTGCCACAGGGAAAAGAGCAGCTCGCTATCAAAACGTGTCATCAGCAAAAAAGACTGTGTGGAACAAATGACTATGACAAGTTCTCACTGGTCATCGACATTTGAATACCCTATAAAAAGGCTTTCCATTGAATATTTACATGGACTATAGCATTATAATTAAAATAGTTTCAGGAGCGGTATTTACTGAATTATTGACTACACTTTTCGATCTATAGAAAACCAATATTGGTAGGCCCACTTTCGATACATAAATAGGCTTTGTTTTCCTACCACATCTTTTGCTTAGTTTCTTCTTTTCTTCCCTAGTGGCCGACAGCAATAATTCATTAACACTCTTCCCCTTTCACTGACTTTCACTTACACTAACTGACACTTTCTCCCCAAGTCCCTTTCTCTGGAAATGCTGGACGGCCTTTCAGGAATGAATTTTAATTAGATGTCAGGGATTTCCATGCATGTGTGGCTCATTTCATTGGAGTTTGGTAAAGTCGCCTGTCACTTGATTTGATGGCCAGCAGAAGCGGCTGCCAACACTGATTCTGGCTAAGATCCCTTTTCTGATAAGGTCCCAAACTAATTAAGGCCAACTTTTAATTGGCCAGTTCCAGCTGGCATGTGTCTATCAAATTTAATATAGTTAACATAAAAAACAGTCTCATTTTATAAAAAAAAAAATAATACAAAATCAAATATTACGTGAATTTGTAAATTATCTTTACTTGGTAATGAAAAACACAGGTTTTATGCCTTTGGCGTATAATAAGAATATTTCTTTAATTAACAGGTTAAATAATTATTATGTTCATTATATTAATACAAAAAAACATTAACTTTTTTGTCACTTAATTTCGTAGAAATTTTAAAACCGTTGGGTTATAATGAAGGGGGATAAAATGCACCAAAGCATATAAGTTTATTTGTTTTGTATATTTTAAATAATTTTAAAAATAATATTTATGCCAGCTTAAAGAAACACATGCACAAACACAGCAATACCATTGAATCAATAATCCAACAAAAAGAGGCAGTATTATTACATTAATTTATTCTGCTTAAAACAAACAATACCGACTAAACTGCGACACCCTTTTCCATCCACTTTTAGACCCTCCCACATTAACGGAGCTGATAAGTTGCAAACAGATTAGAGCCATGAAAATTTAATCAGTATTGTGCCCAAGTGGGCAAACAATTGAAAACGAAGCCACCTCCAAATTTTGATAAAACCCTGCCGCAAATTCCTGCGGTTGGCCCACAACTAATGAATAGTTTAGGGTGCTTTCGAGGAGGCATGTGTTTTTCAAGCTCGCCGCAAAGTGCTTAAGCTGAAATCTAAAATGTAAGCCAGTGGGTAATTAACGCCGCCCACAATCCTTTTTATGGCCCAGACTTTCGCATAAAATGCCATGCAGAAAGAGTGCTTTGCGCCTTTTACAAAGTTGCGTGGTTTTTAAGACTTGTCAAAAGTTTTTGGGTATTTTTTCGCCGGTGAGTGAAAACTTTTCACGTATCCTGCCGAAAAGCTTTTCCCTTTGCTTTTGCCTTTCTTGGCTTTAATTCGATTCGCACTGCCAAGTTCAACAAATTAAATCTTGAGAACCTCCTAAGACTCACACACGCCCACACTTTATAATTAATTAAAGCAAGTTTGTCTTTTGGCCAGGAATCTGGAGCACATTTGCCATGGCTGTCGTTGAATATTCAATGAAAAATGACATTGCTGGGATAAATATTTGCGTGGAACAAGCGTAAAAGTCAAGTGTTTACTGGATCAAGTCGACTTAAATTTGCTCTTGCAGGTGATATTTTAAGTTAGGATAAATTAAAGTGTTTATTCTAAATATTATCAAATCATAACACTATTTAACTTTTATTACAGAAATACCAATTCGCCTACAGTATCTTCCGCATTTAAAAATCCAAATAAAATAAATAAAAGTAAAGTTCTGTAACATCATCCTCAAAAAAAGAGGGTATTTTACTAGTACGTTGTGTTGGGCAAACAAACTCGGGCATAAAAAGTCATTTTCATGTTGTTATGGCCAAAGTGCAAAAATTGTGAAAATTCATCTTTTCAATTTCCCCCGCACCCGCACTTTTATGCAAACTTGTTTTTCCCACTTTTGTTGCCGTCAATTTCACAGATTAATGCGCACACATTTCAACGGCAAAGTCGCCAGCAACATTTATTATTGACAATGGCCAAAAGTTTTGCCATTCGCTTTGCTTTCTGGCCAACATCCTTCTTCTGACCAGACGGCAAAGCGACAAAAATTGATTTACAGTATAGATATTTTAATCATCAAAGCTCTTGGCCTTTAGTTCTTAGCTATGTGCTGCCATGCACCCCCGAAAAGTAAATTTATGGGCCATGTCGAAGGAAGAGAAGTCTGCTTCGAACACAATTTATGGCCTGACACTGGGCGGTGGGTGGTGGGTGTTAAAAGGGGGCGTGGCAGCCTGTTGAGTAAGTTTTCGGTGTTATTTCAATGCGAATAAGAAGCTTTTCCGGTGGCCTTCAGGCTATTTACTTTCAGGAGTTGTATTTCGCGTGGTCGCAAAAAGGTTTCCCTGGTACTTTTCGGCAAAGACTTAGAAATTCAATTTGAGCACCCCACCCGGAATTAATAACTTTGCAAAACTTTATATAATTTATTGGAAATGGTAAATATTGTGTGTTTTCAAATTGTAACAATTTTTGTTACATCAACTTCCTAGCTGTCCTATTAATTTGATGGATATAAAACAATGTAAACATGGCAAGACTTATAACATTTTCTGGAAAATCTTGTAATTTAAAAATAAATATATTTGAACATGAGAAACCCTGATATAAAATTAAAACCTTATCTTAAAAATATATTCCGAAATTATGCAAATAAATACTTTTTTTATTTTTAGGTACCACGGTTTTCTTATCATTGCATTTTAGTTAGGCAAACCCAAGCAAACCGAATGCTTTTTCAAGCCTTATCAGAATAACCACACAGTTTGCTTCTGTGAGAAAAAAAGGCTCGACAAATGCAGTATGTGGTTAGCATGTGTTTTTTGTGTTTTTAAAATTTGTTCAGATTGCCAGTTGACTATAAAAAGCCAGAGTTTCGCTGACAAAATCACAGTTCTCAAATAGGCTTCGTCGAGTGCAGTTAAACAGTGGAATTCTACAGGAAAATCATGACCAATACGGATTTGAAGGCCCTAGAGCTCCTGTTCCAACGTCCTTTGGAACCGGCGTTCACCACTCGAGATGCGGGTAAGACCGTGCTGGAATTGCCCGACAGTTTCTATGCGGATCGCTATCGCAATGACACCGAGGAGGTGGGCAATCGCTTCTCCAAGGATGTGGACCTGAAAATCCCGATTCAGGAGTTGGCCAGCGTTCCCAATCTGGACTTCACCAAGAAAATTGGACCGAAAAACCAGTTCTCCCTGTTCAACAATCGCCATCGGGAGATTGCCAGCGAACTGATCACACTTTTTATGGGTGCCCCCAATCTCAGGCAATTCGTGTCACTCTCTGTTTACACCAAGTGGGTATTAAGTAATTTTTAAAAATACTTGTTGGGGTTAACTAGGAAATGGTTTATTCCCTTAGGGATCGTGTGAACCCCGTGCTGTTCCAGTACGCGTATGCCGTGGCCATTGCCCATCGTCCGGATACGCGTGAGGTGCCGATCACTAACATCTCCCAGGTCTTCCCCAGCAACTTTGTGGAGCCCTCCGTCTTTCGGGTAAGTAAATATTGCATATATAATGGTGCCACATAAAACTCTGCCAAAGAATTTTTATTCAGTTTCACAGGCAATGTATGAAATTCACTGAAATCTTTTTAGTTGAACTTTAACCAAATATACAATTTTATTGAAATATAAATCCTTTTATTTAAAAGGTATAAATTAAAAATTGAAATAGTTATTTTAAGCCATAAACAAACATTAGGAAGTTAGGGGTCATTGGACATTTTACCGATTTATAACTAAGCTACTAAAAAGATTAATCTCTAGTTAACAAGCATGGTATTTTAAGTAATGTAGGCGCCTAGAAAACTTGTTTATATTAAAAAATTAAAAATAAATGGTATTTTTTATTTAATTACAGGATGCCCGGCAGGAGGCTTCGGTGATTGGAGACAGTGGCGACCGTGTCCGCGTGGACATTGCGCGCAACTACACGGCCTCGGATCGCGAGGATGAGCAGCGATTGGCCTACTTCCGGGAGGACATCGGCGTGAACAGCCACCACTGGCACTGGCACTTGGTCTACCCCACCACCGGACCCATGGAGGTGGTCAACAAGGATCGTCGAGGAGAGCTCTTCTACTACATGCACCACCAGATCCTGGCCCGCTACAATGTGGAGCGTTTCTGCAACAATCTGAAGAAAGTCCAGCCCCTGAACAACCTGCGGGTGGAGATCCCTGAGGGCTACTTCCCCAAGATCCTGTCCAGCGTGAACAACCGCACCTACCCGGCCCGAGTGTCCAGTCAATTGTTGAGGGATGTGGACCGCCCAGACGCCAGTATCGAGATCTCCGAAGTGGAACGCTGGCGGGATCGCGTCCTGGCCGCCATCGATCAAGGATATGTCGAAGATGTGAGTCTGGGAACCTTTATAAATCTATTCAATTTGAAAGTCCATATTGATCATTTTAGTCTTGTTATTCTCTCAGCGATTGCAATGTAATAGAATATTTTGATCTTTCTTATTCCCAGCCCTCTGGCAACCGTACGCCCTTGGACGAAGTTCGTGGCATTGATATTCTGGGCAACATGATTGAAGCCTCGCCAGTGCTGTCCGTCAACAGGACCTTCTACGGCAATCTGCATAACGAGGGGCACAACATCATCTCCTTTGCCCACGATCCCGATAACCGCCACTTGGAGGAGTTCGGTGTGATGGGCGATGTGACCACGGCCATGAGGGATCCGATCTTCTACAGGTGGCACGGATTCATTGACTCGGTGTTCAACAAGTTCAAGGCCCACTTGAACCCCTACAATGACGCTGAGCTGAACTTCGATGGCGTTTCGGTTACCTACATCGAGGCCAAGATTGGCAAGTCCAATACCAAGGCCAACACACTGTTGACCTACTGGCAGAAGTCGAGTGCCGACTTGGCAGCTGGCCTGGACTTCGGTCCCTCGGCCAACATCCTCGCCTCCTTCACCCATCTGCAGAATGCCCCCTTTACCTACACCTTCAATGTGACCAACAGTGGAGCCAAGCGGACCGGAACCTGCCGCATCTTCATCTGTCCCAAAACGGATGAGCGCAATCAGCCACTGCGCCTGGAGGAACAGCGACTGATGGCCATCGAAATGGACAAGTTCACGGTTGACTGTGAGTACTTAATGTAAATGTAACAAGAAATATTGCAGTTTAGTTTTCTAAAAAGGTTTGTTTTATTAACGATTTATATAAATATATATAAATTGTTAAAGAACCAAGTCGTTTTTTGTTCAGCATATTAATTAATGAATATAATTTAAATTTCTTTCTTCTTTTCTAAAACTTTCAAGGAAATTAGTTTGCATTATAGCCCCTATTTATTTCAATGATTTATGGTAATATAGTTTAAAAACACCTTTTTTAAATATTTGGAACTAAAACTACATATTACTTTTAAGAGATTTGCTCAACTCTTGCCAGATTTATGGGAAAAGTGCATTGTAATTTTAAGCAGAGATTTTGGTTTCCCCCTCCTGACTTCTCCTGATAACCCATTAACATTATTCAATTATTCCCCAGTGGTGCCGGGCGAGAACACCATCCGCCGCCAGTCGACGGAGTCCTCGGTGGCCATTCCCTTCGAGCGCTCGTTCCGCCCAGTGGGGGCGGACTACCAGCCCAAGGCCGCCGACGAGCTGGCCCGCTTCCGCTTCTGCGGCTGTGGGTGGCCACAGCACCTCCTGCTGCCCAAGGGCAACGCCCAGGGAATGCTCTTCGACCTGTTCGTCATGATTTCCGACTACACGCAGGACTCCGTCCAGCAGCCCAACACGTGAGTGGTGCAGACGCAATTTCCCCTCATCACATTACATCCTGACCTTCTGCTTCCCCCTCTCCTTGTCGCCCATTAGACCCAATGATGCCTGCAGCACGGCTTACTCGTTCTGCGGTCTGAAGGACAAATTGTATCCTGACAGGCGCACCATGGGCTATCCGTTCGACAGGCGACTACCCAACGCCAATCTCACGGAATTGGTCGGCGCCTTTGGCAACATGGCCAAGACCGATTTGAGGATTGTCTTCAACGATCGCGTGATTGACAAGGCCTAGATGATTGATGGACTCATTCGAACTGCCCCCAAAGATCAAAGGAAACGGACCTCAAAAGGAATAACTCTTGGAACTCTGCATCTACATATAACATATTTATATCTTTTTCATTTGTGATGTTTTTTCGTGTTGAATTATATATTTTATACAAATAAATATAATTATTGCAAACAAACATCTTTGGAAACTGTTTTTTATTTATGGTAAGCCATTGTTAAATAATTCAAATAATAAATTAAACATCTAAATGTTATCTAGCATTATACAAAATCATTTTCAGCAACTATAGTATTTCCTAAGAAATTACTCTGAGAATAGCATTCTAATAAATATGTATATCCAATTATCCAGTCAGTTAAAATGAAACAAAAACAAAATACAAAATTGCAGTTTTCTATTTTGTATAGTTCAACTTCCGGAGAAATCTACGCCGCTAAGGAATATAAAGTCATGAGCAAGACAGCTTAAGTAGATTTGTATTTATTACTTTTTCCAAGGCAGAAAAAAGATTACTCGCTTGTGTTGGCCTTAATATAGCCAGCACACTGACACGAAAGACAGCCATGGATAGATAAATATTTACTGATATATCCTCGTCTGGGAATATTTGCTTGCTAAATATTTGCTTTACATTATTGAATATTATTTATGCCGAAGCTGGACGGATACAGAGCCACAGAAGGGCGTTTATTTGTCATAGACAGACACGCCCACAGCTGGGCGGGCTAATCCTATTAGACTTCAAAGCGGTTTGCTCGACAAACTTTGCGATTGCCCAGGTCCAGAAGGCCTTGACTTACCACCCACCACCCACTGCGAAAAATAGGAAAACATCCTGGGAACAGCCAAGGAAAACCGCTGCACGTGTTGCGCTTATTAATTTTCGGCATTTACCGGGTCGAGCACTTTAATTAGACATCCACTCGATGTGGATAAAGTTCCAGTATACGAATTAGGGAAAGACAACAGCTGCAGCTAACAAATTGATTTTTAATAGATTTTTATGACTGCCTGGGAAGGCCAACTCAGTTCGCGCCACATGACGTATACGTGATGAAATTAAGTTTCTGACTGCAATCAGTAGAAGCATGTTCAATCGCTAATTGGGTTGATTTCGCAGAAAGAGCGAAAAGCCTTAAGTCACTCCACAAATGAATCATTAAAAGCAAGCCTTAAAGCACATGTTTTAGCTAAAATTCTTGCTTATCAAAATCAAAATATAAATGTAAGCAAGCTCACGCTTAAAGCGAAAAGTTTTCCCATGCCGAAAGATAAATAAAACAGCAACATTTTATATTATCTCCCGCTTTAAACCGAGTTCAATGCGCCCATACAAAAAGTTGGGGCTAATGTTGACAGGGCGGCTACGCAATTTAATCTCTTTTGTTGCCTCGCACTGGTCTTTTTTATTTCTTTTCAAAGTTGCATATTTTATGACCGTATTTTTGTGTGTCCTGCAACTGGTGTAAACTTCGCCAGTATTCAAATTAAATTACAGCAGAACGGTCAATTTGTGGTACCCTAACGAAAAGTGAAGGCGTTTTGGCTTTGAGAGGATTTAAGCTAATACATATCCCCGAGGAAGGCAAATACACTTTGAGCGTTATAAAAGGTAATAATAGTTGAAAGGAAAGGAAAAACGACAGAGAGAGAGTGTATTTCTTGGCTGCCCCACAGCTTTTTATCACTTCTTCCTTTTTTCAATCATTAGACCTGGCCACAGGACATTCCCACTCACTTCTTTGCATTTATTTATGTGGGTAAATTGTAGAAAATTAAAAAATAGACAAAATACGAACGAAGCAAGCCAGAAAGTTGCCAAGTCCCTTTAATTTATTTTGCTAGCTGGAGGGCAGAAAATTTGTGCGGTTTTCCAGGGTTTTTCTCGTTTTCCCGGGGAAAGGCGAAATGCTGCCACTTAGGCATAACTTTGGCTTTAGCTTTGGGTCGTTTTTCCCATATGCTGTTAAGGGGACCTCGGCTGTTTGCTGTTATTGTTGCCATTAATGTTGCTGACTTTGGCCCGTTTTGGTTTAAGGGTTTGAAAAAATATTTGCTTGGGTATACTTGGCATATTAGCATACTTTTTCCCACCCAGCGCGTATGTAATAATTGTAAATAATGAGTTTTGGGAAAAGTTTTGGCGCTGATTAGGGAAGCAAATGTTACAAGCAAGCAAATACATAATCTCCCAAGTCAACAATAATTGTTTACTGCATTCGATCTGCGCAATTGGTTGCTTAATTTCTGTGAAATTTCCATTCAATCAAATGTGAAGCCCATTAAAAAGTCAATCGTGAATGGAAGCCAGGCAGATTCAATTGTGTAAACCGACCTTGCCCCAATGCATTTTTCACTACATTGTACATGTGCTTGATCTATGAAAAGTAAAATCTGCAATGTATAAACTTCACGTGCCATAGCTAAAAGTAGATTATCACGGGCGCATTCTTCCACGTATTTTTATACCCTTGCAGAGGGTATTATAATTTTGGTCAAAAGTGTGCAACGCAGTGAAGGAGACATCTCCGACCATATAAAGTATATATATTCTTGATCAGGAATACCTCCTGAGATGATATAAGCATGTCCGTCTGTCCGTCTGTCCGTCTGTCCGTCTGTCCGTCCGTCCGTCTGTCCGTCTGTCCGTCTGTCCGTCTGTCTGTCCGTCTGTCTGTTTCTACGCGAACTAGTCTCTCAGTTTTAAAGATATCGTATTGAAACTTTGCACACACCCTTCTTTCCTTTGCACGCAGTATATAAGTCGGAACGGCCGGGATCGGCCGACTATATCCTATAGCTGCCATATAACTGAACGATCGGAAATGCCATAACTTTGGTGTTTTTAAAGTTAGGAAGTTGGGATTTTCTATGGGTTTTACATTTGGCCAATCAATTTGACGTACCAAATTTTATAAGGATCGGCCGACTATATCCTATAGCTGCCATATAACTGATTGATCGGAAATGCCATAACGTTGGTGTTTGTAAAGTTAGGAAGTTGGGATTTTCTATGGGTTTTGTATTTGGCCAATCAATTTGACGTACCAAATTTTATAAGGATCGGCCGACTATATCCTATAGCTGCCATATAACTGATTGATCGGAAATGCCATAACTTTGGAGTTCGTAAAGTTAGGAAGTTGGGATTTTCTAAGGGTTTTATTTTTGGCCAATCAATCCCATTTAACAAACTTCATAAGGATCGACCGACTATATCCTATAGCTGCCATATAACTGAACGATTGGAAATGCCATAACTTTGGAGTTTTTAAAGTTACGAAGTTGGGATTTTTTATGAGTATTAAGAATGCATCATATGAATAATTTTGGAAAATATAATTTACAGAGTATTCTGCAAGGGTATATCAACTTCGGCTCCGCCCGAAGTTAGCTTTCCTTTCTTGTTTGAAAATTGATTGGCTATAAAAAGTAATGGGAATGGAAGATTTTAATTGATTTTCAGATCGATTATATCGTTGGCAGCTGTTAAGAATATTTTAATCAATAAAGATTATCGAAGAAATTTAAGAGGTTTAAAATACACAATAATCAAGATTAATATATATTTAAGAATATAGTATAATATATTTAAGAATTTATTTTTAGCATTTTATCAAACTTTTTTCATTAGATGAAATATCTATCAAAGCCTTAGAAATATTTGATGTATAGAAAGTCCAACATATTGCATTCTATTTCCCTCGAACACATGTAAGCAGATTGTTTGGTGCTATTTTTGTCGCCTGTGCACATAAACATTGGAAAGGGAATCCAGCCTAATAATGCTTGCCTTATGCCAATAAAACATTAAATGAAATAATCCAGCTGGTCTGCACAAAACCGAGGCCAATGACTAGATGGATATTACCCCCAGAATGAGCTTGAACTTATTCATGTACTTACAAGTGGGGATGAAATAGTAGCATTGAAGTGTAAGTAATGTATCCATCAAGCTATCCATATTTTTTAGAGCTAAGTGGTCTTATTTAATTTTAATTTAGCCACAATATTTAAATAGAGAATATCCATAGTTAAGCAAAACATCACAGTAATTGTTACCTATTATTCTGACCTCCGCTGTCTGCAGGGCAAACATATGGATATGTTTGCTTTGGCTGACATGCCTGAAATCTGATATTGATTTAGAACTTTTGTTCCTTTCCGCGAGTAACACAGTCCAACCACAATGCGAATGACAGAACGCCGACAAGTGAGTACTCCTTTTATAATAGGACATCATCATTATTACCATATTCAACATCGAATCCGATTGCGATTCAGATGCGAAACGTCCTGAATCCTGAAGCATGCTAATTGTTTGCAATTATGCTTTGAGCCAGCTTCACTTTGTGATGGAAACGGAATTGGCAGCGAGAAATCAGGAACGGCAGCACTTGAATGCATCAAAATGCTGAAATATTCCCTCGCTCGCTTTTCAAGGGGAATCAGGTTAACCGCAGGAAATTCATGTTTAATTGAAATGCCATAAGGTCTGCCACCATATTTAGATAATTGGAAAACCGCAGCAGAGCATGGAAGTTATTTCGCAATTAATTGATATCATTTTAAGCATGCATGGCTGGCAGAAAGCTTTTAAAGGAATTTAAATTTATATACCAAAATCGTTTAAATTTTTTAATCAATGGTTTTAAACAATAAATTCTCGAATTCTTCTGCTTAATACCATTTAAATGTTGAATTCCTCTGTTTATGCCCATCTAATAACAATTAAATTTAATTTAGCGCGTGCTTTAATTGTTATTTAAACCCTTTGAAATGATTATGGTAATTCTCGCTGTTAAATTTGCTATATATTTTGGGGCATGTTTATTTGCCACGCGCTGGCTCGCTGACATTTACCTTTCGCATGGCAATGGTAATATTTAAATTAATTGCTAATAAACCGCCTTCGATTGTTTACATTTGTGCCAGCGACTTCGACAGTTCATCAGGTTCAAAACTGTGTTAATTTTATAATTTCTGCCGCTTTGTTTATGGCCCCATTGCCATTGACTTAAACAAATCACTTTTATCTGCCCCTCTTCATTTCAGAAATTCAGGTGGTAGTACAACAGCCGACAGCTGTGTTATTTTAGCGTCCAATGCGATACGTTGGGAATTTATGTTTTATGCACAAACACACATCGTACATGGGGAGTAAATAAACAGGCAGCTTGCAGCTTCGTTTGTTTTGGCAAAAAAAATTAACACAAATAACAACTTAAGCTATAAAGTGCTGCTATAAGCTATTAACTATGATGTCAGAGAGCCACATGTACTGCCGATCTCATCTGCCAGGCACTGAGAGAAAATGCGATCTATGTTTGATCACATATTTTTTCAATCTATGTAATATGGTAAATTTTCATATTGTTTTCCTAGACATAACTACTGTTTTTAGGAAGTAACAGTAGATTACTTTATTAATTTTTGTAACAATTATTAACCAAATTTAGATAAAGACAATTTCTAATAAAGTGTACACAAGTTCACAAATTAATTAACCATTTATTTATTATCATTCTATACTATATTCATACACTGCTCTCTGTTGCGTGTTAATAAACTAATATTCGTTGCAAAACAATTTTAAGCGGTTGGTAAGACAAGTATTTTAAATCATTAACACATTTTTAATTATTAATTTAGATTTCTTTTTTTCTTCAGTGTCTCGTTGCTATGAGGATTTTCCTTTCAAATCTTAAATGATCACGATCAGAAGTGTGTCGGAACTTGAACTTGGCAAGGGTATTTGGTTATTTAATTGCCATAAAAACAGTCATAAAATAATTTTTCACATGTGCATCGCTGTAAGTTTATGGCCATTGCAGAATGAGATGGGTTTTACTTTAGGAATGAAACAATCACCTCTAGAACTTTCAAACAGGATTATTAATGCTCAGCGGATTCAAATAGTAAGACATCTTATTAAAGCAACAACTAAATCTTTACCTTCACGAGTTTTTGAACGCCTTTATCTTAGGAGCGCAAACTCAGCTGGGTTTTCACAGCAAATTAAGTTTGTCCCCTTCAATTAAGTAAGTACGAAAATATTCATTTCCTCGCACCTTGATATTTTTCCCAGTTGGGCAAAGGAACGCGGTTAGAACTGCGGCTTCCCTGAGGCATTTTGAGGCTTTGTAGCGGGCACAATGTGCATAGAAATGCGATTCAAGGCAGGGACAGACAACAATTATTCTTATTCTCATTGCGAATGTGGGCGGCGCACATGGGAAACGCTCTTGGGAAATGGGAAATGGGAAAACAAAACGGAAGGCAGCGTCGCCAACATCTGCCTGCATTATAAAGTTTCAACGGGACAAAAAGAAGGAAAGTGAATATTTTAATTTTGCTAGAGTGCAGTCCATGTATAGACACGCTTAATGATAATATCAGCTTTGCTAGTGTGTCCGCAATGCAATTACCTTCATACTACCTTCATAATATGATATACTTATGGTAATAATAATACGATTTTAAACAAAGTTTAAAATAAAACACTTTGTTAAATGTGTGTTTTTGTACGGCACTTTAATTTAAAAAAATAATTTCTTAATAAATGTAATCTTTTTATAATGAGACCTAACGCCAGCTCAGTTCCCTTTTTAATAAATGTCCGCTGGACAAAATATACGTAATGTTTCTACCATTTCACATTCTTTTGTTTTTAAATTTTTCAAGTAATATACCTAATCTAGAATTTTGATCCTCCAAACCGCGTTAATGACATTCATGGCCACCAGATTAAGTCGCTGGGGGAAAAGGATAAACTCCCTAAACAAATCTATATCGAGGGTGCCAAAATTGCCCCAGCAGGGGATTGCCAACCGGCAGATGGCTTCTTCAATATTCCAGCCGCAGAGGGATCTTAACTTCCCCAATTGCCAGTGCTACGGACCCATCCATCGGGATCCGATATCCAAACAGCCGAGAGCTCAAATTATCTATCTAGGTCGTAATCCCTACGAGGAAGTCTAAGGAATGAGCTGCTTTGAGGCTTTAATCAAAGCATTGGCTAGCGGTATCCAAAATTCGGAGTCCTAAACAAATTCTCAGCTAACCACTCATTTTTCTGTGTACATAGTGTTGTCCTACTGTCATGAGAAGTCTCCGGCGTGGATTTGCCGCGGCGGCAGTTGGAGATTTTCGGAAGATATCCCCCAAGTTGGGTCAGTCCTCCAATCCCCTTTTTTCGTGGTGTCCACCTGCTCCTCCTCCTTCAACCAATTTTGTTAAGAGCCTGGGATCAAACAATTGGAACTACCTAAGACTAATAGAAGATCCCGAGCTGCCCAAGTTGGTAAAACTTTATGAGCAAGTATGCCGATGTAGTCGTAAAGGTCACCTTGGGTCAACCAGTCTTAAAAGATCTGAGTTGGACAATCCCCCAAGGAAATTATGGGAGAAAAGCACGTTTCACAAATACACCAAAGGTTCAAAGCGGTCATTGGAAAAGAAGAACATTGCAACAAATGAATCAAACAGCAGTCAGAAAGATTCCGGATCAAAAAACACGGAGTTCAGTTGTAGGCATCCTAAGAAGCATATAAGATTTGATATGAATAATCCCCCCAAGAAATCTAGGCCAAAGAGCAAGATCCCAAAGCAAACCAAAGATAAGAAGAACTTGAAAAAACCTAAAACTTTGAGAAGTAGGAAATCATTAGGCAATAATTTATTCAAAGATCTAAAGAAGGATAAGTTGGGAGACTTCATCTTTTTTAAAGAGGGTCCTGGCATACAATTTACTAAAGACTATGTAATTGGCGATAATTTTGGGACAGGAGAAGAAGATTTGTCCGCAAATGAAGATGCCTCACCCCATGACAGTGGGCCTTTAATGGAAATGACATCGACATGGAGCGGCCCATCCAACAGTTCCTGGCTGCCAAGGATAGTTTCCAAATATGTCAACCCCGTCGATCTGTTTCACTTTGCCCCGATTAATTTGAAGGCGCACAAAGATCATTTTGTATCCTTGCATTCCAAGAAACCGAATGCTTTCAAACGCCGATGGTCCACAGTTCCTTGGCCACAATCTTCTGAACTCAGCAAAAGAAGTATAAGCGGAGTCAATCTGCAAAGTCCCATAAAAAAGGAACATAATGTTGCCAAAAAATTGTTGAAAGAAAAGGCAGCTACGTTATCTATAAAAGGCTTTAAATACCATTCCTTTCGTGTTAATTTCTGGCCCAAAAAGCGAAGGAGATCGGGTAAGACTGTATCCCGTCCATCAAAAGTTGTTCGAAATAGGTGTGAATTGTGTGATTTTTGTCGACCGTCCAGCCAACCCGATGAACCATTTATGATCGAGATGAAGAAGCGCAGGGATCGTGAAGAGCTGCAGAGATACTATCTCAAGATGGAGGAAAGAAACCAGGAATCCCGTGCAGCAAAGGAGTACTCTAAACAGAGTTCTAAGCCCCAAGGACATAGGACATTTTCTGATTCCAAGCCTCTAGGACTTAATGTAAATTGCAGTTCCAATCTCAGGAAGATGCGCCACCAACTGGAGCAATGTCTGACGATCCTGAATCTTTGCAGACTCCTTGTCGAGGTCCGTTTGCGACTTTCAAGAACCCAAACAGAAAGCAAAGGTTGCCGCGGTGGTTTTTGTGCCGGTCCTGAACCAAATTAGTGCTCAACTGAGTTGGATCAGGACCCACAAAACGCCTGAAAACAATGATTGATTTCTATGCTTAAGCCCCATTCGGTGGGTTTTTAACTACATGTATTTTATCCTTGGACCAGATCTTTTTCTGATGAAACTGAATAAATAATATATGTTAATATACTTGTTTTACTTTTAATCACTGAATATAAATAGATAATGTATTTTTAAAAACCAAATGGTTTTATAAGGTATAATGTATTTGTAAATATAAATATCTAACAATCATTAACATCAAACTTAAATAATATAAATCGACAAAACCTACCGTCTAAAAAATGTAATGTCGAACTCAGAAAAAATCTCGATCTTAGTTACTTTTGAATTACTATTTATTTTCTTTAACCAAAGCAAAATAAAATCTATTCCTTAAGGAAGCCAATGAAAGAAATGGCCGCCTTCCTAAACCAAACCAATTGTCAAGGAAGTATGCCTTATAATGTTATTAGTTGTTTAAAAACCTTACATAAAACCAAACTACACATAAAAAATTGCAAGTACCGAAATTGTATACATCGGCATGGCGATGAACATTCTGAAGAAGAGTCGTGTGCTGAATCAAAATTGTCTGCGGGAAAAGATTCGTGAACTGTCGCCTCTGCTGCGGAATTTGGACTGGCCACCCAGCAAGGACTCGGTGTTCCGGGCCACCTGGAGCTACTATGCCTGCGGCTGCCAGGAGCGACTGTCGAGCATTCGCAGGCGCATCGAGCAGAACGCCAGGATGGTGGCTCCGAATAAGAGGACGAGTACCCCACTTCCTGTCGACCTGAAGCTGCCCTTCAATGAGGGCCAATTGCCTGCAGGATTGGATGAGGACGAGCACATCTACCGTGAATTGGTGTCCTGTTTTCGGAATGCCGAGAGCACTGGTTCGATGAAGAGAACACCTCCCAAGCGCTCCAAAATTCAGAGGTCCTTCGATGTGAGTAAATTCTCCACACCCGAACAATGGATTAATTGGAAGCGCGAGGAACAGCAGGTGGGTCAGTTGATGGAGAAGTCCTTTGATCCATACTTAAAAGAGGAAATGTCCAAGAAGCTGCAGCATTTAAAAAAACTCACCAACCGACGACCTCTCGTAGAAGTTCCAATTGAAAAGGAAATAAAAGAAAAACCAAAGCTGTCACTGTCAAAGAAAAGAAAATCGAGACTAAAGTATATTGATAAGTCAATGTCAGGAACAAACGAATCAACAAACACGCCAACGAAACCAATAGATAAATATAAAACCCCTTTGAATTCAGGGAAAACATTTTTGAAATCAGCAGATCAATATAATCCCGCTTCGAGTTCAAGTACAACGTACACAAATTTGGAAGAAAAATATAATGATCTATTGAATTCAACAAAAACCCCTGCAAACTTGGTGGATAAATATAAACTTCCTCCGAGTTTAAGGAAAACCCCTACAAAATTAGCAGAAAAATATAAACTCTCTCCGAATTTAAGTAAAACCTATACAAAATTAGCAGATAAATATGAATTTCCTTCCAGTTCAAGAAAAAACCATACAATATTATCAGAAAACTATAAAGTTCCTTCGAGTTCAAGAAAAACACCTCCAAAATTTGCAGAAAAATATAAAGTACCATCAAAATCAAGTAAAACCTCTACAAAATTAGCAGAAAATAATAACCTTACTCCGAATTTAAGTAAAACCTATACAAAATTAGCAGATAAATATGAATTTCCTCCCAGTTCAAGAAAAAACCATAAAATATTATCAGAAAACTATAAACTTTCTTCGAGTTCAAGAAAAATACCTGCAAAATTTGCAGAATATAAAGTACAATCGAATTTAAGTAAAACCTCTATAAAATTAGCAGATAAATATAAATTTCCTTCCAGTTCAAGAAAAAAACAAAATATATTATTGGAAAAATATAAACTTACTTCGAGTTCAAGAAAAACTTCTGCAATCTTGGCAGAAAAATATAAACCTCATTCCAGTTTAAGAAAAGCTCCTAATAAATTACCAGCAAAATATGAACTTCCTTTGAGTTCAAGAAAAATCCCTACAGACAAATATAAACTTCCTTCGAGTTCAAGAAAAACCCCTCGAAAATTAGCAGAAAAATATAAACGTCATTCCAATTCAAGAAAAATCCCTATTAAATTACCAGCAAAATACAAAATACATTCGAGTTCAAGAATAATCCCTACAAAATTTGCAGACAAATATAAACTTTCTTCGAGTTCAAGAAAAATCCTTACAAAATTGGCAAAAAAATATAAACTACCTTCGAATTCAATGAAATCACCTACTAGGTTGGAAGATATGTATGAACCACCTTCTAAGTCAAGAAAAAACGCCGCGAATTTAGCAGGCAAAAATCAATTCATTTCGAATTTCGATAAAATTCCTTTAAACTCAGGAAAAACCCCAACGAACTTGGCAGATATTAATAAAATCCCTTTAAACTCAGAAAAAACACCAACTATCTTGACAGATATATATAAACTCCCACTAAACTCAAGAAAAACATCAATAAACTCTTCACATATATACAAACTACATACGAATGCAAGAAAAACATCAATGTCAGGAAAATCTAAACGCAGTTCTAACAAAACCTATTCTAGTTCATTAGAGAGATATAATCCCGCGTTGGCATTAAAGAAGTTTATTACCGACCATCCAAGTCTTGAAAGTATCGCCAGTTCAAGATCAAGGCGATCTACTACTACTCCTAGGTCTTCTTATCACCCGCGTCCCAAAGGAATCCAAAAAACTAGAGACAGTAGCGATGAAGAAACTGGCATATACGGCATTGATTATCCATCGAAACCCCTGGATGAGGATAGCAAATCAGTGGCTTCTCAAAAGCTCCACAAAGGTCAAAAATTTAAAAGATCATCGGCAAAAAAATACCCAGAAAATAAAGAGCTCAAGAATGTGAAAAATGCAACAGATAGAGAAGATTCAAACTTAAAACTTATGGATGAGGATAAATCTCTCGCTAAAAAAAGGAACATTTTGGAACATGAGTTGAAAAATGTCAAAACTCCAACAGATAAAAAAGATTCAAACTCAAAACTCTTGGATGAAAATATCAAACCATTGACTTCGCAACAGCTCCATAAAGCTCCAAAATTAAATATGTCAACGGATAAAAAAGGGAAAATATTTAAACAATCCAAAAATGCAGCGTTAAAGAATGTCAAAAATGCAGAAGGTGAAGGAGATTCAAGGCACTCCTCGTCCTTATCTCAGTTTTCTTGGAAAAGCGACAGTGAACTATATAACAAAAACATAAAAATTGCACAGAGAAAGAAAAACGAATCTAAAAGTGGCCATTTTAGCTCGCATGCAATATTGAAAAAGTCAAAATCCAGTGGAAGCCATTTTAGCTCGCATGCAATATTAAAAAAGTCAAAATCCAGTGGTAGCCATTTTAGCTCGCATGCAATATTAAAGAAGTCAAATTCGGGTGCAAGATTCAAGAGCCCAAGAGAATCAAACTCTGGGGAGCTGAGACAGAATTTCATTGCTAGGAAAAGGTCTAGCTCTTTGGTTAGACTGCGACCGCCAAAAAGCTATGAATACATTCGCCGAGTCATGAAGGGCATGTCTGTAAGCGATCCGTCATTTGGAAGTTTAAAGAAGAAACAAATCAATTCGACCTTGTCAATCTACAGAGGTGAGACCAACAGATCGCATTATGGTGTTCCAAGTCAGGAAATCCGTAGAAGTGAGGTACTTGGAGGCGATCACCACGGATGGCCCCTTAATGTTAAACAGCATATAGCATACGTAAATCCTATAAAGCAAAACAGCATAAAACCACATCAGTTAAACACAAAAACGCACCATAAAACGGCAGAGAAAGAACATGATTTCGATTTGGCCCGTAACTCAGATGTTGCTGTGGAATCCAAACCTATTATATTTTTAAAGAAGCCCGATCAGGAAACTCTACTTAGCTCAAAATTCGATGTTTCAGTCTCTGACCTTGAAGTCAGTTTGAGTTACGAATCGAAACCTCTGGTCATTGCCGATCTGATATCCAAGTTTATGGAGTCTTACGGCTCGGAAATGGGTTTATTTCAAACATGCCCGGATTTGTTTAAAATCAATGAGCTGGATGGGGTTTTCATTGAGACTGTCATTAACCCAATTAAACCCAAAGGGCGCAAGAAAACAAGGAAACACAAGGTTAAGAAAGTAAAGGAAAGTAAAGTCAGGGAAGTCAAGAAAATGCCTTCGAAGCCCTTCAAGATCGCCTGCTCCTTGTGCAATTTGGTCAGAAGAAGGCAATCCGAACTGCGGCCCTATATGCAGCGAATGCAAAAGCAACGCCAGCGATTGGAACTCAGGACCTATTACATCCAGAATCTGCTGAAATGTCGGCGGGATCAACAGCAGGATGTCCAGGAGCGGAAAAGAACCTCTGCCCGCGAGGTGCTAACCAGATGCTATCAAACACTGAACTTGTGTCAGCAGATCCTGGAACAGAGACAATTAAACAAATGTCAGCCTCAATAAAGCCTCTTAAAACAATAAATTATTAAGCACTTGACTCTCATTCATCAGGCTGTAAATGATTTCAACTTATATTTTCTGGGGACTGATGGTCATAAGATATCTCTAATTGATGATTTTACTATCCGGTTTTCAGCAAAAAGGATACATTTTTTATATTATTAATAGTTCATCATTGTATTTTAAGTTCAAATAAAAATTATTGTAGAAATAATATAATTTTCAGCAGAAGCTTTTCCACCCCTGTTTTATATATAATAATCAGTTCGTAAACAAATAAATTAAATAAGTATACTAAATGGTAACTCAATGGCTTTGCGAATGTTAAAACTGTGCATTGTTTCTCGCAAATATCAATAATAATTTAAGCAAATTATATTGGCACCTTGCCAATTTAAATGTGCACCATATTTTCACAAGATCAAAGAAATAAGCTATACAAATCTCAGCCAGCAACTCAAGATACAAGTAACTGGCGATAACTTGGTGTCATGCCATTTGTAAGCAGTCCATTTAGTTGACTTTTACGCGACTTTTAAAGCTCCCACTCATGGCACATAAAGTTTATTAAAATTAACATTTGCCGGATAAAACTGTTTCGCATGCATCCTTTTCCGCAAAATTTATTCCAATGCGAACAACTGCTGAGTAAAAATAATAATGTGCCATAAAATTCCTGTTTTTTATGCCCAAGCCCAATTCCCATTCCGTGCGCAGAAATGTCAATGCCAACGCATCTAAAATATGCCCTACATCCTTCGTCCGCTGGATTTTCCGACCCACCTCCCCTTTTCGCGAACTCTTCAGCACAAGTGCAACTACGAAAACCGGGGGAAAATGTCAACAAAAAAAAACTAGGAAAAAATCAAAGTGAAAAAGCAACAAAACTCGGTCGAGGGCTTTAGATAGTAAAAAACTTTTATATGGGATTTTGGGTAGAAGTGCGGGGCGTTCAAGTAGTTTCTTCTAGTTTATTAATTTAAATGCTAATTTGCTGTGTTTTTTATACACGCATTTCTGGATAGTTTTTATTTATATGAACATATTTTACAGATTTAAATGAATAAGAACATTAAATGCAAGTAGTAATTTTGGCTTCAGCTTGGTACTACCTAAATTACTATGCCCAACAACACAATGTAATATGTGTTAAGTTTAAAGAATAAACAATTCAAATGTATATCTAATAGCTTAAATTTTTAATTAATTAATTCATTATTTACCATTTGCAAAATCACTTAAAAGCTGGTTACCGCAGAGTATGCAACGCTGGAATGCAAACACGTCCAAGTGAAAACAGGTGTCAAGGTGCTAAAATACGTTGGATGCCGCGGGCAGTGAATCGCCGTAAAAAAGGCCAAACAATCCGGGGACGCAGGATGTGAAGGAAATTTAAATGGAAACGGAAAAAACGTAAAAGGAAAATATGCGCTGGTTTATGCTTACTGCTCGGCGGTGGCCACATAATTGGCCCTAAGTGGCTTAAGTTATTAAAACCAATTAACCAGGACTTCTTGCAAAGAAAATTCTCTTTAATTGCAAGCGCAATGCGATTACAAAAAAAATGATTGCATTCAAATTTAATTGGAAAATTGTCTAATTGGCTCGGCAAGACAAGTTAACAAGCTGCTCCATCAGCTAATTAAACTTTTTAGATTAAAACCCAACCTTCAACTCAATCTCGGCGGAAGTTGTAGTTTCTTCAGTTCAAAAGTTGAGGAGTTGGCAGAAGGATTAAAACGCTTTCAACTTTATTGCGAAATCTCCTTAAGACGGATGGTAATTTACGCTTGACGAAGTGCAAAGCACAAGTTCTAAAGCTTGGTTAAGGGCATAACCAAAATTGAAGTATGTTAGACAAAACAGCAGTCAAATTAAAATTTAATTTTAGCAAACTGCATCTCTATTTAATTTTAAATTTAAACCAAAATACCAGAAACTAATTTTCAAATATATCTTATTGAAAGAACTAAAATAAAAGTTCTCGGAAATCCCTACAAATTGTAGATCCAGTTGGTTCTTTAAAAAATTGAATGACGCTCTTTATTTATTTATCGTTTTCATGGTAGTTATCACATGTATTTTCACAAGCAGTCAACTGAAAAGCTTTTGTTTTGCATAGAATATGCCCTCTAAATTTCTATGTATAAGTTCACAATTTGAGTACGCTTCAATACCTTTAGATATCGGTACACCACATTTAAGCGCAATCTCTTTATTCAGCAAAAATAAATCAAATTGCTTTAATGGGAAAGTGCAAACGAAAATTCGTTCGCCACACACGTTAACATAATTATGGAACACGCTCACTGGGGCCCAATCAATCATACGCAGCGTGGGCCGCCTGACATTTGCGGGGGGCCAGACACGATAATCACACGCAAAAACCTTTGAAATGCAAATCAGGGGAATCATCCGAAAAATCATACATATGTACTAACCTTTTTTCTGAAAGTGGGGGTGATGATTTTGCCGCCGTGCCCTCGATTGCCGATGTTTGTTGCTGGTTGCCTGTTGCTGGTTGTTCTACGCTGTTATCAAATCAATTCGACAGAACTTTATTGGCAGGAAAGTCCCGAAAAAATAAGGGAAAGAAAACAACAGTCAAGGAATGAGAAAAACCAAAGTGAAATGCTTGAACGTAACGACATTTCTTTTTAAGCGCGTGTCAAAAATGAAGTTGAATTGGGAATATGCTCTCCACAGTGAACAAACATTTGAAAGAAAACTTCTGGTCTTTGATTTTACATTATAAAAAAGGTTTTTATCCTTTCACAAAAGTATCTTTCATTCTATTTTATTTAACCTTCTTTATTAACGAAACTTAAAGTTATTCAGATGTTAAATCAAGGTTGTCTAATTTTCGTTTGGGATGCAAACCTCAAGAGCTTTGATATGTAAACCATTTTTTTTTTCAGTGCCCAAGTTACATTCACACAGATACACAGTCTACGATTGTGCGTGGATTACATATGGTAATTTCCTTGGGATTTGCACATTTTTTTGTTTTCGGGTGTGCAGGGTCAGATTATAATCGTATTTTTCAATCTGAATAAAATTAACCGAGATTTTCCATTTCTCTTTCAGTTTTATTTTGGCTTAGAATTTATGGAACTAGCTTTAACACTTTTTTTTTTGTTGGGAAGCGGGAACACATGTGTTAAATCACAGAAATTTCGTTTTTAAAAACATGTGCCACAAATTAAATCCACTATATGTGGGTGAGTTTGTGTTTTAAATACTTTTATAATTTATGTCTTAATATTTCGATGTTTGAAATTTGAATTTACACTTTTCACTTGCAACATTGTTGCTGGCAACTTTCGCGCTCCTGCACTTGAACTAGTTTCCCGTTACAAGCGTTTTCAATTTTCCTCAATTTTTCCACACGCACACACACACACACACACAGCCACGGTGAGGGAGATAAATCCACTGATAAGAGTTTCGACCGGACTCAATTCCGGATCCATGCGCTATACCTTTCGCCACGTCCGACTTTCGAAGCCACTCAACAGCAACTGTTGCAGATTTCGAAAAGGCAACTTGTGGCTGCTGCTTTCCGCCTCTGTCGACGTCGCAGCATCTCTTTTCCCGAGTTTTTCCGAGCTTTTCCGAGAGCTTTTCCTCGCACCACGGCAAACTGTTGATTGGTCTGCCATCTGTGTGTGCTTGTTGGCCAGGAAGAGAACCGAAAAGAGAGTGCATCTCGGCATCTCCGTGCTTTACTTAGTTAATTAGTACCCATTCAGAGGGCAGTAAACAGTAGTTAGTTCATCTTTATGCGAAACGAAGCTGAGTCGTTAAAATGGGATTAATAATTTTTAAATATTCCATTAGGATTTAAAATTATTTAATTTTGCTTTAATTAGAGTCTTCAATTAGCATTTAAATTTATTATAAATAAATTAAAGAACACATTTGTTAGCAGATGATTTAAAAAATTAGTTGCTGTTCATCAAATTGGGATAAAAGACTTTTAACTTTGTTAAAATCAAATATGACTTAAAATGTTATGGACTTCTTTCTTATGTTTAAAAGCCGTAGAAGACTAAATATAGTTATTCAATAATGGTAACCCAAACCCGCATAATCAGCCATAATCTAATCGAAGTCGTTTTCGATTCTGTTTATTGGTTTCCACCACAAAGCCGTTAAAGCTGGTATTTGGCGAAGCAACAGTTACCAATGTTAACGGCCCACAAATACACAATTTCAGTGCGAAAAGAAAAGCTCCCGGTGGCACTTCCTCTTATTTGGAGACCACAAATAGATGGCACACTCGCAGAATTAACGCGCTTTTAATAGATTAGACCCCCCAGACAGCTCTTCAGGGGCATTTGGTGGTGCAACCGATGATGCCGCCCAAGGACCTCTGCACCCGATCTGCGGATAACGGTACCTGCTGCTCCTGACCACCACCCACGTCCTGCCCCCACCTTTTTTTCACTATCCCCAATGGGAGCGAGGACACACGTTTGGCAAATTTGCGCTGGCAGAAGGACGAACACTAATTGATACGGTCGAACAGGCATTGAAAACATAATAATCCACGTAGGTTTATATTTTTCATTTTTTCCCTTACCCATTCTTAATCTAAATACTTTAGTAACCTTTGTTATATTAAAATTGGAATCGAGTAAGAAAAAAATACTTGTAATATATTAAGAATTAAAATATGTACATATTAATGCAGCTATCCTTTTGATTGTCTTCTCTCTATCACGATGAAATCTATGTTGAGTTAAGATTATTAATTTTTTGGAGCCAATTTGCTTTTCCGAATTTTTTCCATACAAAAAATGTTAAGGTCCTTTTTTATGGTTAGTTTTTGGCTGCTGAGGACCTAAACTATACATTCTTGGTTGAAATGAACAATTTTTTTTAATGGTATTCGATTTTCTTTCAAAGAGATTCCACTTTAATTTGGAAACATTTTTATACCCTTGCAGAGGGTATTATAATTTTGGTCAAAAGTGTGCAACGCAGTGAAGGAGACATCTCCGACCCTATAAAGTATATATATTCTTGATCAGGATCACCTCCTGAGTTGATATAGCCATGTCCGTCTGTCCGTCTGTCCGTCTGTCCGTCTGTCTGTCCGTCTGTCTGTTTCTACGCGAACTAGTCTCTCAGTTTTAAAGATATCGAATTGAAACTTTGCACACACCCTTCTTTCCTTTGCACGCAGTATATAAGTCGGAACGGCCGGGATCGGCCGACTATATCCTATAGCTGCCATATAACTGAACGATCGGAAATGCCATTACTTTGGTGTTTGTAAAGTTAGGAAGTTGGGATTTTCTATGGGTTTTGTATTTGGCTAATCAATCCGACATGCCGAATTTCATAAGGATCGGCCGACTATATCCTATAGCTTCCATATAACTGATTGATCGGAAATGCCATAACCTTGGTGTTTGTAAAGTTAGAATGTTGGGATTTTCTATGGGTTTTATATTTGGCTAATCAATCCGACATGCCGAATTTCATAAGGATCGGCCGACTATATCCTATAGCTGCCATATAACTGATTGATCGGAAATGCCATAACTTTGGTGTTTGTTAAGTTAGGAAGTTGGGATTTTCTATGGGTTTTATTTTTGGCCAATCAATCCGACCCACTAAACTTCATAAGAATCGGCCGACTATATCCTATAGCTGCCATATAACTGAACGATTGGAAATGCCATAACTTTGGTGTTTTTAAAGTTAGGAAGTTGGGATTTTTTATGAGTATTAAGAATGCATCATATGAATAATTTTGGAGAATATAATTTACAGAGTATTCTGCAAGGGTATATCAACTTCGGCTCCGCCCGAAGTTAGATTTCCTTTCTTGTTTTTACAGATTTTTTATAATTTGTTACATTATTTTTGTCGATTATCTTTTGAAACGTTTACCAATTGTATTTATAAGTTGTCTGTGTGTGAGATTGACTGAAGTAATTTTCGTCCTTTAATCAGATAAAAACAATTTATGTAAACCTGCGTCTGCCTGAAAGTGCTTGTATGTGGGCGTGCATTAAGCGCAATTAAAATTATCAGGAATAAAGAAGGCCGGTATAAACGAGGCGAGGAAATTAAATTGAGTCGTTTACTTCATTAAAGGCTGTGCCAAGTTCAGGGACACAGAGGAAAATTCGCATCCTTGTAGCCATTTTGTGAAGTCCTGTTTGTATGTGTATGTGTCGAAAAAAGCTAACAGGCCATGTCAACGTAAGGTTAACTTTTAACTTCCTTTGGCGACGTTCGTTGACTTCGCGGCGTATAATAACCAAGCTAAAGCTTCTCTGTTCTTTCTAACATTTTGCGGTGGCTAATTAAAACGTCCGTCCTTCGCACCGCTAATCCTAAATATCCCCGATCCGGATACCCCGCTTTGTAGTTTCATATTACCGCAGGATGCACGCGCATCTGATTATGCCGCATTATTGCCAACACCATTATTTTTGTGCTAACAATTAAGGTGATACGATGTCTGCTAATTAAAGTTTTAAATACAGCAAGTTGTAACTTTTTCAAATTTGAACTTAGAATTCTTTTTATTAAAAGTATTTATTTGTATATTTATAACTTAAAAGAAAAAATATTAATATAATAGAGTGTTAAAATTACATTTATTTTGATTTTGTGGACTAATTTTGAATTTGGCGCTTGAAATTAATGGAGTATAAAGGTGCTTGTTACAAAACTCAGTGGTGCTGCCAGATGTTCACAATTCAATACACGGTAGAGATGGAACATCGTTAGCGAAGACTTACTCCGAAGGTATGAAGCACAGACACCTTTCAAAAGGTGGGAATTGAGACATCAACGCATAACTATCGATTATCGGCGACCTGCCTGCCAGTTAGCAAGAACAAACACCATTTTATGTGCTTTGTATAGGTGACAGACTATCGATGACGCCCGGTCAAACATCGATATGGCCGATGTTTTTAAAACATCGATGTCATTGAGGAAAGCATCGAAGTTTCTCCACCTCTAGCGTTTTGCTTTGGTTGAAAATACAATTAAAAATTGATTCCGAAGTATTTAAATATTCAGCATCACCAGGTGAGTGCGTGTAAGCAACATTAGCATTGACTTCGGCCGGTAACGTGTTAAACGTCGGAAAAACCGTCGAATTGTGGGCTAAAAGTCAATTTGAAAAGGCGCGTCATGTGCTGGAATCGAAGGAAATGCGTTACAATGCAGTTGCAGTGGTGATATTTAAATATTTACCAGTAACTAATTTTCTTTTTCCCCCACCTTTTTACTTTTTAGCCATAAAAATCTGAGAAAAGTGGGAAAAGCGGCATTCCAAATACCAAAAGAAGCTCAAAAAGAAAAATTTGCAAGGCTGCGTCTGTGTGAGTGAGCGTGTGCGAGCGCGCCCGTGTGTGTGTGCGAGTCTTTTTTGCCTTTGGTGCGTGCGCTAAGAAAAGAAGGAAAACACACAAAAACACAAGAAAAGTGCAGGAAAAGGAACCAAATATACAAAATAAACAAACAACTGCCGCTGCAATGGAGAAGAGAATAGAACTGGAGCGACGCGCCCGCAAAGTAAATCAGGTAAGAAAAACGCGCCATAAACTTGGAATAAAATTATTAATTAAACCCAGCGTTTGTGTGAGAGTGCATCATCATGTAAATCCAAGTTAAATTTGTGTTTAAACGACAAAAAAGAGGCGATGAAAGAATAAAAGTAGTGCGGCATCAACAAGAAAGGAAAAAAAAAAAGAAATTGATCGCCATAAGCAAATTCTTTGTATGTGTGTTTGTATGTATGTGACGCCAGTGTTGCCATGTGCGCACATTTTTGCGCCTTAGCTTCCTTAAAATGCAGTTTAGTTGACAATTAGTAAATATTACAAGTTACAAATTAGAACAAAATGATTTATTGCGTTGCAATACCGCATATCCAACGATCTTTTCATCCAGAAAGCAGCAGCACCTGAAATTTTTTAGTCTACAGCTGGCAATGCTGTTTGCTTCTTGTTCTTGCCTTTGCCTGCGTTGTTGTTATTGCCGGCCTTCAATTGTGACAAACACGGCAACATGTGTTTGTGTGTGTGTATGTGTTTGCTGCATGTTGTAATTTCAGGTTATTTGATACCAAAATGTATCTATAACAACATTATAGCGCGCGCATCATCCGCACAAACGCACACACGCGTATCACGCACAAAAGATACACATGCATAAGTAAGAAAACTTATGCACAAAATATTCGACATAGCATAGATATGCATACACATGTACATATATTGACTGCGCAGTCATAATACCTTTATGCTGCCCCTCCTCCCACTATCAACCCTCTCCCTCTTGCCCATGTGTTTACCTGCACGCCATCTCTAGCCATCCCGCTCCCACCCACTGCTGCATTGCCCAGCCAAAGAAATGCAGGCGAAAAGACAAAGCCGCTGATTAATAAACATGCGCTCTGGCCGGCCTACTCAATCTCAATCAGCGGTCACCCAGCCGCCCAACCACCCACTTCCCACCCACAATGCACCGAAAAACAACAACGCAGCTACAAAAAAATGGCAACGCATACATACTCATTCGCGCCTAAGCCAAAGAAAAATGCTTTGTGCATTCATTCTCGCTCATTCACTCGCATACTGTGTCTACTCTCTAAGAGAACTGGATATACAACACCATTTCGCTTTGATATTTCAGGCCTCCAATCATATATTTCCCAGTTCCTTATCCCTTGAATTGAAATTCCATTAGTTAAATATAGGACCCTGGGGATCGTACCATTACTGCCCCTTCTTATCACCAAAGAAATGAATTTGCAAACTTTTGTATAGTTCAAGATTTATATTAATATAAACCCAGCTAGCAAACTATAAAAACTATTCTTTTAAAAATGGAAAGGCTATCTACAAAATAATGATTGGTTCATAATTCTATCAATTTATATAAAATGTAATTAATTTCACGTTAAGTCGGGATACGATTTCAAACTGTAGTACAAGTATAAAAAATTAAACTTTTGTCAAAATTTTAACTAATTATCTTCAAAAAATATTTTTTTTTCGATTTGTGTTATTAACGTTCAAGTTAAAGAACGTCCCCTGTAGCCACAACTGTTTTTCGACTAGACAGAATCGGACAGAAAGCACCCATCTTGTTTTGTTGTTGTGGCGACGTGACATATTGATAATTGGGTAATCTCAAGTGAACTTGCACAGCCTCCAAAGGCAAACGTGTACATTTGTTCATTTGTAGCTTATCAGGCTAAACCGCACCCACTCCCCTCTTTCAGACCACCCCGCCCACTTTTCGCAGACAGGCGCAACAACTATACTACGTCACGGTCAAACATGTTGTTGTTGCGTCTGCCGGCATGTTCTCCATCTGCTATCAGCTTCCCACCCCCGCTATTTTCAATTCCGTTTTGCTCGTCGTTCTTTGCGCATTCTTCTTTGTGCCGAGACACACGCACACATATACGCTGCTGGCACACACACACATTTTGGGGTTACATAAACGCGCGTTGGCACTTTTCTTTCGGCCTGCATTTAAACAAAAGGCGCAATTAGGCGACTTAGAAAAGCGGCAAATGTTTACCAAGTTGTTTGTCGTTGCGCTAATTTAGTTATTTTGCTTGTAATGTCCTTTTGCATTTCAACAAAAAAAATTCTCAGCGTTTGATCGATTTTTGCGTATGTATTGTTCTCCATTTTTTTTTTCTGCTCGCTTTGGGTCAAAATTGTACACCAGTGTGCCCAAACTGAAGATTTCAAATTTGCCATTGGTCTTTGACAAAATATAGTTAAAAATACCACATACCCTTAAATTGTATCGAAAATTCAAACCGATAGATCTTATCGATAAATGTATTATTTAATTAGAAATTATTAAAAACAGTTAAAATACAAAAAAAAAAATAATATTTAATATAACGAGATAAAATAATTCTAGCTTTAAGTAAACAACTAAATTATTTATTCTCACAATTTTATTTAATTTACCCTCAGATCACAGAGTTGAATCTGGACAATTGCCGGAGTACAAGCATCGTTGGCCTTACAGACGAATACACCGCCTTGGAATCACTAAGCTTGATCAACGTGGGTCTCACCACACTCAAAGGTTTCCCCAAGCTGCCCAACTTGAAGAAATTGGAGCTGTCCGACAATCGGATTTCGAGCGGCCTCAACTATCTGACCACCAGCCCCAAACTGCAATATCTGAACTTGTCCGGCAACAAGATCAAGGATCTGGAAACCCTGAAGCCCCTGGAAGAGTTTAAGAATCTAGCAGTGCTGGATCTGTTTAATAACGACGCCACCCAGGTGGACAATTATCGCGAGAAGATCTTCAAGATGCTGCCATCGTTAAACTTTTTGGATGGGTAAGTTTTTACCACATTTCTAGAGAGTAGAAAAACAAATTAACTTATTGTATGACTTTAGTTTTGATTGCAACGATGAGGAGGCGCAATCCGAGGGCGACGATGATGATGAGGTCAACGGCAACGATTCCGAGGAGGAAGGTATGTATTCCAACGACATTTATAACTTACACAAAACTGCCAAATTCAGAAGGGAAAATGTACCATTATTTAAAGCTCATTGTCCGTCTGTTTATTTATTCTATCGTCTTTCGTGGCTGGCGCTTTCTTGTAATCACAAAAACCGCTCATGTTCAACCCTAGATTCTGTCGCCTTTCAGATAAGCGCAGTGCCTTCTGTTTAAATGGTCTAGAAATCGATTTAGACGAGCTCGAGGCACTGGAGCAGCGCGTCAAGGCGAAAAATAGTTTGCAGGACAAACCGCCTCCGCAATCGGAGGACAATGAAGTAGACGACTTAGATGAGTACCTGAAAGAGCTGCAGTTGAGGGAATCCACAGCTACCGCAACCGATGAAAAATCTGTGATAAAGGCGACCCCACAGCCCCCTAGCAATCCAAACTTAAATTTCGCCATCCTGCTCTATTGGTTCTTTGCTATTTTAAATTTGGCTAATGCCACATATTGTAAGCATGGCTTTGGAGATTTTGTTTCCAGTCAAAGTCGAACTTCTCTAGCTCGAAACTTTTGCATGAGTTTATGAGAAAATAGGTGTAGGACATTTCCGACACTATAAAGTAAATATTTATATTCATTCATTCTATAATCAGGACAATAGAAATCGGTCTTTATGAATTAGTGCCCTTTACACGGTCATTATTAATATAAAAAGCTGCTAAAAAAAATGCTAGCTATAGTTGCGAATCAATTTTTCTTTTGTTTGATGAAAAAGGATAATGAAACTTCGGCTCGCCGAAGAAATATGGAAGTACGATTTTTAGCACTTGTTGCAGAGTCGTTAAAAAATGAATTGTCTATCCCTCTTAATTTTACTTTAAACTTTAATAAGTCGACTTAGGGAAGTTCGAGCTGTAGAAGTTGTATTAAACATTATTCTCTTACGCTTTTCCAGTTTCCGGTGACGATGACGACGAGGAGGGTGACAGCGATGATAGCGACGAGGAGGACAATGGCGAGGTGTCCCTTTCGGAGGTGTACAATGACGATTTAGAGGAGGATAACTCCGACTGGGAGGGCGAGGGCGAAGGTGGCGAGGACGACGAGGATGAGGACTCCGATATTGATGATGCCGATGGCGATGCAAACGAATCTGCTGCATCAGTAAATGCCAAGGATGGCAAGGATGGCGAAAAGGCAGGAGGTGAGTTTACATAAAAAATGTATTTCATTAGCATTTATTAATAAGTTATGTTTTTCATTTTCAGACGATTCGCAAGCACGGGGCAAGAAGAGAAAGCATGATGGTTAAATCTCCTCCATCTGTCGCTGTATCGTCATTGTACGTTATAAATTTAAATATACACCCACACACACAAAACAAACACACAGCCACACACATCATATTTTGATAGAAAAAGATGATTAACCCTTTAGGAAGCCCACAATTTGTTTCTCTAAAATGTAAGCTAAAAATAATGAAAATCGAAAAAAAAAAAAACACGGAGCAGAAAAAGGCGGGGAAAATGAACGTAATAATCAAACAAAGCAAAGCAAAAGAGAAAATATGTTTAAGCGAGCAAAACCAAGAGGTTTTCAAGAGAAACCAAGTAAACAACCAATAAAAAACGCATTACTATAGCCTCATCCGAACCCAAGTTCCAGTTGCAATTTTAACACCTTCGTCAAATTTGCAATACGAAATCACCTTCACATTGTAAAATTGATTAGTTATCGAGTATATAGTTACGACCTGTACAATCTTTAACCATCTAATGACTTGCTGTTAAATTTCAACCAAGAACTGGGAAACAAAACAGCCTTAAACATTTTATTTGTACAACTGCGGCTTTGTCAACATTTCGCGTGAAAACGATCACACAATTACTGCTAAGAACTTTTAACTAACTCTTAAGTCATTCCTTCTTTGAATACGCATAAGTTAAGCGAAACCCAACTTCATTCACTTTCACATTTTCATTGTTACCAATATTCCCGACATTTTAACAACCAGCGTCTCTTTCTTAGCGTAATGAACTCACAATTGAGCATCCTAAATTGTTTTCCTTTATGTACTTTTAAGTAAAAATACCACATACCCAAATGTTTCCACTTATTCAACGGCAGTAGCATGTTTTCATTGAATGTGGCGAGTAAATCTGATACACACAATTTTAGAGAAGATTTTTCATTTAATAAACATATATGCAAACATTTATTATTGAAGCAGGACCAGCGTTTGTTTAACGAGATGAAATGTACCAGCCCATTGAAACTGAAATACATAAACTAAATCATTTTAAAAATGTCGTATTTTTTCTGAAGGGATGGAATAAAAGGATTTCCTGGAGAGTATTAGTCTGTGTTTAACCACTTAAGCAAAACAAATACAAAACTAACATTTAAACTATTAAATCAGTAAAAAAATGGAGACCCAAATTCTAAAATGTATTTAAATTTCGATAAACTTCTGCGATATCGATTAATTTAAAGAATTACCGGTGTCGGTACTTTTAACTGAAAAATACTAGATGTATCGATACTATCGCGGGTTGTTTTCCCAGCTGGAGCGTGTATGGTCACATAAAATCTTAAATTCTGGCGCAAAGCATCGAAAAAAGGAAGCGTCGTATATAAATGATTCAATATCGTGCTACAAAATGTCCGGTGATATAGCTAATCTATTGAAAGGCAGCCGATCCGATGTGGAGAAAGCCTTCAAAAAGGTGGAGGCCGAGTTGCAGGAGTATACGGGAGGATCCCGTGGCGGTGGAGATGCTTCTTATACGCTAAGATACGCTATGAGTGTGATGCGCCATATCTGCCTGGTCCTGAGGGATACTAGTCCACAAAATTTGGATCTCTACTGCGATATAGTTGGAGTTATGCTGCCACATGTGGTTCCCTACAAAGAAAAACCCAGTTTATGGGAGTCGCACTTATCCAGCTTGCGATACATACATCATGGTTTGTGCCAGCCGGTTAGTTTACCAGAAATTCAAATTAAGGCCTTTCTAACCATTTTTCTTTTCCAGAGTCACCTCAAAGCCCGTCTGAAGCTGTACAACCTTATCCGAACCCAACCCTGCCGCCTGCAGGGGGAAGCGGACTACAAAATATATCTGGGCATCCATTTAAAACACTTCAATAGCCTTCACTTGCAGCTGCATGAGCAAAATCCCTTGGATGCCACAACGCAACTATGTTACGCCATGGAATCTTTGGGAGAACTTTTTGAAGCCATGATGCAACAAAATATCAACCAAACGGGACCACTTTTAGTGGAACTTAACGAATCATTGTTTGGCAAAAGAAGCCGTACATTCTTCAAGTCACTTGTTCAGTTTCTGCCCTCGGAGAGTCTGATCAAGATGTTTAAACCCCTACTGAAGCTTCTGGCTAGCAGCTCTCCATCGGATTTAGCCACCCAGTTTCCTGAGTACCTGAGTTTCACCTTGGCCCTGGTGCAAATCGACATTCTTAGTCCTCAACCCAACCAGCAATTGTCGCTCCAGCTGCTGCGCATGAGCAAGGAGCTTTTTCGCCATGAAACCAATCTGAGTTACTCCCTGCAGCTGCTCTACTATTATATAAAGTTAATCTACGTCAGGGAGCCCACGCCCGACTTCAAGCGCACCTATATAGACCTCTCGCGCAAGTTCCAGCTATTCTTCGAGCACAAGTGCGCAGCCCATGCCAAGGACCAGTGGCTCACGGATCTGCTGGTGGCCATTCAACGCCTCCAGGTTACAATCCACCAGAGCGGTAGTAAATTCACGTCGCCACTCCAGTTCTTCTGGCAGCAGATGGAGGGCGAGGGCAGTCCCGAGGTCTTTGCGGCGCACTTACAGCTGCTGAAGAGCTGCGGTGGCTCGGCGGTAAATGTTACGCGGAGTCCACTGGCCAGCAATTGCCCACATGAGGCCTGTCAGAGCGTAAGGAGGCACTGCATCTTGGCCTATGGACTATGCGCATTGGAGGCTTACACAAACTGGCAGCCGACGCAGGAGCAGAAAGCCGATAAAGTAGGTAATCAAATATATTTCCCGATCATTAAAAAATACTAATGTAATATTTACCTTCTGTTCCAGAGCCCCCACAAACCCCTGTTGGAAATAGTTAGTTTCTCAATGGATCTGGCCAAGACCATGAAGTGCCTGAGTCCTACCAGCATGGAGATCGTCAGACTGGTACACAAAATAACAGTTGTAGCCAGTCAGGTGTCGTGTGAGGAACAAATCTCCCTTCTATTGGCATTTCTAGAGCCACTGCAAAAGTTGCGGCCTCTGATTGCCGACAAGGAGATGAATGAACTATTGCGACGACTCTACAAGGCCAGCTGCCATTGCAAGGATCCCAATATGGCCAGTCGCCTGCATGCTAGTTATTTGGCATCGCTAACGAATCCCGCCACATTGAGATCTCAGCTCTGTTTTTATTACCACAAGCAAGAAAAACAGGGGAAGGAAATTCAAAAGTGCGTCTACGAGTGGCACGAGTCCTGTCCATTGCCGTATCCGCTTACACAAGCCCAAAAAAAACAGCTCTACGATACAGATTTCTTTGCTGCGCTGGAATATTTGATAACTCCATCTGTGGCAGCTATACAGTCGCTAATCCGCTGCCGAATGAGTGATTACCATCTAGTTCTCGCGGCCAGGCGAATGAGAAAACATGTCTCTATGCTGAAGGAGTGCGAGGAGATTCGGGCTAAGCTAAAGCATCAGCGCTTCCTCAGCCGAATGGATCACTTATCACTGGGCCATGCCAATGCTGGACTACTGCTTGACGCAACAGAAGCTCAAAAGACATCGGTTTCCACCAAAGAGATGACGGAGAGTTTTCTGGAAGAGCTGCTTCTCAGGCAGAATTTATCGCAGATTAATATTAAACGAGAGCAGCGCCTGGTTGAATTTGCTAGTGAAGCCATCTCGGCTTTTAGCTACTTCTTTCACCAAGCAGATCAAGAGCCACTGGGCAGTGAGGAAACTCCTATTGATTGGCAGGCCTTGATTGACGATGCTGTGGCAGCCGCCATGGGTCTTTCGACAATGGGCTATAGAACCCAGGCGGACGATGCCTGGGTACTGCTCTTGAGAATGGGACGCCTACTGGAAGAACGGTTTACCTATCTTCGAGCCCTAAATCATTTCCTCTCCCAGAATGAAGTTCATTCTAGACTGAAATTAAAACTCTCTGAGGAAGTGGAGTGGGCGCAGGAATTACTGGATGATTTGTGGCCACAACTGCACAATGGCAGATTCTACAAGCGGGAGCAAACAATCGTATTGCTCTGTTTCTGTCACCTGGCCAATTACTATGCCAACAAGGATTGCCTAAGCCATGCTCAGTTGCTTCTATTGCATGTAGAGCAGCTTCGCGAAGAGTTTCCTGAAAGATTGGGAAAGAATGATATTGTATTGATTACCCTACAAGCAGTGCGTTTTAGACTTCGTTATCAACAAAGGGAGCCAGCGACTCCCAGGATGGTGATGCCCTTGCGGCTGTTGGATTCTCTGCAGGACAATTTGCGAAATTTCTGCGTCCTTTCCAGTTTGGATAATAACTCACTGCGGTTGCTTCTTACTACTCTCGTCACAGAAAGCGCCGAATGCTCGGCAAACAGATTAAGCGAACGAGTGGCCCTCTCAAACACTTTGCTCCGCTTGGCCCTGGAAACCGGTTTGGCTTTAAGAGCCGTCGAGATATTCCTCTCCTGGTTGTGGATCAATCTACAAATGGAAAACTTCGACAAGGCCCAGTCTAAGTTGCGACTCATCGAACACTGTCTGGACATAAAGCCCTTAGCTCGCATAGAAGCTCTTCCGGAGAAGAAAACTATCAAAGACCCAGCTATTATTGACCTAACCAGCAACATGGACTTCCTCCAGCTGGTGGAGCCGATTAGGAAGCAGCAGCATCTGAATGTGGACTCTCCAAAGCTGCTTAGCATGCGCCCAAATAGTCCCAACTCCCAACTGAATTTGGATCGTTACTTGAACATGGACTTGGCTCCTCCTACCATTCGGCAGAATTCGCAGATTCAGTGCCTGTACTTTTTAATGGGCTGTCTGCATGCTCGTCTTCTTTTTCTTCAGAGAAATAGCGAACCTTTGGATGAGTTCTATGAGAGGGCGGGTAGTTGGCTGCAGGAGAATCCAGAGATGAGTGCTTCATTGGGTTCAATGTTGCAGGTGCAGCAGCTCTATCATGTTAACTACTTGCGCTTCAGGCGAAAGCATGCGGAGGCGATATCAACAGCTCAGTTGGGTCTTAAAATGCGACAGCAAGCCGTGGACATTAACTACGCCTGTAACTTTCGGGCTCAGCTGAAGACAGCGCATCTAGAGCTGAAACCCTTGGACCAAGAGAAGACAACGCAAAACAAAACCCTTCGACGTGCGTTGGTTTTCAATCCTTCGCCGGAAGACAATAGCGGCAAAGGGGCAGGATCGACCTCAGCTGTTATGGACAAGGCTTGCAAAACCAAAGAGTCCACCAAAAAAGCACCAAGATTCAAAATTTACGAGGAGCTTGAGCTACGACCACCAAGTGCGACGGGCAGCAGTAGCGGAGGAAGCGGGACCGACAGCACACCACCCTCGAATCACGTAGATTTCAATGCCTGTCAGCTGATCGAGATAAGCGACGATGACGACTCGCCCCCTGTGCCCCTAAAGCCTGCCAAATCAAAAGCCAAGGAGAAAACAAAGACCAAACCCACTGCGAAAGTCTGTGAAGTCGTGAAATCGGATAGCAGCGTGGAAGTAGCATCTGTGCCATCAATTACTACAAGGAGCACTAGATCAAGGAAGGTGCCACAGCCGGAGGATACCACAAAGACACCGAACCTTTCATCAAGACGGCCCAAGCGACAGGTGTCCGAGACGCAGGCTAAAGGAACGGAGTCTATTAGCACACGCAGACATAACATGCACTGATTATAGAGATAATTTAACCTCGATTTAGTTGAAATTCTAATTTAAAAATACTTCTCTATCCAATTATATGTTATCTAGGTGTTACAAAAAAGCTTCAGAGGTACATTTTTAATTTATCCTGGTAGCAAGGGCATTAGTGAAGTTGTACAGACGTCCTGACTCCAAAAGCCGCGTTGAATCCTTTGGCCTTCAGGGTCATGATAGAAAACACCTGCTCCTGATTTGCACCCTCCTTCGAATTGGCCGACATAGCGATTTCCATTAGCTATATAAAATAGCAAACATAATTTTTAAATTGTTTATTCTAACAGTTGTTTAAATAATTAAAAAATAAATAAGAGATTATTGACTTAAGTAATGTGTATGAATCTGAGTATTTTCAATATTATTTAATTAAGACATATACTACTACTACTATTTACTCACCCGTAAAAAGTACACCCTTTCCGTGCATTTGATCTAGTAGCCACTCCCCCACATATACTCCTCCATCCGCCATCCAGAAAATGCCCTGACCGCTCCGCTGGTTCGCAAGCCACTGACCAAAGTACACGGATCCATCGGGGTAGAACTGCTTCCCCTCGCCATTCCGCTTATCCTGCCGCCACTCCCCCACGTAGATGCGGAGTATGCTGCCATTCGTCTCCTTCCTTCGCAGAGTTCCGTAACCATGGCGCTGCCCCATCTGCCAATGACCCTCGTAGACCAAGCCGCTGCAAGTCCGCCTTACCCCGTATCCATGGGGCTGCATGCCCAGCCATTTTCCCTGGTATCTGCCACCGGGATACCTTTGACAGCGAACTCCGGTGCTGTATCCGCGCGCCGGGCACGACATGTCTTCGATGACTGAGGCCAGGAGCACGTCGTCTGTCACATGCGGCGGTGCCATGTGGTGTCTTGGGTGGATTGGGCCGCCCTTGTGGGCCGTGTGCGTGCGGTGTCACTTTTCTAATCAACCCCAAGCAGCATGACTGGCCACCATTTGCCTTCCTCCAGCGATGGCACGCAAACTTAAGGAGGCCAAAGACATCGCCTCAATAGAAAATCGTTTGTTCCGGATAAGTATATGTGGAAGAAATCGTTTAATCAGTCGTATAAATTACAGCCCGATTTAGCTTACATTGGTAGGGAACAACTACTACTACAACAGTGCTAAAGCCATTTTTAAACTTTATAAGTTTCCGATTTCTTGTAGAAAGCTAACCCAAAATTAAACTTTTACAGTCTATAAATCTACCATTTTGATTCTTTAAAAATCTGCATTCAAAATTTTCATTTTAACGTTGATCAAATTTTTGACCTATTTTCATGTTGATAATTCCAAGCTTCCGATGTCTTGTAAAAATGTGGCCCACTATTGGTGATGTGGAGTCCATAACTTTTCCAAATATAATCCGATTTCAAATTGGCATACCTCTAAAGACTCGTATTTTGATTCTCTAAAAATCTGCATTCAAAATTTTCATTTTAACGTTGATCAAATTTTTGACCTATTTTCATGTTGATAATTCCAAGTTTCCGATGTCTTGTAAAAATGTGGCCCACTATTGGTCATGTGGAGTCCATAACTTTTCCAAATATAATCCGATTCCAAAGTGGCATGCCTCTATAGACTCGTATTTTGATTCTCTAAAAATCTGCATTCAAAATTTTCATTTTAACGTTGATCAAATTTTTGACCTATTTTCATGTTGATAATTCCACATAAAAATGTGGCCAACAATTGGTCATGTGAAGTCCATAACTTTTCCAAATTTAATCCGATTCCAAATTGGCATACCTCTAAAGACTCGTATTTTGATTCTCTAAAAATCTGCATTCAAAATTTTCCATTTGACGGTGATCAAATTTTTGACCTATTTTCATGTTGATAATTCCAAGTTTCCGATGTCTTGTAAAAATGTGGCCCTCTATTGGTCATGTGGAGTCCATAACTTTTCCAAATATAATCCGATTCCAAATTGGCATACCTCTAAAGACTCGTATTTTGATTCTCTAAAAATCTGCATTCAAAATTTTCATTTTAACGTTGATCAAATTTTTGACCTATTTTCATGTTGATAATTCCAAGTTTCCGATGTCTTGTAAAAATGTGGCCCTCTATTGGTCATGTGGAGTCCATAACTTTTCCAAATATAATCCGATTCCAAATTGGCATACCTCTAAAGACTCGTATTTTGATTCTCTAAAAATCTGCATTCAAAATTTTTATTTTAACGTTGATCAAATTTTTGACCTATTTTCATGTTGATAATTCCAAGTTTCCGATGTCTTGTAAAAATGTGGCCCACTATTGGTCATGTGGAGTCCATATCTTTTCCAAATTTAATCCGATTCCAAAGTGGCATGCCTCTAAAGACTCGTATTTTGATTCTCTAAAAATCTGCATTCCAAATTTTCATTTTAACGTTGATCAAATTTTTGACCTATTTTCATGTTGATAATTCCAAGTTTTAGATGTCTTGTAAAAATGTGGCCCACTATTGGTGATGTGGAGTCCATAACTTTTCCAAATATAATCCGATTCCAAATTGGCATACCTCTAAAGACTCGTATTTTGATTCTCTAAAAATCTGCATTCAAAGTTTTCCATTTGACGTTGATCAAATTTTTGACCCATTTTCATGTTGATAATTCCAAAATTCCAATGTCTTGTAAAAATGTGCCCACAATTGGTCATGTGGAGTCCATAACTTTTCCAAATTTAATCCGATTCCAAATTGGCATACCTCTAAAGACTCGTATTTTGATTCTCTAAAAATCTGCATTTTAAATTTTCCAATTGACGTTGATCAAATTTTTGACCCATTTTCATGTTGATAATTCCAAGTTTCCGATGTCTTGTAAAAATGTGGCCCACTATTGGTCATGTGGAGTCCATAACTTTTCCAAATATAATCCGATTCCAAAGTAGCATGCCTCTATAGACTCGTATTTTGATTCTCTAAAAATCTGTTATCAACATTTTTAATTTATCGTTGATCATTTTTTTGACCCAATTTCATGTAAATTACTCTTACAGAATTTCAGTCAAAAGCTTGCAGCCCATTTAATCTTCTGTCTGTTGCAGGTAGTATGCTGAGCCCTTTCTTGTTATTATGTAGAATCGAAAGTTTTATTTTTTAAAACCTAGTTATAAATTTACATTTCAAATCACTTCTAGCTAATTAAATATGTTCGGCATATATTGTGTATGGCCATAAATCACGTTTAAAAATGAAACTCCGACACCATATATAAAAAAATCATTTAATCGTAAATTATATAATATAAATTACAGCGTGGTTCCGCTTACATAATTGGCCTAACATTAAATTAGGGACTAAGACAATCGGGTTTTGTCCAAAAGGTTCTTAAACAATAAAAGGGAAGACTGCCAAGGATGGTTCAAAAAATACGGTATACAATTTAAAATACACGCAATATATATATATATCCAATATGAGCTAATTTTTGAGGAATATTCAACGAACATGATGGTCCAAAGTATTGCTTTAATTAGGGTCCTTCATCATTCTGTTTATACTCGTGCCTAGTAATTGCCATACAAAAATAAAGAACTACAGCGCTCTATCCACACGCAATACAGAATACAGTTTACGTATATATAATAAAAATCTGCTGTCATCTGCGTATCACAAGACTTGCATCCACTACAAATTTACACTATGTTTTTCACTTAAATAATCTGAGGCTTGCCCTGAGCCGCTATGTCTTTTTCGTTTGATCCACACGGGGATCGTGAAGAAGTGCTAGACAATATCCCCGGAGGCCCCGTAGTTCATGCCATTATTTCGGATGTTGTTGTGATGCTCCAGATGATCCTGCTCCATCTGCTCCTTGAGCATCTCCAGTTCTCTGATCCCCGAAATCGTGACCTCGTACTTGTGCGACACTAGGGAGCGGTAGAAGTGATACGCGAAGGCCATGAAGATGATCATCACCGGGATGAGGACCACGCAGGCCGACCAAGCCGCCGGCGGACTCAGGTCGTAGAACTTTACCCAGCACAGGATGGCGATCTCCAGAAGGAAGAGTATCAGTCCCAGCAGCGTGGAGAAGGCCCACGCCGTCTCAATGTACCAGTGCAGCCGCTCGTGCGGCGACTCGTGGACCAGGGAAATACTGTGAAGGTTACACACCGTCTCGATGTTCGGCAGGATGCAGGTGCTGATCATCAGAGCCAGCATGTGCACCGCCACCAGGAGGGTGGTGCAGATGGCAAACGCTATCAGCATGCCCGGTGGCACCTTTGTGTCGTGATCCAGCTGCACCTCCACCATCGCCACCTTTTGGGGAACGGGAAAAAATCAGTCATTAATGATTTTTATTAATTTAGGGAAGTATCGAAACGATGCCCCGGCACTGCCTCTATTATTATTAGCCATTTCTCGTGAGAAAATTTGGCAACCAAGCAAGATTGCTCTTATATTATATGGGCTGAATGGACTAATTTATCTGATCCACCCCAATACCCCGGCCTCCCTTCTTTCTAAATTTTAGGTGTACATGTGGAATGCATAACACGTTGACGAACCACAAAACAGACTAATAAATACCTCTTCACTTAATTAATCAAACTTAAAACACAATTCAAAATGTGCATTCGTACTACTAATAATAAATAATAATACTAATAATAATAAAATCGGCAAAAGGTGATGAAGAGGAATATTATAAATATTCCTTCTACCAAGAAATTACAATTACCATTTTAAAAATGATTTACTTTTTTTATAACTAAATCTTTTACCTTATCGTTTGTAACAATATTCTATATGCCGAGTGTAAAATTGTTATACAATATGTGGGAACACCTTTATAATGCTGGGAATCCAGCGAAATAATCAGCATGCATGCAAGTTTTCCCTTCGCTACTTCCCCCTATATAGTTTGTTGTGTTTTTTGGTTGATTAAATAGTCTAAGCTACCCCAAATTAATAAGTAAAAAACACATGTGTAGCAGCTAAAAGACTTGTTTGACCAAGACAAAGATAGTGGGAATAAAAACAAAACTATTTTGTTGGCCCTCAATTTGTCGCTGCCAGCATGGGAATTAATTATGTTGGTAAGGCATAGACAAAAGTACAGATAGCTAATTTATATATATTTATTAAGTATATGTATAAATTCCCTGTTTTGATTGAAATTACTTGAATGTGACACCGCGAGTAAGGGAAGCATTCAAACGGAACCAATAACAGATTGCATTTCGCTGCACGATTTGCCATGTGGAACCTTTTATTAAAACTAGAATACTCATAGTTTTGGGGGTAGTGTATTTTGCGTTCGTGTAGCTTATTTTATTGCTGATCAACACAAATGCTATAACAAAATAAAAAGATTATGAGTTTTCTGCCAGATCTTCTGACCCTGCACATTAAGTTGGGTTAATGTTTTACAGAATAATGCACACCCACGGTCGAATCTCTAGTGCTAAAACTGTTGCCATAAATAATTAAATTGTAGTCTACGATAGAGTAATAGCTAATGACTAATTTTCAACATTTTTTATAGGCTCATTTAATGATATTGTAATGGCTCTTCCTGACGTTTGGAATTAAAAATACATTTGTATTTACCAGATTGTTGAGAAAAATATAGAAATCTGTCTAATCTGATTGGATTTTTTTGTTACATATACTGACTGCTCTAGGCATACAGGTTTTTTTTTAGTATTTCCTCTTAATATTGCCTTATAAACTTAAAAATATTATAAAACTTACTTGATTACTAGAACAACTTTATGTTAGCAAGCAAGGTAAATATATTTCCTTAATCCGGTGAACAAAACTCCTTACTGATTAGAAATGGAATTAATATTTAAATTGCCTTTCTAAACCATGCATAATGTAAAGATTATGATCAACGATTTATTAATTATAATTTGTTATAATTGCGACCTATTCGTGCTTTTCAGTTGGGATAATCTAACCTTATATAGACTGTGGTATATATCGTTTCAGTGCTAAGATTTTACCCTCAATTGTAGAAATGGAAACGGAGTACTCACCATGGCGAATCCGGAGAGCAGGGCGGACGTCTTGCTGGAGGCCTTGAGCTTGGCGCGACTCAGCTGCAGCTTCCGCCAGGATAAGTACGTGGGCGAGTGGAGGTCCTCGCCAGACTGCGACATGCTGCTGCTGCCGGTGCGGTGGTGTCCGCGCGGCTGAAAGCGGTAGGATTGGTTCTGTTGGTAGGTGCGCAACTGAAAGGGCGGCGGCTGGGCCGCGAATGGGGACGATGAGGCAATGGAGGCTAGTGGTGCGAGTGGTGGTAGTGGTGCTAGTGGCGCTAGTGGTGCTACTGCTGAAGCTGCTGCCGCCGAAGCTGCTACCGCTGAAGCCGCGAATGCTGGCGAGCCGTCTCGCTGCGCAGTGAAGCGTCTCGCTTGCGGCGAATTCGAATTGAACTGGCTGTGATAGAGATGCCGCGACGACCCCACAAAATTGAGATTGCTCGCTCTGAGATTGCCCAGATTGTGCGCGGCGGGCTGGTGGAGGTGGTGGAGGGTCGGCTGGTGCTGGCTCTGGTTCTGGTGCTGGTTCTGGGACTGGGGCTGTTGGTGGATGTGACTGAGGTTCGGATTCTGGCGCATATAGTCGCCGTAGTCGCCGGTTGCCGCTGCCGCTGTGGCTGTAGCCGCCGCCGTATAGGCATCCACACTGGCCGCCAATCTGGCAGTGGCATGCAGAGCGCTCGCCAAGGCCGAAGGTTGCTGCCGAATCCCCAAGCGGTTCGGCTGCGGATGCACCTGGTAGCGCCTCGATGTCGGCAGCACATCCAGGGTCTCACTGCTCGCCGTTCGCTCGGTGGACGACTCGAAGGAGCCCTGCTGGTGGCTCAACATCAGGCTGCTCTGGCTCAGATTGGCCCGGGCATATCGCAGATTGCTAGCCCCTGTTGTGGCCGGCAGCAGGTGCTCCTCCTCGTGATCCTCCGCCGGCGGCTGCGCCGTTTCCTGGTCCGCAGACTTCATTGTCCTCTGTCGACGTGGCGGCTTTAGAGGTATCTGCTCCTCTGGCTCGATTTTCCCCTCTTCAAAAGGTGGCATGGGCTGCTGCCGAACTTTAAACCCCGATTTTTTGCTTGGCGAGATCAGATGTTATCGGATGTGTTTAGGCCAGAATGAGTGAAAAGCGCTCAAATATTAATTAAAGCAGCTAGTTCTCAGCTGTATAAGTTTAGTAAATAATATTATACTGTCCAAAAAATATCAAAATTTAGCCAATAATTCAGATCTATAAAATATAAAGCTCGCACTTAGCTATAAAGGTGCGAATACAATATTGTCTTATCTTGTTTTTTAAAAGATCACTGTTTGGTATGTATTTTAGTAGGTGACGAAGACAACAAATTCAGCTTTAATAATGTTAAATATTGTTTTTGTCTCACCAGATTCAAACACTTTTCTCTATACGATCTGATAGGTTTTTTAAACAGTCTAAAAAATACAGTTTCTTAAATTTCAGTTCTCAGCTGTAAGATCAAAATTCCACTTCTTTATGGGCTCTCAAACACCTTTCAACTTTTTTGTGCTCTCCAAGTTGCCCGGGCAGATCGGCTGATATTCAATGTCTGGCGTATATTAATAAATAAAATATTCCATTAGGTCATAAAGGTCCCATGTTGGTTATCGACAACGCCCTGCCTCAATTATGAGGCGCTTTCTTAGAATGTTTCAATTTGCTGTTCTCTGCAGTTGATTTTCAGTAGTTATATTATTCATTTCTTAACTGTTTGGACCTCAGTTATATGGATTTATTGCTTTTCGTGAACTTCTCTCTGTTCTGGGGTCTCGGAAATTTGTATTTTATTAAGAGCCTCTTTCAGCGATTGGATCTATGGAATATTAATGTTATTACTTTTGATCTCGGCGACTTTTGTTGGGTCCCAGAATTCTAAATTTAAATTATAAACTGAACTCAAGGTTTAGTATTACAGTTGGATTTTCCTGGGGACTATTTTCTACAATCTCCGCTCAGTGGGTGATTCACAAAACATATATTAAAAAATTTTTGTTATATTTTATAAGTTTCCGGATGCCAGTAAACTCGATTCACTGTGCTTGGATTTCGAGTAATCTCTGTTCTAGAGTTCGTTTGCCACTTGTCACTGTAATCTCGTTGTTTTCCGCTTTTTTTCGTGGGGCTTATTTCATTAAGTTCCGTTTCACTTGGTTGATTTTGCAATGTTTCCCATTGATGATGCTGAATGATTTTCGCTGGCTGTTATTGTTTTTATTTTTTGCACATGACAATTGATCAACAATTACCCACATAAGCACACACACGCACGCTGAAAATTTCTCGCATCTCTCTTCGCCGCACTCTCTCTCTATATTTTGTGTGCGTTAAAATATTTACTTTTTATTTATAAACACATTTTATGGGCTTTATAAAATGTAAAATACATGTGTCAATAAAACAGTGTTTAGCAGGCACTTGTTGCTGACTATTTTGCCTCTTTTTTGATGTGGCCAAGGCCAAGAGTTGTGCTTTAAAGACTGATAGAAACAGCAGGGAAAAACAGCAAAAAATCGCGGATGCTAGCGACACTTCCGCAAAAGAAAAAAGTGGCACGCAAGAAACCGAATCGAAAAGTAATTCTTGCCCTTCCGCCACAAATTTAATTCAGGTGCGCGGTGCACATTTAATTCGATTTCATTTCTGCGTCCGCGTTTCGCTTTTCGCGCTTCTTGTTCCTTCGGCGATGGCAAGTTAACAACTAACTGAACTGATACGGCTCTGCCAGCAGAGCGCCAAACTGAGCGGTAAGCACCGGCGGTTCGGCGGCGGCACAGCGGTAGCTGAGCGGCAGCGACGACGTATATTCAAATTCGACAATCAATTCGAACGGTGCGGCCTGCGATGACACAAAAAACAACAACAGCTACAATAATGGCAATCGAACTATGACAGTACAACCTCTCCAAAGCGACCCGCATAGCCAAATTCGAATTTAAAAAACTATGGATTGCAGAGAAATGGGAAAATTGTATATTATTAGGTTAGATACCTTGGGTAAACAAAACTATTACCGTAACTAATATAGAACAAACAGAAATTGGGAATTTGATTAGAACAAATTTAAAAGATTAACAACAAAACAAAAAAAAACCACTGGTTTTTTATTCATCGGCAATAAACATATTAATTTCTATTCGATTAAGCTTTTTATCCTATATACAATATGAAAACTAAAATGATTGGATAATAATAAATAGTAAAATATAAAATAAATACATTTTTCTACGCATTACAAGATACAATCATGTTTATAAAGTGTATTAGTCTAATAGTCAACTTTATATACAGTTTAGTAATAAATTCAACTAGCAAAAGTTCGTTACAAGGAAGTTGCACTGTACATAGGCCATTTGAATGAAAGCGTTTAAAGAGAGAGTGGGTGAGAAATAGAAACGGAAAGAGAACTAGCTACCAAACCAGACAGGTGAAGAATCGAAAGAGGCGAGACCAAAACTACAGGAAAACAAACAGTAACAGGGGTGGCGAAAGGGGGGTGGGCAGGGTGAGAGGGGGCGGTGTCTGCTGCTGCTTTTGGCAATCGATCAGCGATCATCGACTGATGAATGGGGAAGACAAATCGAGTGATTAAACACACGCACATACGACACACATTGGCACTGCGAAGGCCCTGAACTTAAACTAGTGATTCAAAATTCAATCAGCAGGTCGAAAACCACTTGAACCATCAGGGACGTGGTACACAGCATCTTTCAAAACCATATTTTAGGTCAATATGCTCTGGTAAAATAATGAGAAGGTTGAAATTAAGGTGTTTGACACTAGCATTTGTCACTGCCGTCATTTCTTATTTGGGAATCTCAAAGTTTTCAACGACTCATTTTTTAACTGTTGCCATTCTTTAGTAAATATTCCAAAACTGAACTTTCTGTTTCCCTTTTAATTGGATCATCATATCTTGTTTACTCTTTAATAAGAAGGAAACATAAAAAATGTGATAAAAACATGAATAATATAAGAACGTATAGCATTCAGACAAATAATGGGGTTTCTTCTTAAAAGAATTCGATTCAACTACTTTTTCATTAGTTACCTTTACAACCACACGAATCAAGCCATCAAAAACAAGGTTAGCATAGGGATTATAATAATCAAAGCTTGTCTAGATTTTGTTTGCGAGCGTGCCGAATTTAATACCCTCTCAATGAACTTGCGTTTATGATAGATACTGGTAAACACCATGAAGCCCTCATCGTTGCACATGTGAATCCGTCGCGCCACGCCGTAAAGAAAGTTACCGCAAAAGAGCGGACTGCCCATGTCCAACTGGCACATGTTGCCCCTGCCCGTAAAACTTCCCATGCAGAGGCAGCTCTGGCAGTCCGCCTTGCAAGTAAACATCGGAGACTCCTGCGATCTCAATTGGAGGAGCTCGTTGGAGTAGGGTCCGTTCTGGAGGCAGGACAAACGATTATCTCGAGAACAGCCACAGACCACTTCGATTTGCTTCAGCCAACACTCACAAAGTACATCCTGCCCCATCCGAGGGTGCTGCAAAGCCATGTTGTGTTCATCTTCTGCTTTGGCAGCTTAATGGCGAATTTTTGGCCAGAAATGGGACGATCCAGCTTCAGCAGAGCCAATTTAGAGCACTCTCCATCGAGGTCCTCGTCCAGAACCACCTTATCCACGCCAAACATATTTTTACTCGTCGGCTTTGTCAACCGCGTGCGGGTGAAGACGACCACTCGCATGTTCTTTCGGGTGCTGGCCTGGTTTGGAGTACTCTCCGGCAGGGTGCTCACACAGCAGCCGGAGGTCAGGACCCATCGGGCGGTCAGGATGGAGCCGGCGCAGAAGTGGTTGTCGCCCCAGCCGCGAATTTGCTTACGCGTCCGTATGGACACCACATTGTGGTGATATTTTCCAGTTATGTAAATGTTCCTTTCCTCCGCCTGTCCAAAAGTCAAGGTAAGGAGCAGCAGGAGGAGGCACTGCATCACCAGAACGCCAGAGTAGGAAATGTCAAGGTATAATGTGTATCGATTTTTTCCCACCTTCAAACTAAGCTAAGATATCAATAGTGACTAGGTTTCTATCCATTTTACTAGCCATTTTCAACACAAGTCGAGTAAAGCTTTTTTAAACCTCAGAACAATAATGTGGTTGGATTTTTAAGATGCCTGTCATTTCAATATGTTCTTTCAATAAGTATTAACAAGCTAAGCAGGTTCTCAAAAATTATTACTAACAAAAATCGAACAATATAAAAATTAATTAAGAGCAGGTGACTGTATTTTTAACTTTCTAAATTAGATTTATTTTTGCGTTAAAGTTTTCTACTCTACAAATTACAAAATATATGCTAAAGCCTATTAAGCAAATAAACAGAATGTTTGAACAGACTTTTGTTAAAGTTTGCTTTACTTTTTATAGAAAACATATGGCAAATGTAGAAAGTTATGAAAACAAGATACTAATAAAATACGGGAAAACGTATACTCATATGTATTTTTTTATTTTGATGTTAAATTCAATTATTTTTGTGATAATTTCCAGATAATTTCAGTTGATCGTAGGGAATCCGAACAAGTCGAATCAACTGTGCTGATCGACAACGAGAGGGCCTCCTTTTTTGGGCTTACACAAATACAAATCTGGTTAATGTCAACAATAACTTGAGCTGTCAAACACAACCAGTTCGCTTGGGCTTTCCACCCGCCTGACTTCCTCCAGAGTTCCAGAATAAACAAAATGTAACCACTTAAAAAATGTGAATATAAATAAGGCCCCCGATATTACAGAACGAAAACGGAAGGTGCCAGCTGGCGGTTGGTATTTAATTTTCCCCCCGAATCGCTGACAAAATTCTTATGCAAACACACACCTGGATTTCAGAGACGCCGACCAATTTCTTTGGCACTCGTGGGTGGGAGTGTGCTTTTATTATCGCCGGTAAAAAAAAGAGCAAATAAAGCACAACCGATAAGCGAACTGCACAACTCTTGGAGCCAATTTGACGCCGGGGCTCTACGACATTTCCATGACCATTTACAATTTCATTGTCAGTGCTTGTTCGCCAAAAACATTGTTCAATAATTCAACAGGTTCTCCAGGTAACTCAGTCATATACCTGTGATTTGTATGTGCGTAGTGCGATTTTTCGAATGTCTGTGCGATCTTGTTCGACTTGAAACGTAGGCCTTGTTTGTTTGTCAGATTTCGTGGCTCGATCGAACGGGCGCATTCAGCAGGAGATTACGAAATTAGATATGAAATTTGCGATTTATGATGGGACTACAATGGCTAGGAATTAGATTTATTTACTACCGTTTTGGGAAAAAAACAAATGGTAAAGGACTGGTGGAATGTTTAAATCATTACATATTCACAAACTCAAAATAGCTTTTAAAAATGTGTTAAATAAAATGAGTTTAAAAAAGTTAACACTTGACTGACAGCAAAAATAACTTTTCAGTTTTTATCTTTAAAAAAATGTGTTCTTACTTTAGCAAATTAGATAATTGCCAAGCTAACTGAATAAATAACATTTCGCACTAGGGTAGCAAATGTCACTAGAGTTGTACAACAAATACGTTTATGTTTGCAGTTCATATCGTTTTTAGACGCCTAAATATAGCGTCAGCTAAATTATGTAGAATGTACAAATTGAATCTGGCAGCCCACTCAACAAATGTCATTGTTCTTTCCTCGCTTTATTTTGATTTAATTTTGATTGGGAAATTCACTAATTGTAATCAAATAAAAGAAAATATAGCAACATAAACAAATTTCTATTAATAATATATGCTAGTTTAAGGATTTTGACTGTAAGAATTTGTGGGGTTTTGTTTAAATTAAAAACTATATAATATGTACAAGAACTTATTTTTCAAAGTGAAATCTTGTGATCGACCACCAAGTCACAGCTTAAATCTATTACTGATGCTGAATGCGCCCATTTCCAACGCGTGAGAGGGAGAGTGGGAACGAGAGAGAGTTGAGAGAGAGTAGCTTCCATAGCATCATGGGTCGGGAGAGAGAGGGGAAGATCGAGAAGACAGAGATCTTGGATTGATTTGTTATTGACTTACCTTTGCCTGGTTCTGTGACGAGTGAGGGGGCGGGGGCGGCGGGAACTGCAGCAGCGAATTGCTGATGCTGGAACGCTGAAATCCGGCGCTGTTGTTGCTGTTACTGCCGCTTCCAGTGGGACTGTTGTTGTGGTGCGGATGTGGGTGCGGATGTGGCTGCAACGGGAACTGTTGCTGGAACTGGTGACCGGTGGCCACGGAAGTTGCCGCTGCAACGGCGGCGGCAACGACGTGATGGAAGTGGTGCTGCTGGTGGTTTCCAGTGGTTGTTATCACTGCTGGACTCCTCGCTGTCCTTGGAACCGACGATGCGATCGGTGATTTCGAGGGCGTCTCTAGGCCGCCAGTATTGGCCGTGGTCCACACAGACATTTTGGCCAAGTTGCGATTTCGCCAGCGAATTTAAGTACGGCTGCCATTGTGCACGAAAATATAAGCAAATAAAAGAACAACGGTTAACTTAGCAGCGCACAGGTGCAAATTAAGTACGATCGGCGAGGTATGGAAGGAAACTAAACAGAAAAACAAATTAATTCAACAGCATTTTGTTGCTTTACTTTTGCCCAGGCGATAAAATTGCCTAACGCGTGACGCCAAACTATCGATCTATCGATTGGTCTCATTGGTGGCAACGCTGCCGTCAGCTGTCTCACCGCTTGCTGCTTGCTTATGTTAAATAGGCGCGTAATTTCAAAAAGTTTTTAGTTTTTAAAGCCCTGTACGTATTTCTATTTTATTCTAGTGATTGCCAGGTTAGTTTTTGGCGCTAAAAACCGTATTATCTTCCAAAGTATGGCCACTATCAAAAAATATTTCAAACAAAAGTTGTTGCGTAAAGTTGACGCTTTGCAATACAGAAATAGAAAACATCGGATTTAACGGTCATTTTAAAACGAACACTCAAATAATTGTGCCGTGCTGCCGATTAACTATTTGCCAAAAAGTCGTGGCAAGCTAATTAATCAAACCCCCACCTAAAGCAGCAGAATAAATCAAATTGTTAGCTGTGCTTGACACACATTTTAATTTGCCGATTGCTACCTTTTGGTCTTTTTTCCTATCTTGCGCTCTCTTTCTTTCTCTTACTGATTTGGTTTGCTAATTTCTTTTCGCATTCTTCCGGCGTGGGTGCAACTTATTTAATGCACATTGCATCTGTCGCTCTTTTTTCTTTGTTGTATTTGTCTGCCTTGAACTTGCAAATTGCCAGTGGATGCAAAGAGTGCAAAATGACTCTCGCATAACCAATCTATTCGCCCTGTCTCTTTCTGTTTGCTAATATTCACACCCACACTTTCGCAAGTGTTTGGCAATGGCTTTCTTTGCTTTTCTTTCTTCTTTCCTTCCTTCTTTGCTCTTGCTTTGCTTTTTCTTTGCTTTGTTTGGGAATTAATTTACATCCCATCGATAGATAAAGCGAGTCATGTGCCAACGAACAGAACCCTAGAACCATTACCGTTATCTATTGGATATGCCCAAAGCGCGAGCACTCACGTATTTGCATAGCAACAGTCGTGATCAAATTAATATGATCCAGAACTCCAATAGATTTTTTTGGATTTATTTGCTAAAAGACTTTCATAATTGAATATTAACGATTTTTATTTAACGCTACATCCCACTAAAAACTCTGTCAAATATTTGTAATTTTGGCTCCTACATTCTTGACTGCAAGGTACATTCTTGGCTCAAGGTATTCTTGACTGCGAGTATCAGCAACTAGATATTTAAATGCAATTCAAACAATTCAAGTGATTTCCAATCCGAAAGATACAGCTTGATGATTTCCCATATATGCAAGTTTTGTATGACAAATACTACAAAAATATTATTTATACTCGCAACTAAATCTTTAAATGCAATTCAAGCAAGTGATTTGCAATCCTAAAGATACAGTTTGATAGTTTATTTTCTGATATATGCAAGTTTTGTTGCCAAGTACTACAAAAATATTAGTTTGTGTATTTTTTAAAATCTCGATTTTACAACTTTTTGTTTAAGGCATCAATTATTTTTTACATTTTTTTAAATTTGTTTCAATGTTTAAATGAGTAATGAGTTGGGATGAAGAGCCTTAAATTTGTGGCATTTCAGTGTCGTAGCTTTGAATTCTAATAACACGCTTTTCAATATATAGAACTTCGATCTATAATTCCACCCATTGCTGTAAGACGGACGTATTAGAATTTCCTTGTGGGCCGTGCGTCGCCTTCAAGGTGTTACAAATGTGCGCAAATGCCATTATCGGTTATCAGGCGGCTATACAATATTTGTTTGGCAACCTAAATAAACGGGTCAGGGGGGTTAGGGCCCAATAAGTATTATATTTTTGCATGCCCTACTCCCGTGGCTGGCACTACTTGGACTTGGATCGTGAATGTAAACAATTGCGGGCAATTGAAATCAATAAGCGATCCGAGTGCCGCAGACTTTGTAATCCCTTCTGGTTCTTTTTTCAATTCCCAGCTCAACTCGATATGTTTTTAATTGTATATTTCGCTTGGGACAGGCGACCGAAGATGCCTAGTCATTGGCTATTAATAAAACTTCTCTCAGAAATCGACTTTCGATAAGAAAAAAAAAATAACAAACAATGCAAACACCATGAATGTGTGTCTGTGGGTTTATGTAAATATGTACTTATATCGCAAATGAATTTGTTCAACTACATATGTACATAAACAATCAGACCATTTGACAGTGACGCAAATTTCTAGTTTTGGATTCAAGTTGGAGCAACACTGAATTCTTGGAAGCGAACTCAAACACTTGAAACTCTCGAAATCTTGGAGAGCAATCCATTATTTAGCTTGTCGTAAAAGGTTCACGATTTACACCTAATGTTTGAAACTTTGATGTTTTAATGTATGCTAATTATATAACACTTAAAAGCTCTTTTGTAATGAAAGACTATCAGTAACGTTCGACCAGTAACAAAGTCCGTTTAACTGAGTAATGCGTTTTGCATTTGCGATATGTCTTGAAGTTAAGGATGATTTTGGGAAGTTTCAAAATTTGCTAAAGCAAAAGCTTTAAATGTTTAAATTAGTTATTGGTATGCTTTGTAAATAAACATCTGTTGAGCAACTGATTTCGACTGACACATAACCTCCGCATTTTTTATGCAAATTTCAGAGAGAACCACCACATTTACGATCCATAAATAACCCACAAACTTAAAGAATGCCGAATTAACATAACATATCATCTTTAATTCATACTTAAAAAGAGTTTACAATAGTTGACAAAAATAATAATAAACGAACTGGTACAATAATACGGAAACACAGCTAAGTACGCGGCACTTTTAAGGACTAATGGACAAGACGAGACGATCACAGGGGTCACAGGTCACAACCCCGCTTGGCAACAACTAACGCTACGCTAATGTCCTCTATTTGGCTGACTAATTTATGGAGTATATTGGCCTCATTGTATCGTGGGCTTGATGGAACCCATCGAGTTCTTGCGATGGTGGTTCACCTCGAACCGCTTCATGATGCTGGCCACAATGGACGAGGGCGGCATGTCGGGATTTCCGGTCAGACCCCGGTAGCCCAGAACACTCGAGTCGGCCAGCGATCGGGCCAAAGTCAGTCTTTGCACAAAGGCATCGGTATCGATTCCAGGTACTTGCGATGGCTTCAGGAACCTCCTGGGAATGCGGGACAGCATGTCCTCGGAGCTGAGCGGTCCGAATCCCAGGTTGATGAGTATGGCCTCGGGATCGGGCTTGCGGGCCTCCAGCAGACTATCCACACTGGAGTAGCGACTCGAGTCGGACTGCACCGAAACGGAGCTGTCTCTGAGGAGCAGACTACTGAAGCGCTGCTGCCTCTGCGCCTGCGGACTCAACTCGGGCGCCGTGCTGGAGGACTCGAAGGACTCTTCGTGGCGCAGGCAGCGCGTACTGCTGGAGGATATGTGACGCAGGGGCAAGGCAGCCAGGGGCCGCATGTTCTCCACATCCGGATCGGCATTCTCCTCCAGATCGGCGGCGTATTCCATGTCATCCGTGTCCACGGTGGACTGCTGCCGCTGGAGTTTTCGACGCCTTCGCAGCGGTTTGTTGGGCGGAAAGTGGGCGCTGGGCAGGTGATCACTGCTCCCCGCCAGCTGTTCGACCTTGGCCCCCCCTCCTGTCCGACCCTCGAAATTACTACAGCTGTGCGAACGCTCCATCATATGTATTTGTCTAGTTATGTATTTCTATCTAGTATCTTCAGTGACTTTTCTGTGGTCACGGCTGCTCGGGTTACAAGCCAAGTCGACTCGTGCGATCTCGATCCAAGCTCAGCTTTTGCACATATTTGGTAGTGGCCAGAATCAGGGCCTTTTAATTCGAATGCGTGTGTGTGTTCAATAACAAAAGCGAAAACAATTTGTGTTATTTGTTATTTGGTTAATTTGTTGTTGTTTTTTTTGTTAACAAACGCTTTTTGTGGAAACGTGTTTTTCTATATTCCGCGCGTTTCTGTTAATTTGTCGCTCGTATTTTCGCCGTATTTGTGTGTTTGCCTGTTTTTTGTTTATTTATTTCGCTCGGCGCGGAGATGCGGAGTGTTAATCAGCCGGAGAGCTGGAGCTTCTGACCCCGGATTTGGAACGATCGAGTGTTTTCACGATCGCTTGACATTGATGTTGGTTGCGGGAAGTGTCACTGTCTTCTGGCCCAGCTTTGTTTGCTTGACTCCAATATTTATTAACGTCTGAGTACACAGATGTGGTAAATTACAGAGTTCGGGTATTGGAGTTGGAGTTCAAGTTGAGAAATTGTGTTATTTTAAATATTGTTTCGGCTTGGGGCTTTCTCTTTCCGCTTTGCTGGGCGACCGCTTCGCAGCGAGTGATCTTCAAAACTGAAACTGAAATCACAAGCCCCAAACGAAACGCCCCAAGCACGATCGGAGCTTTTACGCCGGAGAGAAAGAGAAAGAGCGAAAAAGCGAGAGAGATGGGGAGAAATCGGGGGACCTGGGGAAGGGGGGGCTGAGAAAATCGGAGAGTGAAAGAGAGGCAATATAGCGATCGGTCTGAGCTGGAATTACTTTGCGCAACGCCAATCCATTAAGAAATTTTGATTCTCCACTCCACCCATAATTCCCCATTTCCCCACGCAATCGTCTGGGGAAAAACCTTCGTGCGCTTTCGTATCGCTTCGATAAAAACCATATAATATAAATAAAAATATAATACTTTAGTATTATTGGCACGTTCTGGGGCTCTGGGAGTGATTTTATTCCGCTTATTGTGCCTTTCGTTCGCATTGCCCTTATTTGCTTAATGGAATACTTTTTACGGCTTAAACCGTCCATCGTTAAACAATTTGGGCATCGTAAAGACCTCTTTATCTAATTGTTGCAGGAAGATTTCGGGCTAATTGTAAATGTGGATCAGACTTTACGATCGCGTAAGCATTGCAGGGCTTTTGATCTTCGCCCTGTTTGTTTAAATTGGTGCCACTCTCGTTGAGTTTCACATGCAGATGCGGAAGAGTCGCGCTAACGGAAAACACAAACAGGGGAAATTGTTTAAACCAGTTAATAAGTGGCGCGGGAAAAGCTTGCCAATCGAAAGCTTTTGGCCAAAACAGCTGAGGCTGCGGGTTAGCTTTAACCGATTCACTGCGAATCGATCTCTGCCTGGAGGTGTGCATTTCTTTTTAGCACTGCGAGAATCTAAAATAAGATTTCAGCTTGAAATGTCAGCCTTAAAATAAGAAATTATTTTTAGAATCAGATATTTTTGTGTTTATCTTTGGAATTCCCAACTTATTCCCATGCTAAGTTTTGTCAATCAAAACAAAATCGATATGAAATAAACCGGTCTTGCGCGAAAATCTAAAAGTGTAATACGATTTGAAATAAAAGAAAAACGTTTTGCCTAAGATATATGTTTTATAATAAAGAAACACTATTTCATTTAAGGAATCAGAAGTAATCATACTCATGTCAAGAAAGTTATCCTTTTGTTAAATATTTCACTGATAATATAATATTTAACAATTTAGACTGTTTTAATCCTAATTATAATGCTTAAAATCTTATTAATATGATATAATTTATTTTTTAAATAATCACCACGTTCAGAGTTTATTTGTTTGTTTTCTGAGAAGATCTTTTCATTTTACACAATAAATTTTTGTTGAATTTTAAATAAGGACTTATCTTCTTTACAAAAGCTGGTAAACATAAAGTGGAATTTTCTCAGTGCAACATGCTCCCTTTTCCAACCTCAGCTTCAGTCGATTGTAATTCATACTTGACACGTTCTGGCCACTGACTTACTGAGCAGCGTAATTGGAACTCGAGAACAGTGAACAGTGGTAGCAACCTCAAGCCCCCGGCCAAAGGTTCTGTCAACAGATCTGCCAGACTGACGAAGGTCTAAGTGTATCGGCAAGAGTACTCGTACTCAGAGCATGCATACATTGTGTGCCCGGGGCAAATTTACACAATTCTTCAAAAATTGACTTGGGCTATCAAGGCCAGACGAAATGGAAGAGCCATAAATCTATGGGCCAGCGAGTCATAGAACGAATATTTTAATGAACCCAAAGTAAATTTGTTAGATTCAATCAAAGGTGAGCCGGGGGGTGTCATAATCACGATGTGCAATTAACTCCCCAACGATGCTTGTCAGCAATCATCAATTGAGTAACTGGGATCTAATGAATGTTCCAATATGATCGGACGATCGGAGTGGGAGGTTTCGGATTGAAGTTCGAATCCGATTAGGAAACGGGAAATACCAACGCCGTCATTGTTCTTGATTAACACGATCAGCATGATGTGGCAGATAATTTGGATAAGAGAAAGGTAGAGTTTTTGGACACAGATCCTGGGATTAATAACTAATTTGACTTAATTGGAAGGCAACAATAAATTACTTAATTTTCCCAGGAAATCTAGATTTGTGAGTTGTGCAAGCGTTTTGAAACACGAATGGTAAGCGAACCCGATTCGAATAACAGTAATTACAATGACACAATGATGGCGTGCCTAGGGTTAAACTGTGATTCAACAGGGCATACACTGAGAGAAACTGAGAGAAATTGGATAACAAATAGCAGTTCTGTTTAAGGACATATACTTTATAAATAGATGAGCTTTATCGTTACAACTCCAAACTTAATGACGTAAAACACAGCTTGGGAATTATAAAATTCTAAAAACCATGTAGAAAACATGTAGAGTCCTTAACCGAATTCGAATTAATAAGGTCCCTAATTATAATTAATAATCATTATAATTTAAAGATGTACCCGTTTTTGTCTGGTGTAGTGACCCTGATCTATTAGAATCCAAACCGTTAGGTCCGAATCTGTCAATGGCTCGCGCCCCTTTTCAATTGATAGTAATTGGCAACGAATTAAAGTTATTCGTCGGTTGTAATGTATACAAGCGAAAGTGTAAATTGCAATTGAAATTTCAGCATTGTCAAGTAGTTTGAGTGCAACTTGGAATTGCAAATGACCGACAGGAGAAGGGAAGTTCGAAATGGGAATGGATATGGGAATGGGAATGGGAATCCAGAAATGGGAGCTGCTCACCTGTGTTTCTGCTTGTCGTTTATCACACTATTTTAACTTGGCTGAATTTGAAGGCGTAACGAAACAAGTTAGCGTTGTTTGTTCGTTGTTGTTTCTAGGCCTTTCAGCACGTGTTTGGGTTGGCGACTTTTCCGGCTTCCATCTAATGCACTTTCTATGCCATCACATCATAACATTTACAGTCGAACTTCCATAAATGGAACCAACATCTGTTACAGACAAACAATTTAATTGATAATCATAATAGATTTTTTTCTATTTGTCCTTTTGAAAGCTTTTTAGTTTGAATCTTAATAAAAAATTATATATTTTGTAAACGAAAAATATGAGCACAGTTTAGACTTGAATAACATAACAAATTATATGACTTTAATAACTATATAAATTATATAAATTTGTTATTTATAAACTGATGTATTGGATGTTATATCTTTTTGCAATTATAGAAGAACCAAAAAAAACATAGTCCTATGCAAATTCTGAGCTTTAGCTAATAGAGTACAAAAATTAAGCATCTTATATATATAATATGTATCTGTATAATTATATTATAACCTTGTTAACTAAATTATTATTAAGACTCCTTGACTTTTGAAGTAGCCATGAATTGGATTTCGGTTTTTGTGAGGACCTTTGAGTAATAGACGTTTGACTGTACTTTCTAAAGGGCTTACATTATGTAGCTGGAAACCACAACCGGCCCGAATCGTTTCGAATTTTTAACTGAGGGCGTTGGTGAATGGTTTTTCACTCGACGACTGGTTGTCACTCTTTGGGAGCTGTTTATGGTGCAGGTTTTCTTCGCAGCGCGCCCGTTATCTGCGGATCATCCGCGAGCTATTTTTTTTATCTTGTCACTGATTATAATTATTTTAGTGTAGTCAACTGTCGGCCAAATATTTGCACATTGTTTGTTGTGCAAATGAAATGCTTGAGACCCACGAACAAACAGTTACGATGCTTAGAAATATGCAAAAAAAAGAACACGAAACGCGAAGCGGAAAAAAATAAATACAAGAATATCTCAAAGCACAACAAAAAAAAACTATACAAGAAAACCGCGAAACACAACAGAAAATAAAAATACAAGATAAATACGGCGGCGACGAGCACACACGTTCGCTTTTCTGCGAGCGCTCCGAATGAATGAAAAGTGCGCTGGCATCGCAAAGATAAATAAATACCTATGCCGCTGCCGAAAAGCGACGTCGACGTCGGCAGCGGCGGCGTTGCACATTTTGTTGTTGCGCCAGCTAATTTTGCCGTTAGATTCCGTGGGTTTTCGAAAGGCCAAACAGCCGGTTTTTCAGATAGTTTTGTCAAATGTAAATTATTTCTAACATCTTTACGGATACCTGCATGTCTAACCCGCGATCTACATGTATTTTACATTGTTATCTACAGATACATGTAGAAATACATATTCCTGGGAGCTTTTCATCAGGTGGGTTCAGTTGTTTGTTGGTAATATTTAACTAAATTTGTTTGTTAATGGTAGATCTTCTGTTAACTTGATTTTTATGTTTTCAAAATAAAAAGCTATCAGCATTATATTCCATCTCCTCAATTAATTCAAATTAAAAATTAACTTAAAAAATTCCTTTGGAAAATTTATAACATTTGGAGCTTTGTTTCTTTCGGAGTAATCTATATCGATTGAAAATTAAAATTTTCTTTAAAATCCACCATTAAAATCCTTCTTAATAAAATACGAATGAAACTATAACTTTTGTTAACCCCCTTTACAAAAGACAACAGGCTTACTTTTTGTTCTTTATTTAAATGTTGTGTATTCATTATAATTATATTGTACAATTTGTTTTATTTTGTTTGTTTGTCTCTTTTTATAATTTCTCAAGTTGGACATGCACTTCTCACACGATGGAGTGTCACTTGTTCTCAGTTGCATTTTCACGATTTTTTTGTATTTTTTCGCTTTTCTATTTTTCGCGGAATTGTTTTCCAACAGTAACAAAAAATAAATTATTGGCTTTTAAAATATATGTGTATGTTTTGTGTATACAATATATAGAAAGAGCGTAGAACTTAAGGGTTACGATAACTAAACGTAAAGAATTATAACATGCCGGCAAGATTTTCGATTCATCATCATCATTTCATATCCTCTGATATCTTATGTCTTCTCATTTCATATCATAATATTGTGTAATCTTGAATAGTACAATTATAACTAAGGGCTAAAATTAAAAACAAATTGTGATGTACAACACCGGAAATGTCAAGTGGAAAATGGGTTTCCCCCTCACAAAAAGTTACGCGACAAGAGACATAGAGCATAGAGCATTATTAAGGGGTGAGGGGGCGTAGAAGTTAAGAAGGGATTACAATTAATAAACAATTAATAATAATATTGAGCATTGAACTCGTACTGTTCAAAATTGTAGCAATCGATGCGGAGTATTCGTAGTTCCAAGCAAATCTCGCGGTGAAGTCTCTGCTTGAATTCAAATAACATTGTACACAAAACATTTCGTTAATTAAATTAAACTGTTAATTATGGCAAACAAAGATTGTAAACGCATTCGAGCTATGCGACGTGTTATCCCTATACATATCATATATATCTGTGTCTATATATTCATACGAATGTTGCGATCGTTTATGGGTGCTACCGTTGTTTTTCGATTCTTGATTTAATTGTTTAGTTTTGAATCAACTTTCTCGGCTGATTATTGTTCATTAGATATTTTTTTGTTTTTCAACAAATGCACACAAATGTTTTTAAAGTTGTTTTTTTTTTCGATTTTGTTTTTGCCTTAGCTTGGACTTAATTACGATTTTTATCAACATGTTTTATTGCAGAGTGTTCTTATCTCTAGGTGTATATCTAGATTAAAGGGTAATTACTTTTTACCAATTTCTCATTCGTGAAAGTTTTCATCCTTATGTTTTTGTGTACAGAGATCCTAATTATACATAACAGAGAGGATTGTGTGGGGAAAAAGGGGTAACGAGTTAGTTTCGAAACAGAAATATAGAACAAACGATTTGTGTTTTGTGTGGGTTTTTCAAAAATAATTTTACAATTTATATTCAACAAGTAAAACGCTTAAGCCGAACATACAAAATGATTACAGTACTACGGGCTACGTCTAGATTTCGTGTAGAGCTAATGGTTCCGTTAGATACACCTAATAGATAGATTCTGTAACTCATACTTGCCCTGGACCTAAGGTCATAGCGTAAGCAGGGGAGCGGAAACGAGACTTATTTCCTACTGGACAGACACTGTTGCACTCCGCACACATACCATTTATGGGGGACATATGCGCATAAGTACACGGTACTACGATTACGATTAGGGCTTACAAGTATCTATAGACATAGCGAGAATGTAAAATTTGATCAAAAAATTTTAGATAATCTCATTGTTGCTAAATAACTAAATCGAATTTAAGTGTATATCATTTTACATAAGTATTGTGTTAGCTTTCAACTTCCTTAGCAACTCGGGTGTGTGTGTGTGTGTCAATGCCACGATTTGTTTCGGGTCCCATTACAACTACGATATTAGACTTAGGCTCTATGGAAAATGGCTTATTGAAACAACATCTTGTGTCCGTGTTTTGTGTATTTTGAGTGTGTTGCACTGGGAGCTACCCGTACTGCCAGGGCTACTGGTTGGGCAGCTCCGTGAGCGTCACATCGTACAGGTCGTCCTCGATCTGTTGCACCTCCAGCAGGAAGATGTCCTCGTTGCAGTAGAACGATATCATGTCATCGTCAATTTTCGCAGTAATCCTAGAAAAAGAAATGGGTCAATAATGTTAGTTCTGCGATATACATATAGTGTTAGATCAGTACACCCATGCAAAAAGTTAGCACACGATTCAAGTTAGATTTATTTAATTAGTTTAAACTATAATGATGTGAGGGGAAGGATGCATTCTTGTGTGTATATCTTTCTGTGTGGGTGTATCTGTGTTTTTCTATCTGCTATCTGTTTGAACTTGCTACTTACCCCTTCTTGTTTGTGCGATAAATGTTATTTATGCTCGTTGTTGAGATTTTGTATTTGTTTTCAATCTGCAATTGAGAAACGAGAGAAATATGATGTTTTGTCTGTTTTGTTGTTGTTTCTTTTGCGGCTAAAATATTTCTCTTATAACTCGCTGGTTTTTCTTTGTGTAATTTTGTTCATTTCTGTGGTCAGCCAATCTTTTTATTCGGTTTTCAGTGTTCGTTTTTTTTCTATATCTTTTTTTGTGCTTTAGTGTGCGGGATGTGTACGGAGGACAGATATTTTGTCTGCTTGGGTTTTAGCAGGTGATTCGGTGTATATACACGTGTATATAGACATTGGATGAGATTTGATTATGGAATGGTTCGTAATTAGTTCCAACTACAGGTTACAAATTATCGAATTTCTTCGGGTGAGTAACGATTTATGTTTAGCGATTGAGATGTGGCTGATTTTTAGTTGATTTATGCTTTAGTCTTAGTCGATTAACGATTGATTTTAGAGATTGAACATTTTGGCGCTTCATTTGTTTGATTTCTTTTCAGCAGATCCAATTAGACCAAAATGAACAAAATTACAGAAAAGGTATGTTAACCATTAGAACGAGTTTGGTTTGATTTGTTTTAGATTTGGGATTTGGGAGTGGGTTTTACGCCAAGTAAACAAGGCTTTTGTTGTTGGCTTTGGGTTAGCGTGTGCTTACCGCATTCAGCAGGCCGATCGTGGTGGGCGGCACCACGTGGAGGGGCGTGTACACTTCCTCGTTCTCCTGCCGCACATACAACATCACACGCTCCGAGGTGGGCGGCGTCATCCTGCCGCGCTTCATCGGCGGACCAAAGTCGGTCAGGGGTGTGCTGCTCAGCATGTTCTGGTCCAGTATGTGGTCCTTCTTATCGCTGCATTAGTTAGGTTTAAGAGGGGAAAAGGAAAGAAAACAGTTCAAATTAGTTTGTATTTTAGTTAGGGTTGCCACTCTCAGACATGAAAATAATCAATATCTCGAAGTTGCCTTAGGAATTTGAAAGGAAATCTTTTCAAGAATCTATGCAATTACTTTTATGAACAAGCCTTATAGTCTTCAAGTCTTCAGATTAACCCGTTCTATTGACCATTTAGAATGGAATTGAGTAGAGAATTCTTTAGATTCATAAAATATCTTCCTATAAAAATATTAAAAATCGAGTAGCGAATTCTTTACATTCATAAAGTATCTTCCTCTTAAAATATTCCATTGTATGTTAACATTTTTCTTTTCAAGTCGTTAGATAATTAATGCGAGTTTTTCAATGGAAACTTTTCATTTGGTAGCTTATCTATGCATCTATCAAACTTTAAAGATACTTTGGCACTCTTTGAAATGCAATTAGTTTCTCAATCTGAGCGCAGGCTGGGCTTTCTAAGATGGATGGACGATTTTTACTCACGTCTGCATGTCGGGCGGAAAGTGGTTGTGGAACTTGAGCGTCGGCGTGGCCACCTTCTGGCCGTGGAGCAGGAACGGCGAGGCCCCCTTCAGGTCCGGCGAGTCAGTCTCATGGCCGTAGAAGCTCTGCAAGGACGAGTGCGAGTTGGAGTTGGAGTTGCCGTTGCTCAGGGGGTTGAATGTCATGCCGGAGCCAGCGCCAATGCCCAGCTGACCTACCTTCTCCATGTCCTCCGCAGGCGAGAACAGCACCGGCGGCTTGGCGAAGTCCTGCATGCCGTAGAACTCGGACCGATCCGTCACCGGATGGTACAGCTCGTCCAGCTTCTTTCTGCCCGTAGCGGTCATCTTTCGCTTGGCGGCCCGTCGCTCCTCGTCGCGCGTCTTGCGCTCGGCACCCTATTTAAAAAAAACGGGAAGGATATAGTTAGATTGGCCAGAAAAAAAAAATAAATGTAGGGGTTCATAGAGGGACAGTTTTATATTGTTTTAAAAAGAGAAGTATACGTTCTTACAAAATTATCCACTATATTTATAGTACAGTAATTTTGTTAAGGATAAGAGATGTTTATACTTTGTCTTTGTATTTTAACCTCTGATGTTTCATTATTATTAAATTATAAAATATTTTCTCTATAAGAAGAAAGAGTTAGATAACTTAGTACTAAATACTAAAGTGTTGTTAAATTGTACTCAATTTTACTTAAATGTGTTTATTATATAAACAAAATTTCTTAGATTGTATTTGATTTCAGTTAATTATGTTAAAATATTATAAAGGAGTTAAAAAACTTAGTACTAACTGAACTAACTAATACTGAAGTGTTGTTTAATTGTACTCCATTTTGCATGTATGTGTTTATTATTTAAACAAATCATTTTTGATTTCTGTTAATTAAGTTAAAATACTATGAAAAAGTCGTTGTCCAGTTGCAATTGCAATGCCAACATTTTAGGCTATTTCCTGTGGCCACTTTTTCGAGTGGAGACTGCGGAATTCGCGAGTCCGCTGAAGATGCCCACCATTCCAGGTGGGTTGCGAAAGTCGCGCTCCCTGCGCACTGCCGTATTCCCACTGCGCAGGCGCACAGGTGCACGGGGCCGGCGTGTAATTAGCAATCAATCAAATGCATGGATGCCACCTTTTTTGATATTTCTTTACTTATTAATTAAATTCGTGTATGGCTGGCAGTGCCATAAGCTGCCTCGCCGCATCTCGTTGCAGTTGCAAAAATCGCAGCAAAAACTCGGAAAAAACGAGCAAAAAAATCAAAATAGCGAAAGAGAGAAACGAGTTTCTCGCCTGGGGAGCTGCGATGTCGCACAGAGACAAAGCCGCCACCGCAGTGGATTTCTCAGTTGGACTCCGCGTCTGTCGGCCACTTTTGGCAAAATGGTCTACACCGTTAGGGTCAGAGCCGAAAAAAAATGGGGAAAAATTATTATAAAATACTTAGAGATGCAGCATAAATATGCATACATAATAAATAATCTGGCGGCGCCCCGAACCATGCAAGAAAAATACTTTGTCTGGGCCAGCTGCCCACCTGCTTGTTGCCTGATTGCACACACACACACACTCACACACCGACTCTTTTGTGGAGATCACACGGATACCTATATAATATATAGTCTGTTGGCTACTTTGTCCGCCGGTGATTGCTAGTTTGCGTGTGCAGGCAGATGCAGTATGCAGTATGCAGTATGTTGCTGCTGCTGTTGCACTTTGCATTTGTAATTAAAAATCAGCAATTGAGCGATGGAAGCTGCTGCAGGAAGGCAGGTGACTGCGGGGGAAGGGGGGAGAGGGGGCTACAACAGCAGCACAGGAAGTGATATGTTGCAGCAATCTACTTGGCCTGATGTTGCTGTTGCCGCTGTCGCTTCTTGGGGCTCCATATTATGCAAGGATGTCTGCCCCCAGAAAAGCACCCCCTCCCCCCGCCAACCAAGTTCTTGTGCTTATCACAAAGCATTTTAGCCTAGAGCCATGCATTCGATACGTTCGAGTGTGTGTGGCATGTAAATAACTGTATTTTATTACTTTTATTTTATCTTGGCAAAAATATCGCCAAACTGGCAACTTGCAACAAGCTAAGGCGACGGCGACTCGAATCGCCCAATGCGGTCAATGCTCGCCGCAGTCCAGACCCCTCGACCCCCCTCCTCTTCTCCTCCTTTTTGGAGGCTGTTAATCGTCTTCAAAGTATGACGAAGACAGAGGACACCCGACCAAGTGGGCAGCCACTTTTCGAGGAGGCGGGAGGGACATTACCATTAGCATTAACGTTAGCTAAATTCTGTAATGATTAGCCATTGATGGCGGAGAGAAATCCTCGAATACTTAATTAAGAGGAAAAGAGAATACTCCGTTAAATGAAGTAGAGATATGAAATTAACTATTATCATAAAAATGTTGTACTATATAGATAAAAATCTTTATGGCATGAAAATTCTATATATAAAGGAAATTTCAAGCAGAGTCTTTAGTTTTGAATTATTAAGAAGAACATTCTTTAATGACAATTTTGAAGCACTACAACCTTCATTGGCATAAGAACATATATTTTGTAATGCGAAGATAACAAAACTTCGAGTCATTAATTTACAAAAGAAGAAAAAAGGAGTATACCAAATTTAATATACACTTTAATACATGCATTTAAAAACCTATTCACAAGTCATATAATTTGCAGCAAATAACCCTCTAAACCGAAGCAACTAATCATTGAACGACCCATAAAAATACCAATGTTACGTAATTATTTTCCCCACTGATTTGGCCCATTTTGGGGGAAAGTATCCAAGATCCCAAGACCAAAAAAAAAAGAAACAAAATGACAGTTATCCGGCAAGACAAAGGCTCCCCAAGGTTCCCCTCAACATTGAACATGCGGCAGAATTTCTCGTAATTTTGTATCTTTTTGGCCCTGCCCCCGGGGCAAACTTAAAGATTCATAATTGGCGACTGTGGCCCAGAGGTGCCAAACGACGGAACTGCAACTGAAACTGCAATTGCAGTGAAATCAAAATTTCAAAAATCCCAAAACATACAGAGAAAATAAAAGGATGACCAGGGCGAAGCAAAATAACGTGGTACGCGAAATTTAATTGATACATTTACCGATAAACACACGCTGGCCGGCAAAAAGGGCTGGCCCCAAATGTGAAATATAAGCCCGACGCGATAGTGATATGGCCATGGTTGCTACGGATCGCTGGATCGGGGATTGGGGATTGGGGATCGTGTACAGGGCCTCTCCGTACAATAAAAGCCATGTCCAAACGGAGGCCCAGGGACGTGGAGGATGTGTAATGATATGAGAAAATTAAATTGGAAATCCACGAAATGATTTATTAATAAACCCCATCAAGCGAAAAAGTGAAGGGTTCGCATAAAGGCGAAGGTACAGATACGAAACAAGGGCATGGAAAGGATGTGTGGATGTGGATGTGTATGTGGATGTGTATGCTTGTTGGCCATTTACTTTTGGACGCGTTACGCTTTCCACTAAAGGCCGACCTGGCTGACGGACAGCCACTGCCGGTGCCCCCAATTCGATAAAAGTTGCGGCTGCAAAATCCGAAGGAGAGGCTGCAGCAACAAGTGGCAGGCACACACAGATACACACCACACTGGGAAACTAAGCTATAGCAAAATAACATTTTGTTTTTAAAGGATACGATAGCATCTTTAAAAAACATTATTTTAAAGTGTAGCACAATCTTCTAAGTATTTAAAATCTCCTTCAAATGTTTTTAAAGGCATTCTTTCTGATAAATTTTCAAGTGATTTTGTTAGTAAATGACTTTATGACTTTCCTCAAAATATCCAACAAAATTCGAAACTATTTAAATAGAACTGTGTTGTTTATTAAAAACGAAAAAGTATATTAAAGTGTTTAATCCAAATATATATATTTATATTTATATTTAGTTTGTTTAAACTTTTCCAAAGGAAAAAGTGAAATAATTTTGATGCGAATTGAGCAAGTTATTGTTAATTCACCACTCCCTACTATTTCATAATAATTCAAGAGTTTGAGGTATCGTTTTATCATGTATCAGGCTCTTAAACTTCTTCTGCCCGTGTAATACAAATGCAGCATCACGTAGCCGCTTTTAGTTAGCCCATCAACCTGTTGCACGTGGCAGTGGCAGAGACAGAGGGAGAGGGAGAACTGCCGCTCCTGTGTGCGTAATTGCCGGCATAGGGGAACTGCTTTGGGGACTGGGGAAAATAAAATCACTTACCTTATCGCAGAAGACCTTTATCTGACAGTAGCCGCGGTGGAAGACCGTCGCATCTCTGGGGTCCTCGAATGTGTCGATTTGTACGTGCAGCGGCAGGCCCTGGAATAAACAGAATCCGTATTAATATCACAATATCACAATATCACAATGCCCGTATCATTCAAATTGCCCCGGGGCAAGCGAGAGCTGCTGTTGTTGCTGCCGCCGGACAGCAATCGCAGTCGCAACAGCAACAGCAACTTCCAACTTGCAACAGCTGCAATTAGCCGTTGTCATTTGGGCTGGGGGCGTGGCCGGAGCCGAAGGGGCGTGGCCGGTGTGATGTTAAACTGCCAACATCCGTTGGGCGAGTGTGTGTGCAACATGTCGTGGCAAGTGCATAATTTGATTTGCCTATTGCCCACACTCGCTGCCACACGGAGAAAAATGATTTATGCCCTTTTTTAGTTGTTAAAATGTAATGTTGTTTAAATATAAATTATCAATGCTTGTAGCCATTCTTCTATATAGATATTTAAATAGTTATCAATTTTAATTAATGTTGATTGGAAAATACTGTTCATTAAAATCCTTTCATCACTTCAAATATAATTATTATAAATGGTAAGATAAACTTGGCACTTGGAAATATGCTTGGGCTTAGGGTTAAAGAAATCTTGAAGGATTTGAAATTAATCATTTAACTTGTGTAAAAGGACTTGATTAATTTTGATAAAAAATTTGTAGCATAGTAAAGAACAATTATGGAATTTGAAGTACTAAGCTATGGTGTAATTTATTCGCTGTGCAGGCTCCACTGTACCTTCCAGCGCTCTCTTTTAATGAAAAGCAACGAGTTCTGCCTGTGTTTCTGTCAATGAAATATCAGACTTAATGTACGCATTACAACTGCGGCCAGGAGGATGTGCAATCCGCTTTGGCGAAGGAGGGGGGCTTAAGGGGAGGCAGGCGGGGAGACAGGTGGCAGGTGGCAGAAGAAGTCCCCTGCCTACGTAGCTTCAGTCTGACCGTTGTCAAGACGACTGCTCTGAATGCTGATCGCTTCGAGGGGAAGACACTCTTCGCCCATCGATCTGGATCGCTTCTTTGGCCGCATTGATTCGCCATTAACAAGTTGGCATTAAATTGGTTATTACTTAACCCATCAAAGGCAATGTGGCTGAGTTGAATCTCATTTATAGAAAGGTGGGCACCATTATTTTTCTCTGAGAAACTTATTTAGGTTACTTATAAACAAAGAATGATACTAAACAAAATTTGTAAAAATTAATTAAGTAAGTAAAGTCAAACAAAAATATATAAATACATTAAACTATAATTTAAATTTTACTGAACAAAATAAAAGCAATTTTTGGCAATATCATAATGTATTGTAATATTTGAGATATGGTTATCTCACAAGTAAATTTTTAAAAATTTAATACTTTTTTAAGGAAAAAGATGACATAGGGTGTGAAAGATATTTTCTAAATTGAATAAAATTGAAAATAAATAAAACATAATATAAACAAAATGATAAACTCACCTTAACTCCCTTTTGACTGCTGAAATCCGTGCTCAAGCACTGAACCGCAATGTTGATCTGTTTTTAAAAGAAAAAATCAAAAGAAAAGAAAAGAGAAACAAAGCGAATGTGAGAAATGCCATAAAATATACAAATGTAAACAATTATGAACATAAAAAGAAATTATATCGGATGACAAAAACTGAAATGCGTCTGCTATTAGAAGGCAATTGTTTTCTCTCTATTAAGTCGATGTCCTCTTTATGCCCACGACAGTTTAAAACATTCCAACGCACTCGGAAAGAGAAAAATGAAGACAAAAACGCTGAAGGAGAGACAATAACAAGGCAATACACAGAGGACCATGGACCGTGGACCGTGGACCATGGACCGGGCCAATAAGATGATGGCCTGGAAACTGGGGAACCGAGGAATCGAGGAACCGAGGGGCCTTAAAGCCAAGTAACGAGCCAAGTAGAGCCGCGACTTTGTATCGCATCCAATTCATTTTTAGTTCGACTTCGATTCAGTGCAAGGTGTGTATCTGTATCTGTGCATAGTATCTGTGTGCCGAGGCATTTTAAGCATGCCAAGTCCGAGTTTGAGTCGCAGTCGCAGCCGAAGTCGAAGTCGAAGTCGGAGTCGGAGTTTGAGTTCAGTTCGCCAGACAGACGATGGACAGTAAAAAAATAAAAAGAAAATCCATCAACGCAAAAATACCAAAGGAAACAATCTTAATGGTAAAAGTGCAGCAGTCACAGTCGCAGCATCCACATCCACATCCCAACCTCCAACATCCCCACATCTCCACATTGCCACATCCACCATCCAGAGACCAAGATGTGGACGAGCAGTATTTAATGTGAATAATTAGCGGGCGCGTACCATATAAGCGAAAAGCGAGGGGCGAAGCACCTGCGTGTCGGTGCGTACGAAAGTTTTGCCGCTGGGAAAGGCAGTATATCGCATCTCGCAGATACACACACTCACACTCACACTGCAAAGATGGAGATACAGATGCAGCTAACGGCATAAAACGAAATCGACATTATGCGAGCCCAGTCAAACCAAAGGCGACGCGACTCAAATCGACTCTCTCTCCTCGAAGACGATGCGATGCGATGTCGGGATGCTGGGATTAACATCTCAGCGCGTAAACAATTTGTAAATAAAAAGCTCTATCAAATGCGAGTGGGCGGGGGGAAATGCACTTATGGCCAGCCAGTTAATAACTGCTGACCAATTTGGCAGCCTGCACACACAGAAGTCACTGAACTTGAATGAAAATCAATTCGGTTTTGGCATTTGTTTTTCACAATATTTTTCACATTTTTTCAAAGGCATTTCAGCCGGGTTAAATGGACACTTGGCGAAAATGTGCAATTAATTTGATGCTGCAAGTTATATGTTTAAACATATCGAAATATATTAATAAACGTAAAAGCTGACGAAATAAATTAATGTCTTTACTTTTAAGTATATTTTAAGAAAAATCCTTTATAGGTACAATTATATTTTATATGTGTTTGCATCTACTAGAAATTATTCAGATAAGTCCCAATTTGGAATAGGATTAATTATGATTATGATTGAAGTAATTAAGTTGTCTTTGTAAAACTTTGAATATGCATAATAAAGTAATATAATTTTCCTTTAAGAGTTGAGGCATACATTATTTTAAGAAATATATTGTAATGCATCATTTTAAAATGAAAAGCCTAAGGATAAAAATAGTTTATGACCTATACTTCTATAATAAAACTAGAATTCAAAGGGACTTAAAACCAACAAGGGATGCGATTTTCTCTCCGTGCAGGTAGGCGGAGCGACGCAAAGGATAAAGCCATAGGCGAAGCCATGGCGTATACGTAATATGAGGGCTGCCTGGCTTACTGGTCTTACTGCTGGCGCTTGTCGCAATAGAATTGCAAATATTTTCCAGCGATTAAAATGCTTGATAATTGCTAAATTAAAACGCGGTGGGAGCTCGCTCGCTTGATCTGCGGTTAGCAGCAAAATCAACAGCAGCAGCAAAAGCAAAAGCAAAGGCGAAAAGCAAAGGCGAAATACAGCCAACTCAGTCGCAGACTTAGTTCCAGGCATTTGCGAGTAAGTGATTAAAACTAAGTGTCATAAATAAATAAATGCATAAATTATTCTTTTGAAAAAAACACACACAGACACACTAGCTGCGAGGGGGACAGAGAGGGACAGAGAGGGAGAGTGCCGGTCAGCGGGCGGCAGAAAGGGATGGCCACAGCAGTTGGTTGGGGCAATGGCGACGCTGGCTGAATAATTTGCGTTTTACTCGCAATTGAAAATAAATCAGAAATTAATTCTTCGCTCACACACATGCACATATGTACATGCATACATATGTAGAAAGATATAGAGAGGACTGCTTCATAAAAGTGTCGCGCTGTTTTTTTTTTCTTTTTCTCATTTTTAATTGAGGCGGCGCTCGAAGTAAACAAAATGGTTGAGAGGGAAAAACACATAAAAGCACACAGAAGTCGCTGGGCAATGATGACCTATAGATACCCTGTAATTAGTTGAGGATTCTATATGTTGTAGTAGTTGGGATAAGATGGGTTTCTCTTATTATTTTGGTCTTGGTATTAAATTGTGTTTGTAATTAATTATATTCATTTTTAAGAACAAACTGAAATATAGTTTAACTATATGTTAAAAAAAAGCTGTTACAAAACCTTTGTCTAAAACTCCATTTAGGGTTGGTCAAAAAACTTAACCAATTAATATGAAAATTGGTATAGTCAATCGCGATATTATTATATCTTTCTGTCCCAAAAATTAAACCAATATGTTCATCTGTTAAGAGGCTATTTGACTTTTGGTATGGTAAAAGGATAAACCACCATGCCCTCACAAGTGAAGAGTACCCTCTTCACTCTTGAATTCCATAACTACGATTGCCATAGAAATGAGATCTAGGATGAGCAGAACTTACCTTGGCGGAGCTCTCCAGCGGATTCCAGTAGACGGCGATGGCATTGTGCGACACTTCCTCGATGCAGCCAACGAGGCCAACCGAGTTCTTCGTATCTGGAGAAGAAGAGCAGAGTAGGGGGGGATAATCAGAGGGGGTTTCGGGGGGTTTTGGGGGAAGATGCGGCGCAGAAGAAATGCGAAAGATGGAAGGAGTCGAGCTGAAGAGCTGAACGGGGCAAACAGAGGCGAGAGCGCGATCGCGGACATTGGAAAATATGTTTGTATTAACAATTAAGGAAATTTCTGCGTTGCCATCCTGTGACAAGTGCCTAATGAGTTATGTTTGATGGGCCATGGAAGCGGCAGCCGGAGAGGCATCCTCATCTGCCCCACGTTGCAACCGAACAACCGAGCAACCGAGCATCTGAGCCACCGAGATTATCTGCAATCAAACAAACGGAGCGCAGTTGCTGCCGCCGCGCGATGCGCGTTTATCAATGTCATAACTCTCGTGGAACGTTGCGGGCCTTTCAATAAAAAGCAACAATTTACTGCTAGAAATACTAGACAATACAAATGGACAGTCCAGCATCCGACGCTGCTGGACTTCTACTTCTTCAACTACTGCTCCTTCGATCTCTGGGCTGTGGGTTTCGGGTTCTGGGTTCGGGGTTCGGGGTTCTGGGTAGGGGATTGGTTTTACGCACCTGCATCCAAGATTCTCTGCTTCACGGAATGCTGACGACTGTGCCAGAATTGCCAGGCCTTGATCTCATCTTCGGGGCTCTTCTCCTCGCGGAACATTAGCATGATCACACTCTACGATGGGCGAACAGAACAGAACAGAAAGCAAATATGGTTACTAAATTAAGTGAGAGGCTAAGTTAAGGGGGCACTAAAAATTAAATCATCTCAATTATGGTGTTCTCGAAAAGGAAGCACTAAAATTAATGTTGAGGATATGGCTGTACTGGAAAGGGAGCTGTTGTCGGTATTACTAAGGTGTTGGCGGCATCAAAAAGCCTTAAAACTACTGCTATGAATCTATTGTTTAACATATAAAATTTAAAACCTAAAAATTGGTATCTTGTTGAGTTGTATGTTGAGACATTGAATTGAGTTTTAAAATTGTATTATCGATTTTGAGGAACAACTTTCCCAGGCTATAATCAAAGATATATTATGGTAATTTTTGAATTTAAGCCAGCGAAAAAAACCTTAAATTCTCTAGTAAATGTAAGATTTGATTTAATCTTTGTAATTGCAAATGAAAATCTTAGAAATAAACAACCTTGATTAATCAAGGGACTGCAGTTCCGTTCATTATCCTTGATCTCGAAAGCGATCTGGCAGAAAGTTGATCTGTATCTCTCGGAAAATGCCATGTCCTTCGTGGCCGTTTGCCAGACATTGTCCTAATCCGTTTATACTATCCCAAGGATGGGTGCCTTCGCAGGGTGCAGGGTTCAATGCTCTGACATATATGCGTTGTGACACTCAACTCACAACTCGGCAGATCGCACCCTACGCCTTAAAAGTCAAAAGGATTAGGCCTGCGAGGACAAAGGGACGAATTCGATTTAGCAGAAAAATGTCCAACTCATTTTGTATCTTCTGCTCGTCGAGGTCCTATTGTTTTCCCAGCATTTGCATTTTTTCTCTATCATTTATGTGTCTATTTTTTTACATTTTGAATAATTAAGGAAGCGCAGAGATAGCGAAAGAGTTCCCCAACAAAAATCCGAAAAGGAAACAGTTCCGAAATTGCAAGCAACCCTTGCAAGGATCATCTTTTTCTTGAGGAGTTGGGGGTTAACTGATTACAGCATAAATATTTTTGTGTGTTTTCTTCGGGACTATGGAAGTCTTTACATATTCATGGGCTAATCAGCTCGTAAATTATACTCAGTTTTCACTCCCGATTCGGTTCTCTTTTTTCTTTTTTCTTTTTCTTGGATCAGTTTTCCCCGTTAGATGGGTTATGCAAATGCCGAAAGTGTTGGGAAGTTATTCTTTTTCGGGAAAGGGCGCGCAGCTCTAAACAAATAAACTCGTAAATTAATTTTGACACTTTTTTGTCGAGCCTTGCAAAATATGGCACTTTTATGGTAATCTGAGGCCTGATCGAGAACTTGAGAACCTGAGAAGTGGAGGGAAGGTTAAGCTCCTATCTGAAGATCTGTGCGTTTCATTTGGCGTCGTTTCTTGAAGTTTTTGTTGCAAGTTTCGTTCGTTCTTTATTCATTTTTTTATATCGCTCTCTTTGCGTATGCAAATGACAAGGACTCGGATTCGGATTCGTATTCCTTCTATTTCAATTGTTGTTTACTTAGCCTCCAGTTTCGCTTCCCGTTCCCTACTGCCATTTCCTCAACCCATTTACCACTTTCAACTGTAACTTTGATGTCATTCTTCGGCTCTCAACGGTTCAGTTTTCAATTTGCATTTGCATCTCGAGACGTCATTTAAGCTTATCTGATTGATGATGTTGACGGGTATTGTCCTGCTCCTACTCCTTGAGCGATCGTCCTGAACAAACATTCGTAGTGAAAGAATGCCTCGGCAGCCGACAATTTGCATTGAACGGAATATTCAAATTCTCATCAAGGGACCTCACTATGATTCTCAGTATCATTTATCATTGCGCCGTGCCCCGCAGCAGGATATGGGATGGGTGTAATTGAGCAAAGGGGTGGCGATCGCACCTCGGGGTAGGACTAAGCATCCAGGATCTACATCTACAAGAAGCCGACACAGATTCCCTGACAAATCGCCCCGGTAACGAAGGGTTGCCCTCACGAGACTTTCCCATTTTCCTTTCACATGTTCGTGTGGTGTTGATGGCATAAACAAAACACACCGAAGAATGGAAAACAAGCAGCACGAACTTGATTGACAAAGCTCCCCATCCCTCTTAAAACTAAGGGCTAAACATATAGACTTGGATCCTACCTTGACGGTGGTGTTCTTGATGGGCTTTTCCGCATCGTGCACATACTCCAGCGTAATTCCGTAGAACTGACCCTTGTTGATGTAGGTGATGCGATCGTCCTCGCGCCTCTGCGATGAGCTGATGGGGCTCTCCAGGTTATATCGGAAGCCCACGTTTGTGAAGCTGTTTGGGGGGAATTGATAAAGTTGGTATGGAGTTAGGTAAAAGGGTAATTTGAAATTTGATTTAAGTTTAGTATAGCTATATATGTAGGTCTATAAACTATCATTAAACACATAATGAAGTGTATGAACGGAATGATATTAAACCTTACTGTCAATCCAAGGAAAGAACATTTCTTATAAATCATTCTTAAAGAACGCACATGAAGTGTAACTGGCCAATATTTTTATGTTTTGAAGAGATTCCCAAAATATGTAATTTAAAGTGTAAAATGTAATCTAAAGTTTAAAATATGTATATATCTAAAGTTTCTGATGAATTCTCTTTTTTAAATTTTATTTTGCACATCAAACTCTGTTAAATCTACAAAAATTATGTATTTCTCTTATCGATTAAGAGGTTCCTCAAGATTAATTGGTTAATTTAGGATATTAATTTTCATGAAGCTCCAACATGATTACAGTATTTTCTTTAAGGACTAGTAATAGATTAATTTCCCTAATTTTTTCCCATGCTTTTTCTGTTATTGTCTAGTGTTCTTCAAACTACTTACATTTTTGGTATTTGTATTTTGTCGGCATCATTCTGGCGGCCAAAGTCGTGCCAGGGCCGCGATCGCGTGGATCCATTGGTGCTCGTGTCCACCAGCGAAGTGGTGGGGCTGTTCTGGCTGCCGTGGACCACGGTCCTTTGCTGGATGCTGTTCACGCTCACGGGTATGCTGCCATTGGCATCGATCAAAGTGCCCGGCTGACACAGCTCCGTGTAATCGAAGGACTGTTGGCAAAGGATTAACATATGGATTATTTAGGGCAACAGTCTAAACATAGCTACGAAAATAATGTGGAAAAACTAAGTTATTGCTTGCTAAATATTAAATTACAAATTATAACTTATAATGGACACGCCACGCTTTAGTTAAACACTCTACTTGGCTACGATTTTGTACTTAAATCTGTGGGTTATTTTGTGGGTTGTATGTTTGCATTGGCATAGAGGACTACCTCTACTTTATAGTTGGTTAATCACTAAGTCATAATGGACACGCACGCAATTAGTCAAACACTTTACTACTGGGCTACTGTTACGATCAGCAGATGTTTCTGTCTCTGTTTCTGATATCGATGGCTGTACCTGTTGGATATTGGTCTGATCCCGCGGCGTGATGGCGTCCGTCCCGATGCCCGAATCCGGACTGGGCAGGTCCACCGTGAGACCCGCCGCCGTGATGGCCTTGGCGTAGAGGGGCGTGGCTCCGCCGTTGCTCTTGCCGTCCTGCGGATGGTGTTGCTGCTGCTGATGGTGCTGTTGCTGCTGCTGCTGCTGTTGCTGCTGCTGTTGCTGCTGTTGCTGCTGGTGGTGGTGCACGCTGGTGAGCACGGTGGTGGTGGCGGGCGGGGGGAACGCTGCCGGCGAAGCGGCCCTCGTAGGTGACCACTCCGCCGGGCTGCGACACGGACACGTCGACGTCGCCGTACAAGGACCTCGTGCTGGCCGGAACGTAGCCGCCTTGGCCGTCCGGTGCGAAGTACTCGCGGTAGTAGGAGGGCTCCGCTATGAAGGTGGTGGTGCTGGTGGGCGGGGGACCGGGTGGCAGGCGGCTGGCCGTGTACATGCCGTAGTCGTTGGCCGTGATGTAGGGGCCCGGACTGGGGCTCTGCGCCTGCATGGACACGCCCCCGCCGCCGCCGGCGCCTCCAGCGGGCCCAGCACCACCGCCCGCTCCGCTCGCCGTGCTGGGGTGTGTGGTCTGCGGGTGGTGGGGTGGGTGGGTCACACATGGCTCTAAGGCGCCGCTGCCGCCGTCGTTTCTCACCTGTAGGTAGATCTGTGTGCCGCCCGTGGTCGCGTACATCTCAAGTCTGGTGGCTGTGCTCCTGGCTCCCGGCGATCCTGATCCCGATCCTGATCCTGGCTCCGATTCAGTGCTGCTGGTGGTGCTGCTCGGTGTGCTGGGTGTGCTGGGCCTATCAGCTTCACTTGCCGTTGCTGCATCCACGTGCAAGATCTGCGGGAAAGGTGGGTTTGTTTTTTTCTCGGAACGCTTTAACACTTAAACCTAAAGCTCGACTGGAATCCGGTGGCTAAGCAACTGATCGATGGATCGATCAGGAATCCACCGAGACTCCAAGACATTCTGTCATTGTGGCTAATAGCCCAAATGGCCAGTGATTGATGGCTGTTTTGTGAACGAAACAGAGAAGGTCGCCAGCACAGAAACCGAAACCCCAGAAACGAGGTGACAAAATTGTGCGTACGTTCTTTGGGCCATGATTGTGTGGATTTTTCTTTCAGCCATGATTCATACAACAACAGCAGCCAGCAGCTTATTGAAAATAACGTCAACAAGTACAGTTTATAATAAAAGGCTATAAAAAAATGGTATATACGAAACCGAAATGAAACAGTCGCCGTCTCCGTTGTTGTCGTCGAGTGGAAAGAAACCAATTAAAAAATATACAGAAAAAAAAGCGCGAAAAAATCAACATTTATATACGGCACATATATATACACGGATTGATATATATATATATATTTGAGGCTATATGCATATGTTAATTATCATTGTTTTTTTTTATTGGCCGCCCGAAAATGTCAAACGTTTTTGGAGACAAACGCACGCAGCCAAATGAGGTAATACAGAGCAAAGTGTGGTCAATTCATGTCTTGGGCTTTATATATATACTATATATATTTAGACATCGGGGAGCTGAGATCGAAATTAGCAGCGAGCTGCTGATTGCCTTTGGTCTAAAGAAAGTGAAACCCCAAAGAGACACAGGTCCAGCCAAAAGACGTCACTATTTTGCTGGCCTTTGCCTTTGATCGAAACCGGTTGTCAGTTGGGTCTTAACTCTTAAGTTTTGGGGGTAATTTTTGTTACACTTTTGGCCACAGTCACACACACTCGCAGAACCCTTGTAATAATTTATGGTCTTTACTTTGATTATTTCGGTTAACTTTGCTTGGCTGAGCGTTCGCCTTACTGATTCAAATTTATACGGAGGTTTTTGTCTCTGCGTCTGTGATTTTTTTGGATTCCATTTTTTTCTTTGTGGTCGGAGAGACTCTTGTATAATTTAGCATCAGTAAAAGATTCTAGCTGCGAGCTAATTAAATTTGTTCATCGAAATCAATTTGCATTTTAAACTTTTAACGTGCAACGTCAGAAAAGGCCTTGACGAATCCGATCGACGATCGATCCAATCCACGGAGACAAAGATACTTTGTTGCTGTTGGTATTTTCGGTTTTTCGGCTTTTAGTTTTTAGCTTTTAGCTTTTCTGCTTTTGTGGTGCGTGTGTCTCGGGCTCAATCGCATCCGAATCTTCAGCTTTTGCTTTTGTTGATGCCAGCGTATTTAGATATGTGGTATAACTGAGCTATCGGTTATGAGCCGTGCGGAGCTGGGCTTTTAGAATTATGCTAAATAGCGACCAGCGACAAACGATTCTGGCACATATTTATGTATGAGGAAGGAATAAAAAAAAACACCAAAAATCAAGCAACAACAAGTAGCGAGACAAAGGAAAAAATAACAAAATATTTAAATAAAGCCAATTAACTATTTTAATGCCTTTTGGAATGATAAAAAGTGAAACTTTTTTCTTCTTCAGTCAGCGTTTTATGAATATCGTTAATTCTCGGAAATAAAGTGAACGAAAAGCCGAGAAAAACAAAAACATCTTCATATATAGGTAGTATATATGTATGCGAACAAAAAATTGTTTTGCATTCATAAAATATTTTTTAATGGTTCCTTGATGTTGTAATTGTGGTTCTCGGTAAGGAAAAACCGTGACTAACAGCCCTCCAAAAGTGCTCATATTTGCTGGAAATTTACTATGTGTCTGAGCTTAATTTCATTTCAACTCTTAATAAGAGCAATAAACCTTCAAGGTTGTTTTCGATTTGTTTGCTTGATGTTAAAACTTCCGTTGGGAGATAACTCAATCACTTATTGATAGTTGAAATTAATGACAGTGGAATTTAAATGGAAAATCTTCTTTTAATTAGTTATCGAAAGGGGAAAATTAATGATAAGAAAGGCGTTGTTTTCCTTTTAAAATCGCATTTGCTTGTCTGATCAATCAATCCGTTTGTTAGATCATTGTCTATACTATTATCTTGTTATATCATGTAGGCTTTCCATTATTAATTGAATTATTAATAATAATGCTTTCCGGTTTTTATCGCTTTTCAATACGCATCAGGTGCTGAGAAGCTTAGCCAGATATATTTTGATAATGATGAAAAAGATGAAAAAAATTTCTAAACACATAAAATAAAATATTAAATTTACATTTTTTACTTTAGTATCAGCCTCTAAAAAACAAATTCTCAAACGTTGACTCATTTAACCAACATGATTCATTTTAAGAAATTAATGAAATTCTCTGAAAACGTTGAGCAATTGGTAATCATTAAGAGAGATTTCGTATTTTGTTTGGCGAATCAATTTAAAATGGGAAATCCGGCGAGTTCGGCAAACAACTGATAAGCCAAACGGAGATTTGGAGCAATTAGAAAGGCAGTCGATGAGGCAATTGGATGTGGCGATATATCTCCACCTCTTTATATAGAGCAGCGAGAGAGAGAGTTGTTCGGCTAATCCAAGATCTAAATGCCAGTGTCTAATGATTACACTTTCCGGTGCCTGGAGAGCAATAAATAAATTGCCAAGAGCACAAAATTGATATGTTTTCCGATTCTCGGCCATAAATAAGGCTGGCGAAACCTTAGACTTTAAACTATGGCAAATGAGTGTGTGAGCGAGAGTGTGTATGTAAATGTATAAGACAAATATTAAGAATAATTAACTGTCAATGCAACAAATGCACAATAAATTAGATTGCATGCAAATTGTGCAGTGACTGAGGCAATTTAATATTTATATATCTGTTTGTTTTTAGCTGGTAAGCAAATTAATGCCCAATAAAAACGGAGACGGCAATTAAGAGTCGCTGGGTTCTGCTCAATGAATTTTATAAGCCCCACTCTGGCCCACCCACCCACTAAATATTCGATTCTTGGCCTTAAGAAATGCGCGCCAAACAAAAGACTTAGGCAGCGAACTTGTTCGCCGCGTGGGTGTTGAAAGGCAACGCGTTGCGCCCACACAATGTTGTGGTTGTTGTTGCTGCAACCGCCGCAGTTGTTGCTGTGAGTGGTCGCTGTTGCTGTTGCTGATGTTGTGTTGTTGCTGCTGCGCGTGCGCTGTTGTTGTTTGATTCATGGTTTTGATTTGGCTTGCAGGTGGATTGGCGATATTGATATGCCACAGAATATTGCACTACTGCCCACATTCCAAGCAAAAGGTACTCGGTATTCGATACTCGGTATCGGTATCACTCACACTCACTGTCTTTTTTTTTTTGTTGTTTTCTTTGTTTTTGTTGTTTTTCTTGTGATTCCCTCCGATTGATCGGTTTTCGGTTACAATATATACGCTGAGTTACGGATCGCGGCGAGGCAATAGCAAGCGGCTATTACGGAATCGGACTCGAAAGCGATACGATCCTACTCCGACAGCGTGATACGACTGACTAAAGGCCGCCGATCGCTGCCAGGTATGACAGCCAGCCAGGTAACCAGCCAGCCCAGTCGGCATCGGCGATCCGCAGTTGCGTCGGCCAGTTGGAACACAGATACACACGCACACACTCGCACACGCAGACGCCGTCTCTCATATCAGTTCAAAATGGTTGGAATCCGCGGCGGGCTGTCGCAATATTCTGAGCGGCCAGGAGGGGCGGATTGGATGGAGGAGCGGTCAGGGCGTTGCAGCTGCTGCAGCCGCAATATTAAAAAATAGCTGCACTTGCTGCATAAAGTCGGGATTCCCTAACTTGAATTATCCTCAACGAGAAGAAAATTGATTGGCAATGGTGTCTACCGAGTACATGAACTTCTATAAAACGATTATATTTACTATAAAATTAAATTAATAGTTTAGTTTCTTAAATTGAATTTTTCTTGGAGAAGATTTATCTTATTTAGAATTATTAAAGAAATTTTAGAAAACCTTAAAAAAATAATAGGTATGCTGTTGCAAAAATAATAATATTTCCAAAAATTGTGTATGCTTTACCACCAATATATTTAAATTTTCTGAAACTTGTAATAAGGATAATCTAATAATTTTCAAGGAACTTTACTAATAAGTTTTAGATAAACGTATCACCAGACGTTATTATTTTTAAAACTTGAAAACAATTTTTATCCAAATTTTTTGGTGACATCTTAAAGTTCAAGCTATGGAAGTCTCCCTGTAGCTGCACTTGCTGCACTTATTGAGCCAAATCGAAGTCAGGTCGAAGGAAAAGGAAGGCGATCGGCCGGAAGTGCGCACTTATCGCTGCCGATTGTCGCCCAGAGTTTGCTACTGTAATTTCCCATTTAATTATGGTTGTTCCTTTTTTCTTTGCGTGTGTGGTTCGACGGGAGTATGATAATAAAGCGCCTTCGAACCAATCCGCTTGCAACACGCAACATGCAACTCGAACTCAGGGCAAAGGAAGTGGTTCGACGTGAGAGCGGGACAGGGCTATGGGATGAAGTGTGGTCAAGAGCGAGAGCACCATACAAATCACGTACGCACACACACGATCGTATAACAGTGTTATGGGTGTATAACAGTTGGCCATGCAGTAAGGCGTTGTTGTTGCTACTATTACTGCTGTGGTTGTTGCTACGACTGCTGCTGCTGTTGTTGTTGCTGCTGTTGCTGTTTCAATAGAACCGAACAACAACGACGACGACACGACAACAAAAACGACGCTGATTCGTATTGGCTGCAGCCACTAATACTCATTGCTCACTCACACCAGCAATTGACAGACCAATTGCAGGTCTGTTAGACAGCAGCAACTACTAGTGAGGCAGCAACAACTATTGAAGCAGCAACAATAGCAACAATAGCAACAACAGCAACACTGCGGTAGCAGCAACAACAACAACTGCTCGTTAATTGATGTAGCACACAGGATGCGCCGCTGATTGGGGTTGTCCACTCCACTGATGATGATTGTGAATGGGTATGGGTATGGGTCGAGGAATGGGTTCCGAAATGGTATTCCGAATGGGATCGCATGGGCTGCCGATCTAAGCCAAAGCTTATCCGCAAATACAAATTTATATTGCATATTGCATGCGATGTACACGGAGAGAAATGGAAGGAGTTCCCTATTATGTTCCTCATAATATTAGTTACTTTAAAACAAGTACTAAAACTTTTAACTTTTAATAAATAATAATACTTAGGTTAACTCAAAAATAAACGGAGAAAAAACTGGATCAAGAATTCAGCCATTCGATTGTTAAAAAATTGTGCAGTTTTTTTATCTCATTAAATTAGTTCCTAATTTGTTAAGACTTTAGATAATTTTGTTTTGAAATTTAAAAATATGCTAGATAAGGGATGGAGCATTCTTATTATAGGTTTTCCTCTGTGTAGAAGTGTTTGCTGCTAAATTGAAATTTGCGTGCGTGTCCATTAATTTGTTCCCTAAGAGAGCTTCCAGCTGAGAGGACTCAGCTTTTGTAAAACTGCCTTTCGTTACAGATTCTTCTGTTTTTGCATTTAATGTTCGAAAGTTGAGAATGTTTTCTTTTGGTTTTTTAGGCTTACCTTCTGCGTTATGACCGAACCCGGTCCATTTGCTGTTGCTGCACCGGCAATGTTGCCATTCTTGGGATCCTTGCGCAAGTCTTCGGGCTCTCGCTTGATGCTAATTAGTTGCTGCTGCTGCTGCTGCACCGCCGAGGAGACAATTGAGCCCGCGCTCCCCACGCCAGCGGCACTAACAATATCGCCGGGATGTTGCTGCTGGTGTTGCTGTTGCTGCTGTTGTTGCTGCTGTTGCTGCTGCTGTTGCTGCTGCTGCTGCTGGTGATGCGAGATCGTTGTCGTGGAGACAACGCCGGTTGTGCTGACCGTCGCCGACGACGAGGGGTGTGAGCCGAGCAGAAAGCCTTGAATCTCATTTTGCGATAGGCCAGAGACATCGATAGGTGTGGTCTGGCCATTGAGCTTTCCACTGCTGTTCAAAAATTCATAGAAGGAGAGAGAGAGAGAGAGAGTGGGGAAGAAAGAGAGGGAGATAAACAATGTGCATTAGTTGGTGCTTAGAAGGTATTATTATTATAATCAGGGTAAGTTCAATGTCTTTCACAAACAAGAAATTTGCTTCTCTTATCGGTATATATGGTTCTTACACATAATCTTTTTAATTTATTGAGAATATTTTTTACCCAAGAATATTGTTACTTAATAAATAATTATTTACTTGATATAACTATTAGCAATAAGTAACTGGCCATGCTTTTGCCAAGCAAAAAAGTTATATGTCTCAAAATAAAGTCCAACCGGTAGTTCGATCTTGATTTATAAACAGTATTTTAAAGACTAGTAGTAAATTTATTTTTAAATAAAATCAGAATATAATAATATTCTCTTAAGCCCATTAAAACTCTTTGACTGAACGTAAACCCATTACGTGTTATTGAGTAATCACCCATGATCGCAGCTAACCTTCCTGGTAAGGAAGTTATTTCCGAGATGCAGTAACAACACCCAATTGCTTAGCATATGCCGACACCCCCACAAATGGAATAACTCCATTAGGCTGCTTATCAATCAAACCCGCGCTCGCCAATCACCGGGGCAATCATGCAATCAAGCCGCAACTGCGGCAAGGCTAATTTCATTCACCGGAGACGGAGACACCTGTGCGCAGCTCACAAAACCTGGATGCCCGCCCAAATGGGAGCAATCGGGGCAACAACCAGCCACCATAAACCAGAATCCAGCCTGCAGCAAGTGCAAAAAACACACGAGCGGGGAAAAAACAAAAAACAAAAAAAAACCAGACAGAAAAACCTGGCACAACGACAACAGCAACATCAACAACCACCAGCAACATCAACATCAACAACTGCTTTTTGGCCAGCATCCAGCTCGAGTTGGCAACAAATAAGAAAATACAAAAAAAAAAATGAAAACAAACCGGGCTGAAACGAAAGAGACGGAGAATTAGCGGCATCCCCCAAGACTTGCCCCTTCGATCTCTTATCGCTTTATCGCCGACAACTCTAGGAAGAGTCGTAAATTAGCTGCGATGATGCCTGTCGCCGACTGTGATAATCGAATATGGATAACTTTTGGCATTTTTCCAGCGGGCTGAAGGGAAGAGGGGAGGGGCATAGGCGGCTTAGAGGGGAACAGCACTCCAAACACCAAGGTCAAACAAAACTAAACAAACCAAAAGTCCTGGCAGCTGGAAAACCGGATTCGATTGTGGAATTATTTCCACCAAGTTTTCAGACACACAATTAAAGCTCTTTGAGGGAAACCCCGCCCTTTGACCAACAAAAAAAGGGCAACCAACAAGTTTGGGTAAAATGTGTAGTAAATTGAGGAAAGATATTCAGGAGCGGTAGGAGCGATATTTATGTGATAAACAATATTGAATAACATATTCATTAGGAGGAAAAAATGGAAGTTTCGAAATGGTTTTTGTTAATAAATCCTAATGTTATTAAATTTATGCCACAAGATCTTCAAAGGTAAAAACTATTTTAAGCTGAAAAAGAAGACTTTGCAAAGATGGCCATCCTAAAACATTTAATTTTAAGACGATATTTAATTATTTTTATTAATTTGTTTTGGATTTTGAATGACATTTTTCTCTGATAAGGGAACTAAAACTATTTGGAATTTTAAGGTAAATGTTTTAGCTACTGTATCTTCCAAAAAACCATCTTGTTTTCCAAAACTTGGGAGCAAATTCATTCACAGATAATGTGATCAGAACTGATCTGTTTTCCCCGGCTACTTTCTTATGACAATCTTGATTCTGGTTCTGAGACTGGTTATTTGCTGATTGATTATTCTGCTTTGTTTTGATTATTCCATTCTTAACTTCTGATTTTGCTTTAAATTACTTATTTTATAGTTCTGTTTTAAGTTTGTGAATTTTATAATTTTACTTAATGCTTGAATAATGCATTCATTTAAATAATAGCTCCCCAAAATCTTCAAAAGTTTCTGACGGATTTTAGACAATTTTCAGCTATTCAATTTTATATTCCCCATAAGATAAAGTTATATTAATATATTGTCAATTTGTTAGGAAGTTATAGACATTATTAGCATTTAGCAGCTTCATATTTTATTCCATCTTTATAAGTATTATATAAATGTGGCCTGAAATTTTGAATCTAAATATATATCTCTACTTTTTTAACTCTGCTTTGAAATACTTTAGATCCAACACATAAACCCAATTTGTTGCACTTTTGGTAATAGATTCGTATAAAATTCATCAGATATGGCCAATTTTCAGCGCGCTTTTCGACAATTTGTCTTAATTTGTGCATAGATATTGATTGCGTATATGCAAATTCCAAGCGTTACAGAAATTGCGCCACACCTTGGCTCACACATGTGGAGATACAGATACAAATGCAGATACAGATACGAATTCTGTGTTGGTTCTTCCGTTAGCAGCTGTTGCAAGCGATTTCAGCGCTGTCTGCTTAATTCCATTCGGTTCTTTTGCTCTTTTTGTTTTTTTTGCTCTTTTTCTACTTCAGTTTTATTTTTTGGCATTGCTCAAGTTGACAACGCTGCGACTTGCGATTGCGATCGCTTGCCCCATTTTGTGGCACTTGTCTCCCTCGTGCCCGGTGTCCCGGTTTTTCACCCGAAGTTGTTTTCTGGCTTCTCCGACTTTTCTGTCCGCTGTTCTCCACAAAAATAAAACGTGAATAAAAAGAGACATCGACATGGGTACAAAAAATGTTTTGGTTTTTATGTTCTGCAGAACATTTTCGCTATTAAAAATGACACTCGGATTGCCTGGCCGCGTTATAACATTTTTTTTTCGTAACGCGATATGTGACCGATGTGGTTGCCGTCCGCCGTCCACCGTTTATTCCGCTTTTTAGGGTCAGGCCGTGTAAATCACGTAGCGGATATGGGGAAGCGAGAATAGCGCTCCAGCACACATTTATTAGATAGCCAAAGTGCTGTCCATAGTCCATATAGTCCATATCTCACTCCGTCTTTCGGCTCTTTAATTGTGTTTCTAAGCCAAGTGCCGCGACGCGCGACCTTTTCCAGGCCCCTTGGCCGAACTACGGTTACGGTTTCATCACGGCTCCATAAAACGAAGCCGAAGTAAAGAACTCGCCTGCGATCCGTGTGGGTTTTTGTTTGGTTTGCCTTTGGGTTGGGTTTAGTTTGGGTTTTGGCTGGGGTTTCATAACCCCAACCGAGGCAACGTGCCGCGCTTTTTGCGCACTTCCACGAAGTGTCAAAACGATGCACTTAAACCTCAAGCATTTTCGGCGGAAAACGAATAGTTTTCCAAATCTACAAAAATTATGAAATATCGAACGTTTTGTCTGTCTGTCTTTAAAGGAGTATATTTTTAATGCTATCAAATAATTGCTTTTAATAGAAAATAAAACAGAATTGCTTAAGTGATTTATGTATAATATCATAGTTCGGTATTAAATAAATCCTGCATGAGTTTTGCACTTGTTGAAGTACAAACATTTTATCAAAAGTTCCCAACTTGTTTTATGATAGAGAACAAGAACTAGATCTTCTGAAATGTATTAAATTTGCTAATAAAAGTTCGCGGTTTACCAATGGATGTTTTTTCGAAGTGAGTATATCCACTTATGAGTATATATCAAATATTTGGTAAATAAACCTTCTGGAATGTAGACTCCTTGTCCAAACTGAGGACTTACCTCCAGGGCAGCTCAGCACCGGCTGATCCATGGTTATCCTTCTCGCCTTCGCTGCGATAGTAGCTATATATAGGATAAGGACTGTTTTGGGAGGGAGTGGGGTGAGACGAAGGCAGTTGCTCCTGATCCTGGTTCAGTTGGATCTCGGCGGCCACTGCCTGCATCAAACCGGATGCTGTGAGCTGGTGATGATGGGGCTGCTGATGATCCTGATGGTGGCCCAGGGGCAATCCCAATCCCTGATCCTTTAAGCTATCATTGTGACCGTAGTAGTGGTGGAGGAGCTGCTGCTCCTGCTGCTGCGCATCGCCTTCCACATGCCCCGAATGCAGCGAGTCCAAGCCGAAGCCTCGCCTGTTTTTTGAGGGGGTTTTGTTTTAAATTCAAACTGGGCGTGGCAAAAAGAGACAGTCGCAGACAACGCCCATGTGCGTGCATTTATTTTTTGGCAATCCAGCATCATTAGCATTTCCATTTCTATTTATTTACTATTTACATAATCAATTTCGGGCCAGGTGCGTCCGATGATATCGGAGTGTGTGAGTGTGTGTGTGTGTGCGTCTCAGTTACGGATTTGTAAGTTTTGCGGCAACTTTTTACTGCTTTCGGCATCGGAATTGATTCGTTTAGCGCTATTAGCGCCATCAAATGAAAACAAAAAACAAAAACCAAAAAAAAAAAAATGGAAAAACAAAGAGCATGGCCCGAAAAAAGCGTCAACTTTTTGTTAACACTTTGCCCCGCCCCTGGACGCCGGCGAACCCCCCTCCCCCTCCGCCGCCGCCGCCCCTGAACTCTGCAAGTGGTCCGCAGCAGTTATTCACTAATTATTTATTTCCCATGAAGCTTTTCTCACACCCGGTACTTGCAGAATACTCGGGTATGCTTGTCTTTGGCGGATTTACGCAAGAGGAAAAGGAAGTGCTTCCGACTTTATTGGGCTAATAAATTTCATAAGACTAATTCTCAGATTAATTTATTAGTTTGATATCGAATGGGTGACTAGTCAGTGACTTTCAAGAAGTTGAGTAAGCAAACAAGAAAGGAAAGCTAACTTCGGGCGGAGCCGAAGTTGATATACCCTTGCAGAATATTTTATAAATTATATTGTCCAAAATTATTCATATGATGTATTCTTAATACTCATAAAATGTCCCAACTTCCTAACTTTAAAAAGACCAAAGTTATGTCATTTCCAATCGTTCAGTTATATGGCAGCTATAAGATATAGTCAGCCGATCCTTATGAAATTTGGTAGGTCGGATTGATTGGCCAAAAA